TTTTTTTTTTTTTTTTTTGCTCGGAAAGCTATTGTAGATGACACCGAAACGATTTGATTTTATGTTCCCAAGTCTTAAATATCGCTAACACATTTTCCCAAGTAGCATGTATGGGTGTATTTTATATTTTCGCAGGAAATGGAGTACCCAAGATAGACTGGGAGAATACGTCCAAGGAAAGCGAGAAGACCATTAGTAAAATCGTAATGTCAAGGTTAGCCATGAATCAATGTGTTGAACAGAATTGCTGTCTCACTGTACATTCTGCGGCACTTGTTGAACACCTCGGCAACTGATGGCTGCTCGAACTCTAAAATCGGGCTGAAGAATTCGGGTCGTAACGAATGCTGGCCCGGCTCCAATGGGGATTGTTGGTGGGTCTCCGTGCCGATCCATGCATTTACGCTGTACCAAATCTGCACCGGAAACCTTCAAGTTGCCAAATCGCGCTGAGTGCGTACCATCTACGTACAATATGTACTTTACTGCAGCTAGACATCTCGCAAGCGTTTTACATACATACATACTAGTTTTGCGGCGGCAGTTGTACGTAACTAATAACCAGAGTAGGTCGACGAAGCATTCCACGCAACCACGCGTCCTATACATATATATTGTTAAATCTATTCCAAATACCAAAAAGATCTGCATTTCTACTCCATAGAGAAGATTCTAATATGTCACCTGATGATTGGGACTTTGAGGAATTTCGTGGCTTAGAATACCACAGCTTAGGTAGAGGTAGAGAGTGCTTTGGTAGAGTGCGAAAGTACGCGCTGGACCAATTGATAAACTTCTTTTCAAGTCGCTTGAGGGGCCAGGATAGAATTAGATCCAACCAAGAAAATGAAGCGCAAGCAGTCTAGGATCCTAGTGCACACTCCAAGTTGCTGGTTACCGATTTTAAGCCGAGTCATTACTCATGCCAAACGTGATGTGGTAATTGAGATGTTCGGCCCATTAGCTTAGTTATATCTGGCAGTAAAGGTGGCGGTCAGAATAGGAAGATGAAAGCCGGTTTCCATAACTATAGGCGGTCTAATATTACTAGTGTACAGTACCAGATCGAATTGAGCCAATAGGCCGAACATCGTAGTTAGCATAATTAGTTTGGCATAAGTAATGACTCGATTAAAACCGGCAACCAGCAAGTGTACGGTGTAAGATCTTAGTCTAGGTCTTGTATAGAATCTGGCCCCCACGGTCAAGACCCGATAAGACAGAGGGAATAGAGAAGTCGGATCCATTATACTATGTATTTACGATACCCCTCTAAAAAAAAGCAATACTCTATAGATACTCCTAGGAATAGAATACTATTATAGGTACAAAGAGACTGCAGCGGTCTTCCAGTGAAGCTCGAGAAGAAGAAGTGTGGATCGGACATTAACATAAAATTGAGCATTGAAATGGCAGTGCTAAATAACACACGGTTCATATGATCTTAACCTTCTATGGCAAGCCAAGACCGTCTGTATAAGTCCGCAGTATTCACCAAAATCTGCCCACCTGAAGATGTCTCTCTCTAAGCTCCCTTGGATGTGGCACCCCGGCACGTCATCATGGAGCCTCCTGTGCCGGAAGGCCCGGAAGAGCTGGAGCGTGTGGGGATGGAGCCCCACAATGAGGCTAATTCCCAACGCCTGCTGTACCTCTTAGATTGGCCAGATTCGAAACTAGTGTGTATAGTATCTTGTTTTAGACGACTCATCCTGTTACAACTCTTGTTGTATCTCCACTTGGATCTATGACTTTGGGGGCCATTTCTCAGCAAAAGTTACTTTGTACATTGCAAGCCAAAACCAGTATGATGTTGCATCCCAGAATTGGCGCATATGGATCAGGTCGGCAGCCTGAAAAGGGGGTCAAAACAGGGTATAAAGTGTAGCGTTCTGCCCCGAGAATGCGAGGTATCCAGTTTCTCGAACATCACTTCCTCTCTATCCCAACTGTTCATCATGCGTTTCACTGCTGCCTTCGTCATGCTCGCGGCCGCCATTGGCGCCACCGCAGAAAATGCCATTAACATCAAGGTTTGCGATGGCATCAACAAGGCCGGTGACTGTATCAACATTGACGTCTACCTTCAACACCAATGCTGTTCGTGACCCCCCCCAAAATACAGTCTACCACCATCTTCATAGCTAATTAATTGATCGCGTACAGACAACTTGAACGGTACTCCCGTCTCGAAAAACGTCCGGTCGTTTGAGATCCCTGACGGTTACCGCTGCCGCTTCTGGTCGTATGTATCTCCAGCTTGTGGTTTTGGTAGGGGGATCCTGGCTGACTTGTACTTTTTATAGGTCAACCGCGTGCAATGGCGGCGGTACTGGCGATGTCCAGGCCCCGGGCACTAACGAAAACTCTCATCCCCAGGTGAACTCTGTCAAGTGTTACGCCAACTAGAGTTGAGCTCAATTTGGGCTTTTTGAATATCACTTGTCATGTCCTTTTGTTGAGATGGCTGGCTGGGATGTCAGACCAGTAGCTACAGGATGTTTAGTAAATAGTTCTGAGGGCTTGTCTCTCCCCAATCAACGCTCTTTGATCTCGGATGGCCTACCATCCAACAGTGTTTTAAAAATCTTCCTTCTAATGTAGTTCTGGGAGCTTCTTACCTCAGCCTTGAAACAGCTATTTTATTTAAGTAATTATATTTTTTGTAGTTATCAGCATTGCCTGTGATATCTCGTCCCAAGCACCTCTTTTCAGCGGCCTCTGAGAAGGGAAACGGAGAATCGATGGTCTTCTTGATGCAGTTCGTGATTTATCGTTTAACGTAATCAGACGGCTCCAGTATTACAGGCTTCTACTACTGCCTTTGACTTGGACGGAATTTGCTTTCTTGATTTGTCGAAAGATTTCGGAAAGGCAAAATTGAGTAGTGCCCGCAAGCAAATGATCACAAAGCAAGGGTATATAGGCAAGGCCGCAAGGGCATAAGCAAGGCGGATTTTGGAACATCTATCTAGCACGTGCCGGGATTCCTCTTCCAGGAAACCAGAATTCTTGAACACAACGCAGCATAAGTCACCAGGGACATTGATCTGATTAGTTAGTTATTGGTAACTAATGTAATCGGTAAACGATCCGCCACTGCACACGAGCCGCCATCTTCTGTTTCCTATATTAAACAGCACATTTTTAAGCAATAATACCTCAACTATTATTAGATATATCAATTTATAACCAAGATGTAATACTAACATTAGTATTCTTTTCTATATAAATTAAATTCAAGTAAAAAAGAGTTCTCAACTATATAAATTCTAACTATATATTATAAAATATACTATATTTGATCTTATCTTAGTTATTAGAGTATAAAACGATTTCAACTATATATAATTATTAGTCTACTATAGAATAAGTTATATATTAATTTTTAAGTAGATATAAACTGAATTGGTTAAGATATTGTTATTCAAAAATAGGCTGTTTACTACGGAAAACAGAAGATGGCGGCTCGTTTGCAGTGGCGGGTCGTTTACAAGTTACGTTAATACTGCAATTCTTACTAAGACTTATGTTAGCGAGGCACTAGAATGCTGAAAGTGCATAATGAATGACCCTCTGCGAGGAAAAGCTGAATATGGACCTACATAGATGCATAAGCATTTTTATGAGAGCTTATGTAGCCGAGGGCCTGAGGCTGATTCTGGCACGTGCCTCTTTCGAGGCTCCAGAAGTTTCGGTACTAGTGAAGAATAGGACGCTTGCTACTTTGGGAGATTTCAGGGTTCGGCAACGTCGCCGCCAGTTTCTACCATGTCAGTACTAGTGCAATCAAGCCCTGACAAGCAACCTTCATAAATGTGCCAAAGCTCGCACAGCCAAGCCTTTGCGGTTCGTTTAGCTGAGCGGCGCTTCGAAGCGAGCAGGATGCTGCGTCCAGTCATATCCCGTATGCATACATCGTGGCATTCATTCTTTTGACGTCCGTTGCCTGGAGATATTAGAGTCGGAAAAATTAAACCTTTGTTTGCATTAGTAGTATAGGACTTGGAGTAACTTGTCGTGATTTGAGCAGCGATATTATTTCCACAAACTATATAAAGTCCCAATATGAGCCCTGAACTGATACACTCTCCGGGGACGACTCGTTTTCTTGATATTCAATTTCTTTTGAAGCAATTGTAACGTTCAAAGCGGTAGACTTTCAAGATGAAAGTTCTACTCACACATACGCTAGGGCTCACTCTACTCGCACCCGCGCTGGTGCTTGCTTTGCCTCCCTACCCTAACGTTACCATCCCTTCGGGGCCCTCGCTTTCGGAAATCGAAGCTACAGCTGCAACAACCCTGCCGGAGTCCCCGGTTTCTAATGTTCGAGGTCTTGCCTTTGATCGCTTTTATCAGCTATGGATGGAGAACACAGTATGTCACCCCTTCGACCTTACCAGAAGACTTCTAAGATATCCTTAGAACTACGAGGACGCGGCAGCCGATGAAAACATGTAGTGGCTAGCATCTCAAGGAATTCTTCTGTAAGAGTCATTTCGATGTCCCCTTGAAATAGCTCGCTAATTTTCGATCGATCCAGCACCAACTACTTTGGCGTCACTCACCCTTCGCAACCTAATTATTGCGCATCGGTCGGTGGCGACACGTGGGGAATGGACCACGACAGCTTGATCGACATGCCTGCCAACATTTCCACAATTGTTGATCTTCTTGACACCAAAGATATCTCATGGGGAGAGTACCAGGAACACTTGCCCTACGCCGGTTTCCAAGGATTCAACTACTCCAATCAGGCCACCTTGCGTGACGATTATGCTCGCAGGCACAACCCCCTCATAAACTTTCGCTCAGTCACCAATAACGAAACACGCGCGCGCCAGATCAAAAGCTTCACAGACTTTCAGGATGATTTAGCTAATAAGACGCTGCCGCAGTGGGCTTTCATCACGCCTAATGTTACCAACGATGCGCATGACACCAACATTACCTTTGGCGCGAAATGGGAGCGTGGCTGGATATCTGATCTCTTAAAAAACCCATACTTCATGAACAACACGCTGGTGCTGTTGACGTTTGATGAAGATGCGTATCTCGAAAACAACAGGGTCTTCAGTGTGCTTGTTGGTGGCGCAATTCCAGATCATCTGAGAGGAACCAAGGACGATACGTTCTATACCCACTACTCAAGCATTGCTACTGTTTCTGCCAACTGGGGTCTTCCATCCTTAGGCCGCTGGGACTGCGGGGCCAAAATCTTCGAGATTGTGTCCAACAAGACTGGCTACGTCAACTATGAAGTTGATACCACCCATTTGCTTCTAAATCAGACATACCCTGGTCCTGCAGCCATCGGCTGGATCGGAAAATATTCACCCGTGTGGCCAATTCCTATCACGGATGCTCAATGCTCAGCCGGCCATGGTGTTCTTGGTTCCGTCAAAAGTTTTTATGGTAGCCTTCCCCCGACATATAACTACACCAGTCCGTACCCCATGGATGCCAAAAGCAACTACAACATGAATGCCACTGCTGTTCGCACTTCCAACACCACAACGGGGGCCGGCGTGACCGCCGTGAGCGCAGGGATGGCTGTCACAGCCCCCAGTTCTGTGATTATCACATTGACTTTAGGAGGCTTTCTTTTCTGTCTTGTTTAAGTTGATAAACTCGTTTATTTTTTGATCAAGGGTTCAAACCACGAATGGAAAATATTTAGTGAAACTGACTAATGCGGATTTTGAAACTCCATCCCTCCCTGATGTGTTGAATATGAGGATTTCCCCAGAAATACGTGTTGTTGTTGTTGTTGTTGTTGTTGTTGTTGTTGTAGTTGATGATAGAACAAGGTTTCTTTAGAAAAGTTCAATTTAGCTCATTCATATACAAGTAAAGAGCCGCGAGGCTACTAAGTGCAATCTAAGTGCAATCGGATAAAGGAATTTTAGAGTAATCAATTCTGTATACCAAAAGACTTCATCTTAGTTCAAGTTATTCGTAGCTGTGTAATGACTGCTGTAGCTGTTATAACCAAAATAGTTGTATTTTCTATTTACCAAGACTGAGTTTTGACTGTTGAACACGGTTATCAATACAAAGCCAGCTGGAAGAAATCTTCCGCTAACTAAGGAATCTTCGATAACATAATGGCATTGTGTTGGGTGTCGGTGGGGAAGAGGACAAAGAACTTTGCATTGATAAATATCCATTGTTTGAAGATATCATGACAGCGATGGAGTTTAGCGATTTAAAATTTTCTACCCGCTACTATGGTAGATCAGAATACATATCAAGTCTCTACGTTCCTTCTTGGAATATAATGATTCTACTCTGGGTTAAGAGTAAGTATTTACTTATAGTGGTGTCAGAACTGACAACATCATGGTGAAGTAAGATACTAATATTAATGGCAGCTGCTGCTCGAGTAGTTTATAGAGCCGATTACTATGGAAAAATGTCTCTTGTACAGCCAGGCAATTGGGAGTGGAATACTTCGATTGAGAGTATTAGCTCTACTCGTTGGGCGCTTTCTCCATGTATTATCTTTAAAAGGACCGTCCATACAGAGAGTTGGCATCAGGATCTAGAGCTCCCATCTAATAGCAGGATTGAAGTTAGTCCTAAAGAATGGACTACTAACGAGATAAGCCTTCGCTGGGGTAAAAGTCTCTTTATACCTGCTACTGCTAGCCGTATAACTGGCAAATAACATCTTCTAGTTCTTGATGGCCATGGCAGCCAGCTCACGCGTCAATTTGATTATGCAGTGAGGATAATATTATTCCGATCTTTATGCCTGTGTATTCTTCGAATAAACGTCAGCCTTTAGTTATATAGTGTTCTCAGGTGCATATGGCACCTTAGCACAGAAGATAATGCGCCTAGGGTTTAACTACTCCGTATGTTTGATAAGCTTAATTTCCTAAAGATCCTTGTTCCATTTGATCCTGATAGGGTGCTTAGAAAATTGGATATCCAATTAAAGACCCCTACAAACCAGGCAGTTGATTAACTAAGACAGCACCTAAAACGCTGTATACTACTAGGCGGCTGGAGAAGCAGGCATCTACAGCAATGGAACTATTAAGGGACCGTATATAAAGTCCTTCATCTTTGCTAGAAATGCACTTAGAGAAGCTTATTAAAGGCTATGAATTACACCTTCATGAGCTAATTCTTGCACGCGAAGAAATACACAGCGTTGATAATGAATGGCAAAGTCAAAAGCGGAAGCACCCTAAAAGGCGGTTAGCTATTGCAGAGTGATCAACTATAAAGGAAAGCCTAGAGAGATTTCAGCGCGAAAAGAAGGATTATGAAGCTCAAGATACACTTGCTATAGTTCCTGCACTTTCTGCAGCTGGGCCGTGTGTACAAAGCCCCCCAAACGAGCTCTAATTGTCATATTAGGGGGCATACTAGGGTTAGATGTCCTAGTACATCTAGTATGTAGTTTTGATTTGAAAATTGTTTAATTGATAAATGCCCTTATATACAGCCCAGAGACAGGAATTGGAGTGGAGGTGGCCGCTCGCTAGTGAAATACATTATGTAAATCTTTGTATGTCGTGGTCCCTGCCAAGGAATCCTGCGAAGCAGAGAAGGGAACCAGTCCAGGATGGTGACTATTTTATTGGTTTCTATTAGGAGATGCTAATATTAGGTCATTTACCTATATTTAATCGCAGAATATAGGGAATGTCTTGCAAGAGAAACAGTTGAGGTGTGTTAAGATAGAACCCTTATTATAACGTCACCAGCTATTCTACACCGATAGTCCAAAGCAACTACTAACTAAGGGGAAGGAAGTGCCAGGGGACGTACGAAATATAGAAGCGGAATAAATTGGTAACAAAGTGATATTCACGTTATTTAATTGCCATATAACAAACAGCCCTTTAGTGTAAAATTCAGTGATGCCGATCACTATCGTCTTCCCGATTTCCCTCGGTTCGTACCGAAGCATCGGGAACTGCCGATAAGGTCAAGAGTACTACTACGTAGTACTGACCTTCAAAACTGCCTGGACATAGCATTAGTAAATTACCCCCTGACACAAATACAACCTACTGTTGTATTCTCATCTACATCAGTGGATCTAGTATATAGAACTAAGCATACTTTCAGCGCGTAGTACGTAAACTTAGGGATATATCACTGGTACCCTAACCCGAACCATTAATAAGCATGAATTATAATAATGCGCTCATATTTTTCAATACTGATCTCCTAACTTCAAAAAAAAAAAAAAGACGTTCAGTTTTACATACATCCTCTTAAACAGAACAATGCCTTTCCAAGGCGTATGGGGACATTGAATAGTAAGGATTGTCTGTCTATATCGTTTTCATACCGTGCTAAAGGTATCAGGGCCATACCAAGAGCACTAACAACCCATAGAACTCCACATTCGGAAGTTCACTTACTTCCGTTGGGGGCGAGAAATTTATCTATGTAGAGACGGAGAAAGGTCCTACTTGGGAGGAGCTTGGCGGTGGATAGAGATACATAGCGATCAACATCTTGGTATCTAGAATGGTTTTATTCAGCGGCATGGCAATTGAATCGGCATGACTATGAACGGGGGTATTTCTGGCCCCAGGCAGCTGAGTAGGATGTTTGCATCTCGATAATAGGTCAGCTAGAATTATCCAGCCATCACTTGGTGGAGAAATATCTACGCGTTCCATTTCCTCTTGAGGCCAAGACCCTGATACCTGGGGGCGGTTTTGGATTTATCTGAGAAGGGTTACGTATCAAGCCCACACAGTACAGTCACCTACAGGACAAATATCCGTAGAAATAAACAAGTTAAATACCGCCGTCTCTGCCTATAGAGAGATAATCATCCAACTACCATTCTCTCATTTACTACAACCTGTCGCTCTTTGGAAACATACGTATTTTGTACACTCTTTATATGTGCATCTATTTTCTTTAGTTAATAGTCGTTGAGTCTACGACGGACCGCCAACATGATAACGCACAAAGCGCTGACGCTTCTATTTCTGGTGTTCGCTCTGGCATTTGCCGAGCTGAATCTGGGTATCAAGGAAGATATGTCGGTTAGGCTGGGGAAGACCAAGACAGGGGGAAAGGACAATGATGGTGATCGTCAATATGTTTGGAGCTCAATTGTTAAGCTGAATAAGGACAAAGAAGCGAAGGAAGTAATCACGGACAGCCAAATGATTGCACTGGTGCATCACGCCAGCGATGAGATGAATGCGGATGCCGACTTTAAGGGCGCTCCTGCCGGCCTACAACCATCCGTTATGACAGCCCTCCTTGTCGGTGATGAAGTCTACCTGGCTTCGTCTATGAAGGGCGACTATTCCTTTATCTACGAACACAATGCGAAACCCAAGAAGGGCAAAAAGGCAGGCACTGGAGAAGTCCGAGCCCATGTGCCCGAGGAGATTAAAACTGCTCTTGGAAAGGCGAAGGAACCCCCGAGGGAAAACGATCAGCATAAGAATGACGCCTCCTGTGGAGAAGTAATGGCCAGCTATACTTATCTGCTGAAGAACCACGGAGCGAAACTACAAGGCCAAAACGCCCGGACGATTGCCTGGATACATGACAAGAGCAAAAACCAAGCTTATGATCCCTGCGGCACTGGGGACAAGGTATGGGGATGTGACGCCTTTTGCACTAAGATGGGCTTCAAGGTGATTGATACCAAAATCCCGGAAGACAAAAAGGAGAACATCCCCGGCATTTCTAAGCATTCTCAACAAGAGCTTATGACTCCGGCGCTGCAAAAAGAGGTTGCTGAGATTAGAGACACGTTAAAACAGGAGGAGGAGGAAAAGAATAAGGAAGCGCAGAGAAAAAAGGAGCAAAGAAAGAAAGAAGCAGAAGAGAGGAGAAAGAAAGAGGCAGAGGAAAAGAAAAAGAAGGAGGAAGAGGAGAAGAAAAAGAAGGAGGCAGAGGCGAAGAAAAAGAAGGAGGAAGAGGAGAAGAAAAAGAAGGAGGCAGAGGCGAAGAAAAAGAAGGAGGCAGAGGCGAAGAAAAAGAAGGAGGAAGAGGAGAAGAAAAAGAAGGACAAGGGCAATGGCGGCAAGAAGACGCCGGGCGTATCAAAGCCAGCGGTGCAAGGAAAGAGGGAGGTGACCTGGCAAGCATGAAGCAGTAAATGGACTGTGCAGTGGAACAGGGATGAGGCGGGCAGGTCATCCGTATGGGGGATCCAAGTGTGGCGGGACGTGGAAGTAGGCCATTCACTCATAGATTAGTTCCTAGAACAACTCAACAGTCTGCAATGGTGCGAGAGACGATGGGCTGGTGGCGGGATGGCGTTATATATCACATATTTGAACATGTTGGAAGATTTGCTTCTTACACTATCTTGTGATGTTAGCCTTATTAATATTACTGTCCGCAACTTTGACGAAACTTCTTACATTGAGTACCAAGTAATCTTACGACAATATCAACCATGAACATAAATAAGCCTAAAAACAGCAAAAAGACTTAACCACTGACATGATGTCAATTTTTCCATCACATATAGCATTCTTGTGTCCACAGGCCGGGAGATAGATAGTCAAAGACTGCCTGAAGCTCAATTCCAGCCTGAGCATATGCTACCTGTAGCTTTGCATGCTCTTTCATGCGGTTCTCCCTTGCAGCTGAAGAGCACACCATCTGCCGGATTATGACCCGCTTAAGGTTAGGGGAGTGAGAGTGCAGGTCATCCAGCAAATGCCACACACAGTCATTAAACTCCGACTCCGACAACCCCCTAAGCACTTCTTCACAGTCCCACTGAAGACATAGCTCTTCCAGTGTAGGTGGCAAGGAGCTACCAATATTAACAATATTGTCCGTATTCATTCCTGCCAGGAGGGTAATCGGGACCTCTGCAGAGCGTAGACAGGGAAATTTCTGTAAAAACCCTTGGAATTGCTCTCTTGAGTATTCATCTTGGCAATCAAAAGAATAGTACCCCTCATTGTATGGATAATACTCTAGCCCTAAGGATAGTGTTTCCACAGTCTGACTAACAGACTCCAGACCTTCAATGATAAAATCTGGAACTTCCAGGATTACCTCATCATGCCATCTATATGCTAGGCCTAAATGGAGCATTTTCAGAGAGGCCATTTGGGACAGTAGATCTTGTACTTCATCATCTGTAATTGTTGTACGAGCAAGAACAAGTGTCTGCAGTTGGCTGAGATTAGCCTGCTGGCTGTTATAATCAGCAACAACACCCTTAAAACTCCGTAGCCAGATTGATAAGGATTGAATAGCTGGTAGGTAAAACCATGCCATAAACTGGTCAGGATCACACAGAGGGTAGCCAGCTGTGGTTTCAAAGTCATTATATAGACCGTCAAACTCCTCAGAGATGGGCACATTGCTGCCATAATCCACTATGCTAAGGTGGGTAAATCTTGATAGCAGGCCTTCTGGGGCGGAGAAAAGGGCATGTTTCATCATTAGCCCTGGAAATCCCAGCTTCCAGACAAAGGAATAGTCAAGTCGAAGAGATTTTAAATTGTGTAACTGGGAGAGCAAAATAGCGACAAAGGCATAAGCATTGCCATTTTCAAGAGCTTCATTCCACTTTGATGCGTCCGGAAATTCGGCTTTCTGAACCAGTGTCTGTGCAAGCTCCACTACTTCCTCAAAGCCAACGGTCGCGTCCTTCATAGAATCGGGTTTCACATTGGCTTTATTCCAGTCGTGCAGAAGGGCGTTTCTTGGTGGAGACATAATAGTGATATGATGTATTAACAGGGCTAGTTTTGGATTCTGCAGGACCGTTCGCAGCAGTTGCAGGATGCGTTCAACAGGCACTGTTTCCCATTCCCAAGAGACCCTATTATAAACCAAGGGACGAAGAGATAAATGGAGGTCTCTGCATACTGCAGAAACTGACACGATGTCACCCGGCTTTAAAAAGTCCGTGATGGCTATCCAACAATCAACAGGCAATGAAGGGAACATACTGGGGGGTGTTAGTGAGGCGCAGTCTTGGTACATTCTGTGCAACTTACTTTCGCATGTGTGATGACTTCAAATAATTAGCAACCATACTGCTTGTCGCAGAGGTAATTGATGGTGAGAGTTAGGAGTTAACTTATACCTAAGTTATGGCCTGAGATTGTCGCAGCTTGCAGACGTGGCTTACATATCCGGTCTCTATGGTTCGCCGTACTATAAAATTGTTTACCTAGGTTATACTCGGCCCATCACCTCCCACAACGCTTGGTGCTGTATAGGAACCTCTGCACCTCAAGGCACCTTTGTCCTTTGCTTCTATTCTTCCTTAATCTTCTTTACTTATTGGGCCTCAATTTGGCGATGGGCATTCTTTAATAAATAGGGGATCCTCCTATGTTAAGTCTTTGGCAGCTCTCTCTCTCTTTTTTGTTTTTTTTTTACGAGGTTCAGCGGAAGGATTCGAAAGAATACCTAGGGCGCAGGGAGCTATTCATGAACTATACATTATTAGAGGGAAAGTAGTTAGAATAGCGAGGGAGGAATCTTATGTACTTCTCTTCAACAATCAAACGGTTAGCAGACGGTCAAAAATGGCAGCACTTGATGCTGTATTCGGAGTCTTACTAACCGACGATGCTCTTGACATAATATCTAAATCATATGGCTGACTGCCCCTACAGCCAACTTTAGATATACACAGTTGTACTAATATTGTTGTATAATTTTTTCGCTTTTCTTTTAGTTTTTGTACATAGGTCTCGGCAGTACTCCATAGTGTGAGGTTGAAGTGGATTCAAGCTGTTTTTCCTAGGCTCCCTACCTAAATCAACTCTTAAGGCTGAAAAAAAAAAAAAAAAAGTCAAAAGATTAAAAACTAAGATAAAATAAAATAAAACAACACTTGTACAATTACCACAACGGCAAAAGAAAATCATATGCAACTCGCTACCAAGCACACTTAGCCAAAATTCCTCTTGGCCACCTCCGGACCGCCGCTTTGCGTAGCTCATCTAGACAAAGAATACCCAACCCAAAAGCAGCAGGCAGGAAATAATGCTCTGCTGGAACGCTGCTGGTATCCAAGACCTCCTGGAAAGGAGGAACATATAACCAGAAGATGGCCATACAGAGAGCGAAGGCAATCGCGGGGAAGAGAAGGAGATTCTGCGTATCCTTATTGAAGGCCGGGGGATGCTGGAAGATGGATAGACGGCGGGTTCGAACGGCCATGAGGTTGAACCATTGCCTAAAAGGGTGTTAGCTGAAGTTCACAGCTATAATATGTGGAGATGGCTGATTAATGGGGGGCTTACATGACGACCAAGTTGATGAAGTAGATCGAACTGGCCTCGTTTAGGCGGGCCTGGTAGTAGTCTGGGTCTACGTTCGACGGAACGGCTCCGAATTTGAACCATAACGCTGAGAAAGGGATTCCGCTGCGTTCAAGGTACCAATATGCCATGGCGAAGGATGCAACACTTTCCAGCATTCCGAGAATACCATAAGCGTGGAATACTAACTTCCAGTTCACGAGACGATCGCGCTTTGGCTTGCGGGGTGGACGCAGGAGAACGTCAGCTTCTGGAGCTTCGTAGGCTAGAACGGTGGCAGCGGCGCAGTCGGTAAAGCAGCTATCTATTGTGAGTTCCGGTAGGCCTCGACAGGTCCGAATCAAAGAGAGTACTTACCAGATAATGATCATAAGGAATGACGAGAGGACTTGAGGAAGACCAAACATGACATTGGTGAATACTGGCCAAAACTCGGAAAAGGAACCAGCAGGCAGCAAGTAAACAATGGTCTTTTTCAGGTTATCAAAAACAACCCGGCCATACTGCACAGCCTCTACAACTGCTGAAAAACTGTCAAGAAGAACCATATCGGACGCTTCAATGGCAATATCAGAGCCACTACCTAGAGCAATTCCAATGTCGGCGGCCTTGAGAGATGGAGCGTCATTGACCCCATCCCCAGTCATGCCGACAATCTCGTCTCGTGAACGGAATTCCCTGACAATGCGAAGCTTCTGTTCTGGTGTAGTTCGTGCAAAAACAATTTCTTGATATTGAGAGAGCTGGTCCCACTGGTATTCATCTAAGGCCATAAGCTCAGGTCCACTCACGACGATTGCGGGCGAAGGTGTCAATGGGGGAATCTTCTCAGTGATTTGAGTAGACCTCCGCAGGGAGGCTACAGTGTCGACTGTGCCTTCTGTTGTGACAATGCCACATTGCCGTGCGATGGCCAAAGCAGTAAGCCCAAAATCGCCGGTTACCTAGTGAAATGTAGTTAGCGGCCGTGCCCAAGCACTTCAAACAGACAATAAACAAACCATAAATATCCTGATCCCAGCCCGTCTCAGGGTTTTAATCACGTCGGGGATCTCTTCCCTTGGAGGATCGACGATGCCAGCTAGACCAACAAGAACTAGGCCAGTCTTTGCTTGGCTCATCATTTCTGACTCAAATTCACGCGACGATGGATGGACAAGGATTTCTGCTGCTGGAAGAATCTTGCGAGCAAGAAGAATGACACGTCTACCTTCGCTGGACCAGCGGTCTTTTATCTCGAGAATTTTCCGCCTCGCATGCTCATTAAGGGCCTCCACATTACCGTCCAAACCAATAGTGTGCGTACATCGTTCAATTAAAATATCTGGAGCACCCTTGATTGTCAGTAGACTGTCATTTTGTCTGAACTGCCCTGCTTCTCCCGCCGAGAGAGCTACTCCACATCCGTTAGGTTGTGCCACATTGAACGTGCGGATCATGAATTTGTTTTTACTATTGAAGGGCAGTTCATAGGTAATCTTCCACGTCTGACGTAACTCCGAAACGGGACCTAAGCTCTCAGAGAACCTGAGGACGGCCTGGTCGGTGGCATCTCCATATATACGTCTCTCAGCCAGAGGAAGGGTTAGGGACGAAGCATCGAACTCGGCTGCATTACACAGCGCGGCTACAGCGCGGAGTTGGTGGACGCCGGATTTCTTCCCATCCACCACCATCCGGTCTCTTGCCGACTCCGGGCTGAAGGTAGAGGTGGATATGGCACAATTGGTGACGAACATTTTGTTCTGTTAAGGCGGCTGACTGTTAGTTCAGTGTCTGATGATTAAGGGAAAATCTACCTACCCTTGTCAAAGTGCCTGTTTTGTCGGAGCAGATAACGGACACAGCACCAAGGGTTTCGACTGTTTTCAATGACTTGCAAAGGATCTTATTCTTCTGCATGAGATTTGCAGTAATAGTTAAGCTAGCAGTCAGCGCGATTGGCAAGCCCTCTGGAATAAACGCGATCGCGACGCTGACGCAGTCAACAATCAGGGTAGGAACATTGATCCAGTCAGGGTGATCAACTCTGAGCCAAGTTGCCCAGACAATGACCACGACAATGATCATGGTCAACATGATGAGCACGATCAGTAGGACAAAACGTAGGACTTCTTTCTCCAAAGTCGTTAAACCTGTCTTAGGCTCGTTCGTTAATTTAGCGATACCACCAAAGACTGTCGAATCAGCAGTAGCAACGACGACTCCCTTCGCAGTTCCCGAAACACAATGGGTTCCCTGGAGACCAATGCAGTGTGTCTCAAGGTAGTTATCGTCGGTCGAATCGACCGTCCCATGAACCGGTAGCGACTCGCCTAGGGAGCGTTAGCGCGACGATTGAGTTGAAAACCAGCCAGTCGGTCTTACCAGTGAGAATAGACCGATCAAAGCTTGCATCGTTCGAAACTTCGATAAGCCGCACGTCAGCTGGTAATTTGTTTCCGGCTTTGAGATAGACAACATCCCCCGGGACAATATCTGGTCCATCAACCGTGACCGGGGAACCGTCTCTCTGAACCAAGCAGCTTTCTGGCAACATGGCAGTGATAGAAGCCATAACCCTGGATGAGGACCAGTCTTGCCATGCATTGAATCCTGCCTGGATGAAGAATACAGCGAGCAGGACGATAGCTAAAGCCAAGTTTGCTTGTGACGGTGGTTGACCAAGGGGCTTCCACGAAACGAAGACGAGAACACAGCCGACGAGAAGAATTGCTCCGAAACCTTTAAAAAAATACCCGAATATCTGCCAGAACCACCGATGGGGGAGTGGAGCGAGGGAATTCTTGCCATATTGACGCTGCCGTCTTTGGACTTGCTCAGATGACAAGCCTTGCGATGCATCAACCTGCCAACGTTTCTGTAGCTCTTCAACGGAGATTGTGTGCCAGTCGAGGTTGGAGAGATCTTGCAATATCTCGCGTTAGTCTCAGAGCTTTTCAACGTGCAAAGGGGCCTATGCGAGTATCACACTTACCAGTTGCTATTTCGCTCTTTGCTTGCGCAGCTTTCGTACGGTGAAGAGCTTCTGCCTCGTCGATTTCAAAGGAGCTTTTGGTTTTGTTTAGCCGTCATGAAGAAATCCAAGTAGGGAATTGGAAAGCTTTGTACGTACACGGTCCGATAATGAATTGGCAGAGAAAGAGAAGGGTCAACAGTCGTCCTCGCTTTCAGATTGGGACCAGAGTGTTGAGAGCTGTAAGAGGCAGAACGATTCAGTCTGTTCAACCGAGGTCTTTCGGTGTCACCAGATTCCTCGTCGACAGTCTGCCAGCGCAGATGCGTCGCCTCTGCAACGGGCGCCTTCTCCTCCATGTAGGCAGTCTAACACCCGGGTCGTGTATAGATCGAAGTGAGATACAGAAAGCAAGGGAAAGTAACAGCAGTTGAAGGGTATGCTGGCGAGAAAGACTTCCTCTGCCACCAGCTACATCCTGCTTTAAATATGCATGTCTGTGCAGCCATGTGGAGATGACATGGTGAGCGCGTGGCCTCGTGTTGGGATAGCGACAGTGAGTGATTATTGTGATTCAATGAGTGGTTCAAAGGCGCTGGTAAATGCCTCGAGCGGGTGGGGAGCTGATGGTCTACAAAGAAGAGGCTTAGCGTTAAAGGAGACATTAATATGACAGCCTAAGAGCGATTTGATCGCCCAATCGGGGTTTGTTTGATGCGCCACTGATTTCTTTGGATGGGAAAAGCTCGGACATATCCTGTCATCTCTGATAGAGATATGCTGCTTAAGCCAATGGAAACAAAATCTGAAATTCATAAATTAATTGTCTGGATGAGAAAATATCCTCACTATGCTTCATTGGCCTTCGCCTTGTCACCAGGTCGCCAAGCCCTAACCGATCGGGTCGGCAGAAACAACAAAGTAGTCAAGAAACACCAAGCCCGTCGTCTATTGTAAAACCTAGATTCATCGGAAATTGCGAAGCTTAACCTGTAAGCGAGTCTTGGCAATTGATAGCAGTTGGCCAGCAAGATGAATGCAATCATAATTCGTTATCTCGGTAGCCTTCTCTGTCACTTGATCTCTCTGACATGGCTCGGGTCGTACAGGAGAACACAGTGACACCCAACAGGTGTCACTTCCATATATGTGCTTTGGCTTGCGTATGGTCGGGTCTATTCTATTACTGTATGGTAGGTTCGCCTTCTCTTGAGTCCGACGATTGCGCCCGGGGTGCTTTAAAGATATTCACCCCCGTATGGAATTGCTGTTTCCTTGCTTTTGAAATGTCCTCTACTTTAGATGTCGGACGGGAACAGTCGTGGAAGTTTACCGTGAGCCTCCGACAAGCTCTGTAGGACTGTTCACGGGTATGCCAAATTATGCAGTAATGTTTTCATTCTGCAAGTGGCCTACCAACGCAGATGTTAATCTTCCACATTCACAGCTAGTATAGCTTTAGGAAGTTGGCGACTTACCGACCGGATTCTTTTTGTCAGCCAAATACTTATTACCGTGAATTACTGGGCAACAAGTGCTTGACCATATCGCAGGCTGTGTGATTCTGTTGGACGTGTGTCCTCAACGAAGGGAGACGGACGGCCGAATTGCCGCTCGTCTCCGATTCTATTGCTCCCGTAACAGGTAGCTGGGTATCTCTATACGTATATATAAGGGGTATCCCAGGGGCCGTAAAGCTTTCGCATCTGCTACTTAAAGTAGTGTGTTGCTGTTGTTGATTTGGCGCAAACAGAGTTAAGCTTGGCAGTTGATTACTAGCTTCCACGGAAGTATTGGTATTGACGGGTACATGGACTTGTCGAGGACCAGTAAGACCGTTCGTAGAGAGTACAGTTGGTGAGGCCGTTGATGTTTCAGTAGGCCGAGGTGCAAGTCGTAAACACTCTTGGTTCGCATGGGAAGAAACTCTGCGGGTGATTTTGTTCTAACAGATAGGGCCCGGTAACTTCGAGTCAGCTTGATGTCTATTTCGCTGAGAACATAGGATTACTCCCAAACTCATGGATACAGCACGGCCCAAAAAGCAACGAGGGGAAAATACTTTAGAAGCAGGCTTCATCTTCTTCACCCTGGACCTGTTTTGTAATTTGTAGTGCTCTCTTGGTCTGGGACATGGGGTCTCGTTACACACAGAACAAGTGACAAAAGGGCGTCCTTTCCGGTTGATACGTATGAGTTGCCGATCTGCTATTTATGTCAGCATCTATCCATACAAAGAAAAAAAAAACAAAGGATGTGAAACAGGAAACACGATGCTGTACCATGGTGTTCACACGTACTTACACGGTGCCCGCGAACGCAAGGCCCGCATGCCCATTTCACACCGTCTACTAACATTGTCGTTCGCTTCGCTGGAAATAGGTCAGAATGAGGGTTTAATTCACTGCAGAGGAGCTAAGGTACACTATTTATGTCAACAAGGGCGGGAATGCATGAAAGACTAGTATTGATTGACAATCCGAGGCACAGAAATTGACATCACGACCTGCCTGGAATTGGAATAGGCGAAACTTTATTCTTTTCGCTTCGTGGCTGTTAATTGGACTTGAGAAAGGCCAAGTTATCGGACTTAAACACTCTCGGCATAGGGTGGTTGATGTTGTGGTGCTCAGGGCAATGTAAAAAGTATGCGGGATTTTCCCGCGCTACAGCCTTAGGGTTTCATATGCTGGCAATCAGCAAGAAAGTGCCTCATACATTTACACCGAACATCCCGTCGATGTGAATGTAAGGGTCTGACCTAGGTCATGCTTAGCGGGGTTCACAATGTTGTTCGGATAGCACAATGATCGTGAAGTACGCTATGATCGGAATCGTTTTTATGTGGTAGCACTCTCCTGACGTTGCGTAACCTAAAGGCTGAGATGGTTCAAAATCAAGTACAACCCCTACAGAGTCTTTAACTTGGATTTTCGCTATCCTGGGTGATCTCGGCTTCTTTCATGTACAGCTCAATTCTACTCCGGCCCAGATCCATCTCAGCTAGGTTCACACCCTTAGTATCGCGTGCACCTTCTCATGTATCGTTGGACCGTGCCCCGCCCAACATGCAGGGAAAATATAACACAACGGGTTATCAATGTTTATTGGAAGTGGACCTGAGCTCCTGAAACTTGGGCTTTTGGGGTATTAGAGAGAATTATTCATATTGCTCGAATTAACAAAACTTCCAATTAGTGATTATCTGAGAGACCAATCTCACGTGTCTGCTCAGTAGCCAATGTACCCAGACCCTAAGGCAGTCCTTCCAACAGGATAGATAAAGGGATTGTAACAGCAAGAAACATTGCCGTTGGGATCGACTAATGGCTTTCGTGGTTGATCGACAAATGAATAGGAAATGCTTCAAAACCATACGATACAGCAAAGAAAATGAGCACAACACTCGCACTTGAAATAATGTAGAGGTTCCGAATCAGGCAGCACCAAGGCCTTTGTTGAGAGCGACATGAGCTTTGCGATGAGCTTCGCGTGCCGGGGGATCCTGGCCCTTAGGGAGAGGTTCCTCTGCACTGGGCGGGTCGACTGTGTATTTAACATGATCACCGATAATCATCGCATTCGACGCCAGGTTGCTGAGCAACCCACCACTGTTATCGGCATACTTAGAATGATCCTCTAGGCCGACAGCATTCAGTAGCGCGTTATTCTGCCTTCGCTGGAGATCTTATTGGCAGTGTTGCGCAGTTAGTAGGTAATCCTAGTCTCGCGGTGAGTGTTTACTAACCTTGGGTAAGACCCTTTGTCTGCTCCATTGCTGGCGCTGCCAACGCTAGGGCGCTCGTCACCAAGATGGTAAATACTGCAGAGATGTCGGTCCTCATGGTGGGTGGTTCTTGAGTCACCTAGCGTTCAGTAATACCGAAAGTTCAGTGTATCTTCTGGCAAAGCGAGCGCGGAGGACGGTAGAGAATATATATGAATTGAGAATGGCCTCAGCGATGTACAATGGAATATGCAAAGTGCGAAAGCTATTTTGTTTATCAATAGTAACTCTTCGCAAGCAAGCAACTAGTGATTCGAGCGATGAGGCTTGGTAGCATCGTCTCATTAGTTCTGCATGAGTCCATTTTTCAGTCGTTTCAGGGCAAACTCTAGCAGGTCCAAAAAAGAGCATTTCCCCCTACCGTAAACTTTTCCTAGCTGCTGATTTTCAAACTACTCCAAGTAAAATAATTTTTTGAATAGAACAATAGAAAATAAATAAGTATATGGGAAAAGCAAAACAGGGCAGTTTTGCCCGCGCTACGCAATTGAGTGCCCCTGATAGTTTCCTTATTTCCTCCATTTTATACCTGCGTATGGCTAAAATTATGTTCTGCAGTGACAAGGAAATAAATCACCTGAGGTTACATCCGATGCTGTGCAATTTTTGAATGCCCCATACGCCTGAAACAAGACTAGGGGGCCTTTATGATAATATTTTCGGGGCTCACCAATTTTTACCTCGGACTGTCGGAGTGACCGCAAGGAATTGGCAAGTTACATTGGAGTTGCCGTACTTCAATTACTGAGGACGCCCCAGGGAACTGGCCCGGGCGCTGTGAATCGGGTGATCAAGCTCGGGGTTTATGGATGGCGATCTCTGTGCCATTTGCTTCTGATGGCAATAATTTCTGTTTTTCCTCAATCCAAGGCGAGATGGCCGAGCGGTCCAAGGCGGTTAGTACCACTATATTCTTCATTATCTTATCGAACGTTCACTAATAATCTCTCAGCTGGAGTAAGGTTCCAGTCTCGAAAGGGGCGTGGGTTCAAATCCCACTCTCGTCAACATCTTTTTTTTAGGTTTATTCTTTTCTCTCTCCACTGTGAAGGAGTTTCCGTGTCACTATCGGATGCATGGAGTCGACTATGGCATGACAGATAGGAGGAAGTATTGCATATATAACATGCCCGACTCCCATTGTGGCGTATCCTCAATGCTGCACATAACTCGATTCAGATATCTAACGCGTTATACCCGTGATATCGCCCCTATGGCTCGGTTGATAGCCTTCACCACATAAGTAACATCTTCCATGGAAGATGGAATCTCGTGCCCTCTCTTATGTGCATATGTTGACAACTTATCAGGTCTAAAGAACTCCGTACCCCGCTGTGCTAGTGACTTGGATGGGTCCTGCGAACCCCATATGTGCACACTTGGTACTTCCAACTGAATACTAGCATGATTCGGATCCCATCCCACTGGGTTGCCTTTTTCTACTACCCTGTAATCAGAGACGTGACTGACGGAAAACAAGATTACAACGTTAACCGGTAGGCTGGTTATGTCTCCCATATTGAGTGCCTCCTGTTTATGCTTCAGCCATGTGATTGCCAGGCTGGCGCCCATACTAAAGCCAATGACGCTATCGAAACGACCCTCATCTTCGAAAAATCGTTCCAGGTCGTGGATTGCGCGTAAGGATGAGTCTGCCTGCTTAGGATGACAGTAGGTGAAAGTCGCTGCCTCTAAATGAATGCCATTTCGGTTGGCTGTACGATGGTTAGAACGAGGGTATTCCCAGATTTTACATCGGACATACATGATTCCCATGAGATAGCCCCTTCCACAAACTCGTACGTGTAGTGATCGGAAAGTTCGTTCCGGACAGCAGCTGCAATATTCATCAGCTACCGATTTAATATGGCGCGAGCTGGTTTCCCCGTCGGGATTACCTGTTTGTTGTTGTAATATCTGGATATCAAACATCAAAGTCCTATTAGGTTAGATGCAACGTATGGAGTTAGAGGACATCCTACTTGCACATTATCTCCCAAACCATGCAGGCTACGGTTGCTTTAGCAGTATTCGGTACGCAGACAGCGACGTGGTAAACATATTAGAGAAAGCGCATTGTTCCTTGCATACTTCCTAAAATAGCGAAAAATCAGGGCAGAGAAACAAAGTCTAATGCTGATGGCAGAGATGTATGGTCTGATATTTCTTCACCAGTTTCACAGAAAGCTCAGAAGCAAAATATATTCAAAGTACCTGGTGATAAGCTTTTTAGAGATGGAAGAATTATTCATACTGCTGCCAACGATCAAAGCTTATTCCAACTAGAATTCCGGTTTCCCACTGCTCGATTTATATCTCAACCAGTCTCAAGTGTGGTGAAAGCTCTGTGACAATATGCAAAGCAACACAAGTTAATTAATTGTTGAATCATCACTTTCCATCCTCTAATTGGTAAGGTTTACGGGATGAGCTGGCGTGAACGACATCAAGAACAGAATGAATTCAAGCTTTGGCAACCCACATTAAAAGAGAGTATGTAACTTGTACAGTGTATGAGATTGTGAAGATCCTAGTGCAATACTCAAATATTTCTTCTATCAATGAATATTGGAAAGCTTTAGATACACGAAATGAACATCCTGCGGTCATTTTTACGATACTACAACAATGAGTCCTCCCCTGGATCCGCTAGCTATAACTGGTATGCCCCTATAACTGGTATGCCCCTAGAACTGGTATGCCCCTAGAACTCCCAGGGAATGCCGAATCTACTGAATCGTTCTAGCAATTGATTACAGGGGGCCAAATATCAATAGCACCTAAGCAAATATGGGTGGACTCACTCGTCGCTGTTGAGCTTCGTACGTGGTTTGCTGAGGAGCTGAAAGCCAATATTGCTGTCTTTGATATCATTGGTAGTACAGTTGCGAGACTTGCACAGTTAGCAGCTAGCCGAAGTAACTTGAGAAGGGATACTCTACATAAACCAACATATTATCCTACGGCTTGGCTTAATGATATTGGTTCTTTTCGATGTTCTACATGGTAAAATTGTTCAATATCCCACTTTTGCCGCCAAAAGTAATGCATAATATCCGTTGAACGTAATAGTACGAGGCTGTGGGATCCAGCATGACACTCTCTTTATCTTTTCTATATTGGGTCTTTTCTCTTCAACGACATCCGTACCATTCAGTCCTGTTGAAACGGACTGGACTTAAATGTGTGACTTACCACTTTCACCGTATTTCCGAGCTATAAGATATAGTTTTAAATGTTGAATCCACGGCTGGAAATCACACGATTCGGAGTTCATAGCTCAACAATACCTCTAAAGCTTCATCCCTGCGATTGTTGTTTACTCGATAAAATAGGTATACTTGTAAAGTCAAGACCCTAGACCTAAACCAGCCAATATTTCCAAAGAGAGAAAAAAAAAAAAGAAAAAAGAAAAAGGTAATCAATCAATCTTGAATACAAATTTCCTCTGTTAGGGTTGGACTGATCAGCTGCCAAGACCGCACCGCGGAAGGAAACGTTACGCGAGCGTATCTAGCGGAAGGAAGGTTTAGCCGATGCAGTATGTATAGACCATCTATAGAACATCTATATAAACGTGCGATGGACGATTACTCTTCTATTCTATCAATCAACATTTGGAAACAATTCCTTAACTTTACTCATTCATCATTCTTCTTCAATACAAGCAAATCCACAAAATGGCACCACTTCAGCTCGGTATCGTCCTCTACGACTTCCAGCTCCTCGACGTCGCTGGCCCAGTCGACCTCCTCATCTCCGGATCCAAAGTCATGCTAAGCACCATTAACCGCGATGGATTCATCCCAGACGACATGGTAGACCAGGGCATTGACATCAACTTCCACTATATCGCCCCGACCATGGACACCGTGACTCTCATGAGCGGCTTCAAGCTGCAACCAACCACCACCTTCGAAAAATGTCCCAAGCTCGACGCAATCCTCCTGGGTGGCCCTGGCCCCGATTTCTGGAACAACATCCCCGACTCCTACCGCGAATTCCTACACCAGAAGGTGGATGAGGTCCAATATTTCTTCACCACCTGCACGGGTGCTATTGTGGCCGCTAAGGCTGGCTTGCTCCGCGGTAAGCGCGCGACAACCAATAGCGAATTCCTTGAGTACATCAAAGAGGAGTGTCCCGACACTACCTGGGAAACGGCTCGTTGGGTAATCGATGGCAAGTTCTGGACTGCGGGTGGTGCCTTTGCGGGAATTGATATGTTCGAGCATTGGCTTGAGGGCAGGAGGAGTGATGCTGTGGTTACCTTGTCTCGTTCTAGCCTTGCGTATCAGCCCAGGGATATCAATGGTAAGGAGATTCGTCAGTTGGGGCCAAACTGGGTGGTCGGGAGAAATTAGACTGCTTGTGGATTTTGAATGACCGGTTGATGTTTGTGAATGGAGAGTTTAGTATATACAATATGGAAAGGCCTGAAACTGCTTTAAGTGTAGCTGATGTCCTGGGAAGTGTCTATCCATTGCTCTCAGGGTAGCTCTGATAGAAACTCATTAGTGAACAACATTTCAAGGTCGATCTCTATGTCATCTGCAGGAATTGAGGTTTGATATGCATCCCAGAACTCTGTCCCTTGAATACCAGACAAAACCGGACATCGCTTCATTCCGGGCTGCGGTTCAGAATTCACAGCTGGAGGTAGGCCGTGGTCGTAAGTTGCCGCGAGGGGAAGAGGGCAGAGTAAATCTAAGACAGACTTGAACAGATAAAACATATCAGGGAATTCTCCGGGGTTCCGGCCAGACTGTGAAAGCTTTTCCATACGATTCGCCAAGCATTCAAGGTACCTGGTTAGGGTCCGAGATTCTTCTCCAACCGCTGCAATGATGCCTGGCAGACCAGCTGCAGATGAAATAATCTCTGTGATAACACGAATCACTGCAATTAGACGGTCCCATTCAGCAAATGAGAAGTGGGCAAAATTCGATGTAGGGACGGATATGAAATAGTCCAGGAAGGCTCTTCCTTTACTCATGATGGAACGGAATTTGGCAGGGTCAAACTCCAAAAGCATTGGCTCCAGACGATATATACTTGCTTCCTCCATCAGGGAAAGAGTAAGTTGTGCAACATTAACGGAAGCTATATTAGGAAACTATTAGATGGGGAACCCAAGTTCTTAATAACAGCGAGAACATACGAATATTCAGGGAGAAATCTGACGTAAGCTGATGATCTGCTGGCCAGAAAAGATTAGAGTTCTCGGTGCCTTTGTATGCTGCTTCTATTGCCGTCTGAAGGCGAATGCAGGAGTACATCATTCTACCACGGGTACACTCTCCCTGGGATAATTGAAGCAGATAGCTTCTCAGGTTGGACGAAATGGTCACCTTGTTGTCTCGTTTGGACCCTGTTGCAATGCTGGTCCACGATTGTTAGAGACCAGAGTAACCCTTGCGGATGTAGCACCTACACAGAAGAAAGGTAATAGCACCCAAGGCAGGCATCTAGAGCTTCGCTACTGCTCGGTGGTGATGAACAGTCGAGTTCTGTTTTCCCTAAAGTTTCATCATCGAACCCTAGGTCCACAATCATGCTGATAGCAATTTGGAGATACTGGTAGGACTGAAAGCTTCGTGGACGAAGATGCATGTTGTACCTATCAAACACTCTTTAGTCTACCTCGCTTGACTTGCTTTGCTCTCGGTATTACTCACCATGCAATGTAAATGAGCAGACCCTGGAGATAGTCCAGACTTTTTTCCCCCGCGTTCACAACCCGATCAGCCAACACGGACCGAAATCTGTTATCCAGACTCCTGAGTAGAGGCATGTCATCTGAAGATGCTGCAGTAAGTACCGCAAGATACAGGAAGCGACGCTCCGCAGCGGCTATGTTATTCGGGAGCGCCACAAACGGGAAATAGGAGCTCTTAGTTTGAAACTTGCTTAGAAGCTGATCAGCTTTCTTCTGGTCTAGCACCGGGGCTGGTTCGCTTGTCTCATTAGACGTAGTATCCAATGACACTCCAGGTGATTGCTGTCCAGAGATGTCAAACTTGGTCTGAAATATTTGACGATGGACGTCCACAACATTCTTTGGTGGCGGAGGTCTCGGCTGAGCATCAAACAACCCTGAAAGAACATCAGCTTCGTCTGGTTTAGGTTCTCCCGTGCCTTTGGCTTTGTTTGGGGCTATTCGGCAGTCTAATTTAAGCGTTTGACATCTAGTTGAAAGTATTAGAATGTGCAAAATTGATGACTCAAGCTTACTTTACCGTCGACATGGCATTTGTGGATTTTCCCTTAGACAGCGTGTCCTTTTTACTTTGCAATGGACACATGCCCATGATGTTCTCGGTTTTGGGCACATATATTTGTATGCCGAATCCATGATCGTTTCCTTATGTATGAAGTTGTGGATGGATGGGCCGGGAAATTGGAGCCTATGCTTATTTATCAACCGTGGGGCGAGAAGGTTCTTGGCACAAACTCCTGTCTGATGTGTCATCTCCAAATGCACTAACGTTTTTATGCGTTAAGAGGCCTTAACGTGTTCATTATTATCGGCGAGGCCCCCATTTATTATTATTATTATTATTATTGTTTTTTTTTTTTAAAGATAATTCACAGCTTAGGTAAGGCTTGATTCCTCCTGAGCGCGGTATTTAATCCTCCTTTAGCCTTGGCATTAGTGGTCGATGAATTGCAATATATATTTGTTACGGTTCACATTGTTCAGAATTTGGGTTAACAGTGAACAAGTAAATAAAAGTGCAAAGCACTTCATCCACTCCCGGACACATCGCGTGCTTTAAAGGCTGCATCCTCTGAAGTTATCTAGATATCTAAAAAATCTTTTCACTTTTGCTGCGGAAAACATCACAGCGAATTTAATCTCGTGTGCATGGGATAGGTGGGCGTTTCTTATGGATATGGCGCGAATATGAAGAAGAAACAAACCAAATAAGCGTGAATGGCTAATATATAGAACTGAGACCTGCTGTTTTTGTGGTGTCCTCCTAAAGCATGTCGGAAGTCTAAAGAGATAGGGCTCGAGGTGTCACATGTCATTACTTGTTCATCTACAACTGACAACTTCGTGACAACATGTACATTAATTCCCGAATTCCATATCGCCTTGATGGCCAGGTGTATCTCCTCCATGTGGATTAAACTGTGATGCTGCTTTATGAAGAAAACTAGCTCGAACCCACCAATTCACTTGACGACGACGGCTAACGAGTGACTTTGCCTGGAAGGAGCACCCAGACCGATATTCCTCGAAATTTCTGTCGTAGTTTATGCTCAATACCAGGCTATAATGACAAGACAATATCACTACTTCTAGTCTATATTTTTCTGTTATCGCCGAAGCTGTAAATAGTCTCTGTACCCCTACCACCATTCTCCGGGTGGCGAGCTTCAGAATCATTCCATCTCACCTGTGAAGCACAGAGGTGTTCTCATGCTGTAAAGTTGTTGTCCCTGCTCAGCAGAATATCTTGCAAATGGTCCTAGCAACGAGTGGATCTTTTCCGTTGATGGCCATCCAAACTTAAGAGCTACCCCCACAAAACAGAACGCCCAGCCATCTGTCTAGCTTAGCAGTGCCAGGTTTACACATTGAGCCGCCGATCGGGATCTATATGAAAAGCAAATGTTCCTATCCAAGGTCGAGATATATATGTGATGCGACAAGTATCGTGGCAACAGCGGGAAGGCTAAATTTGTTTGATCACCTGACGGTGCAAGTTCCGTTGAAATAGCCTATAGCAAACCCAGGTCAAGGTCAGTATTAAATACGGAGGGAGAAAGAGCACAACGGAGATCGACTTTGCTCGTCATTACCGAAATGAAGACAGAGGGTTCAAGGCAAAGACACCCTCCTCAGATCCATTGCATTCTTTGAGTTCAGACGCCTAATCCCGTGGTAACAACGGCCTTGTAGTTTTGAATGGGGAACCTATTTTGTAGTCAGGACGCGAAACGCTATACCCAGATCTTACCAATCATTCTGCTGTAAAACCCTTTTAGTCGGAAGTAAGTGAGGAATATATTTTGTGAATTTGATTTGGGCGGGAATAGGGTGCTAGACTCATGGTGTGTGCACTACGGAGGGCTTCGGACGCGTTCAAATTAATTGGGTGCATTAGTGCCCACGCTAGTTCACGATTATACCCATATCATTTGACGGCATTTTCAGTCCGGTGCACCATCTTATATTGTTCACCGGTGATTGGCTAGGGTTCATGTTCGATTTGAGCTTTTGTGGTTAGTGAACCACCGGACAATAGACAGAGGTTTAGATCCATATGTGGATAAATTGAGTAATTCTTTGGTCCGAAGTAGTGTCAGAATGAACTGTATTATGTTAACCCTACTAGGATTAGAGAAACTTCCTTGCATCGCAATGTGGCCGGCAATAGCCATATCCAATCTGTGCCAGTGGAGAATAACCGGCTACTATTAGAATCTCCACAATGTTGATAGCTTCGTTCCCTCAATCTTCAAGCGAGCTACTAGTCTAGACTACCTTTCTCTTATATGGCCCTCGTCAGCCATAAATTTAAATTTTGTCCGTTCTTTCAATCCATTTTTCTTCCACTCCAGCCAACCTTGTGACAGAGTTTTTTGTCACTATTTAGGATCGCCAAGCCATGAAGCGCTTCGTGTCATCCACTCTTGTAGCCTTGGCTGGGGCAACTGTGATGATGGGCGCTCAGGGTACTAGCGTCGTTACTACATCTCTCACAGCCGCCGCAACCACGATTTCCCCAAAGTCCAGCACCCTGTTTCCTGCAGAGACGGTCCAATTGACGAATGAGGTCCTTGCTGATTTGTCTTCAAACATTCGAAATGCGAATGTATCTGATATATTCAAGTTTGCCGATCATTACACCGACTCAACTCTTTCTAAGAAGATTCCACGAAGCTGCAAGTTGATGCCAGGGGACGTGTCCTGGCCTAGCAATATGCTCTGGGATATTTTTGATACTCTGCTGGGTAAACGATTGATCAAGACGGTACCGCTGGCTGCATGCTGCTACCCTGACTGGCCGGAGTACGATGCAGATAAGTGCACCAGTATTACCTCCCAATGGGCCGTTTCTAATCTCCAGTGAGTGATACTTGTCCCGCCATGGAACGTCCATCTAAACCATTAATAGTATGGACGACCCAGCTTCCATTATGCTGCCACTGTATGAGGGTAGAACCTGCATGGCTCCTGGATACAACTACACCAACACTTGTGAGTTGGGCGGGTACCCAGCGTACGTGGTCAACGCTTCCACTGTGGCTCAGATCCAATTAGCCATCAACTTTGCACGTAATTTAAACCTTCGTCTGGTAGTGAAGAATACAGGACACGACTTCAACGGCAAGTCGTCCGGTAAAGGCGCTCTGTCCATTTGGACCCATTGGTTCAAAGATAAGACGTTCTATCCTCAGTACAAGGCCACCAATGGCTATATCGGACCGGCCATCAAATTCGGTTCTGGAGTTCAAGTCTGGGAAGCCTATGAATATGCGAAGAGCCTCGGAGTTAGTGTCCTTGGCGGGGAAGCTGTTACTGTCGGTCTTGGAGGTGGCTACACTGCAGGTGGTGGTCACTCACCGTTGAGCAGCCTGTACGGCATGGCTGCTGATCAGGTCCTTGCTATGGAAGGTATATATGTGTTGCCCAGACGCCGCTATCGCTTGGGTAGATCCTTAGCTAACCGTTTTCCGTGCAGTTGTCCTGGCTGACGGGCGCTTCATCACTGCATCGTCCACTGAAAACTCCGATATTTTCTGGATGCTTCGTGGTGGCGGTGGTAGCACCATTGGAGTGGTTACTTCTTTAATTGTTAAAGCCCTCCCAAGATTGCCGACCACCACAGTTACGTTCAACTTCACCATTAACGACGCCCCCGATGTCGATGCGTTTTGGAAGGGAGTTGAGGCCTACTTTGACAATTTTGAGGATTTTGTCAACGCGGGTACCTACGGTTACTACTATGTTGGAGCATCGGCCATTGAGATTGGTACTGACTATGCTGGGTCGACCGACTACTATTTCCGCATGCAATCATTCGTTGCACCCAATATGACCATTGCTGAGACAAAAGCTCTGCTTGCTCCATGGTACAAGGTTCTCGATAGCCAGAACATCACCTACACACCGTGGTACAACCATGCCGACAATTTGTTCGTCCACCTTCTTCTACTTTCTTGCTCGATCTTCAGCTAACCTACGAATTACTTAGCCATGACGCTTGGGTTGTCGCATTCCCTCAAGAATTTGCCGGAGGTGCCGCAGTCAAAACCGCCTCGCGTCTGATGCCCCGAAGCGTCTTCCAGGACGACACCCTCCGTCAGCGTACTTATGCCGCGCACAAAGACGCTACTGAAAAGGTATCCTGCTTTTATAACCCTCACTCTGCGGGACAAATCTCTAAAGCAAGCAAAATAGGGCCTCTTCATCGCCGGATTCCACATTTCAGGAACTGGCATCGCCATCACCCCACCCAACGACACTTCCGTCCTCCCTGCTTGGCGTGACGCTCTCGCCCATGTTATCGTCGGCATTGAATGGCCCAATAACGCCACATGGGAGACCATTCATAACGCCTCCCTCGCCGTCACAAGCTGGATGGATGTCTTGCGTGACATCGCCCCGGAATCCGGTGCTTACATGAGCGAGGCTGACCTTCTCGAACCCAACCTACAGGAGGCATTTTATGGGGTTAATTATCCTGCCCTCTACGCATTGAAGCAGAAGTACGACCCCACTGGTCTGTTCTTTGCGTTGACTGCTGTTGGTGCAGAGGATTGGGAGGTTAGGACCACAGACCCTTTGCCGTACTCTTGGAATAATAATGGACGGCTTTGTCCTGTTTCCTCTTAGATCTTTATGTGTGATGGAAAGATAATGTTGTACATATACCATGTGTTATATCATGGAGAAATAGCTCCATTATTGTGCTAGTGATGCTTTGATTTTTCGGGTTATAAACATATAACATAGTTATTGCTTCAAACACCTGACAGACACAAGGATGTCGACCGGTGAAGCTTACGAGCGCTCGAGTAACGCTGGCAAGTCATTCATGCATATTTCGAAGAATGACATTGGAGTAGCCGAATCCATCATAAAGCCGGTTCGAGCAATATCAAGACAGCTAAGCATCCCCAGAAAGACTCTAACTGTCAAAGCTTGGGAGAAGCAAGTGTAAACCCTACGTGCAAAGACTACAAAGCTCCAATAATAGGCCAATAGAATCCACCAGTCTGTGGCAGGTAGTATATTGTTTTCAAAGACAACCATCTTTAGCAGAATCAAAATCACCCGTTTTAGCCTTTAGATTCCAAGGTAGATTACTGAGCGTAGTAGACCACTAAGAAGCTCGATCTGAGCGATTTCAAACTTTGCATTTAATAGAAAATCGCTTCAATGATGAATCCTGACCACTAAAGGATAGTGCTTTCCAGGCATTCTGAGAGGCAGGCAGGAATACTGACTGGTAGGAATATCAAAACACCAGAATTCATGAATAGGGGTCAAACCCCCTATTCTGAATATCTTCATTTTGCTTTTTCATTTAAAATGATAAAAAAAAGATCTGTCCACTATATGAGTTCGATCATATAGAAATTTGTATGGTAAGGTCCTCACCGGGTTGACTGCCAAGCTTACACTGGCATAGTTTCATAACTTTTGAAATACAGCAAGAGAGAGAAAGATACATTATGCCCGAATACAGCTCCCTTTTTGGGACTCTTCTCGGGTCGCCGACAGCCAGTTAGCCAGCCGGTGGGACTAACTTAGGTATATACAGGGTTATTCTAGGTACATAGTGGAAGGCTCGCTGCCCTTGTGCGGTATTAAAATATTTTAGTTCCCTTCCTCTGCACCCGTTTCCTCGTTCTGTCCCTATCATCGTGTAGTCGTAGAGATGTCAGATAGGCCAGGCACTTTATCTGTAGTAGGAACCGAGCGGTACACAGTGTATGCTTTGAGTCGCTCAGCGCCTCGTCCAGGTTCTTCGGGCAGGATTGAGTATCGCCCCATATCCTGACTCTCAGTTTCTGGTATGACCGGCATGTTATCAGTACATGGTGCCGGGTTTCCGGGGCCCCACGGCACCTCGGGCATCGGTCAGTATCTGCACGTTTGACCTTTGCAAGCCAGCCGTTGAGCCCGATCTTTTTTGGAATACAGTTTCGTATAGGTCTTTGCATTTTATAACTCAGCACATACGACCACAGGGTGTGGAGAACAGGGCTTCCCGTCCGCTCAGCCGTACTTAAGCCACACGCCGGGAGGTTAGTAGTTGGGTGGGTGACCACCAGCGAATCCCTCCTGTTGTATGTTTTTTTTGACTATTTCAAATATTTATTTTAATATCCATAGTGCTCGATGTAACATTTTATGTAAAGGTGAAGGGGGAGGATATATTAATAGTATCAACTATAAAGTACGAAGAAGTACTTGCACATACTGCAACAGCGAGGTCATCTCACATATCGAACCGATATACCAACACACTTTCATCTAATTCCCTACCGCAAGTTCAATGCGCCGCAAGGCTTCTGCCAGGTACGCTGTCGGATGCGAGGTCACAATGCGAAACCAGCCAGGCTTCTCGGACCCAAAAGCATTGCCACTGGCAAGAAAGACCTTCTGGCTGCAAAGCCGATCCATGATTTCCTGGGTCAGGTCCGGACCGTCATAATGGATCTTCTGACGACTCTCGAGGTACTTCTTCCCCAGGTTGACCCATATGAAGAAGCCCGCATTACCGCCGCGCTCATACTCCAGGCCATGTTGCTGGAGATATTCGGCAACAAAGTGATACGAATCCCCCAATCTTTGTCGATTCATCTCGATGTATTGATCGGTGAAAGCGTCGTCCTCTAGTATATTGGCTGCAATATAATCTGACAGGCCTGAAACATAAGAGTACAGCGATGTTCCACGCAGGGCACTATGGACACCAGCGTTTGCTTGGGATACAATAACGCCAATTCGGATGCCATTGGCGCCAAAGTCCTTACTCATACCCCAGAGAATATGCGTCAATCCCGGGTCAATAATGTCTGTGGGATCGATCGAAAGTACGGATTGAAACTTCACTGGCGCCGGAGTCCGATCGATCCGGTTCTCCCAAGTCGACAGCGCGTAGATTTCATCACTGATCAGGTGGATCTGATATGTCTGACATAGTCTCATTAGTTCTACAATTGTTCGTGTAGGATAGCAGCGACCGAGAGGATTATGGGGATGACAGAGGACCAAGGCTCTGACTTTATTGCTTGTCTGACTTTCAAACTGCAGAAGCGCCTGCTCGTATTTCTCAACGGCCGCCGGTTCGAACGGGTTGCAATCATCAAAATTCACGGGAACCACCTTTGCTGCCGGTCGCATTGCCAAGTCCGGGATAAATTGCCCATAATAGGGCCTCCCCAGGAGAATACCGTCCCCGGGGTTGGCGAATATCCACGACAGTTGTTCGATCGCGGACGACACGCCATTTGTAATAGCAAGGTGATGGGGCTGAATGGGTGTAAATGGAGACAGGTGACGGTTTAAAAATCGGGCGGTGGCCTTCTTCAACCGCGTGCTTCCAGCGCCGCCGTCGTTGTAGGTTAGGTATTTGGCAGGTAGGGTTAATTGCTTGTTGATATACTCAAGGAGCACGTCATGCATCAGGACATTTTCCGCGATCCCAACGCTGAAGAACCCATTCGGGTTTGACTCCGGATGCCACAAGTCTGCCAGAATATCAAGTAGGGGGTTCTTCGTCTCTGCGACTACTGCTTCTTGTGCACGAGTTGATAACGGTAGATAGGGACGTGGTTCGTCTTTGGGAGACATGATGGACTTGTCTTGATGTGAAGGGGGTGGGGGAGAGAATATAAGGGGAAAAAATAAAATAAAAATAAAAATAAATGAAATCGGATAGTTATAAATACCACGAATCAAATCAATTAAAATAAATATTCGGAATAGCCTATTGTCTCCCCAAAGGTGGAAGTTATTTCAGTCGTTTACATCAGTTCCATAATTTCCAGAGTCAAATCCGAACCCCGCTTTCCACGCCTTGTTGATGAGTAGCGATCCATCTACGGCCATGATATTTCCACTTCACTCCACGTTCTTATTACTAGACGGGCAAGGACTCCTTCTATCATGTATACGAATACGAACCCTCTAGTATTAGGGGGGTTGGCTATAACTGATAGCGACAGTCAGGAAATCTATAACCATATAATTCTGGCTGTGGCGGTAAAAGTTTTCGAACTTTAAATGAATTTATAAAATATCGAGCTTTTCATTCTTTCTTGATAATTTGTTACAAAACAAAAAAGTAAAGAAACGAAGAGAAGAGAAGGAAAGAGAATAGAAAGGACCCATCTAGATAAGTTTTGCTGGTATATGTGGGCGGTGATGATAGAATATCTAGACTATGTCAAGTGTATAAGTTGTACTCACTCAACTTTCTCCTTTCAATTTAGCTGTAATCCACAAGGCGTGGTAATCTCCGTACACCCGTAACAAAGCGCGGTAATCTACAGGGCGCGGAATCCACAAGGCGGAGCAAAATCTCCACCGCTGGTGGAGGAAGATGAATCACTTGGTCGATTCTCTACCCTCTACTCCATATAGTATCATTTTCTTCACGCCCTGTCATGGTAAAGACCCACCAAGCAAATTCTCAATAGCGTCGTCGCCGTGGCGGTAATCAGTTCATTGATATCTCCACTAATACCAGCAATAACACCTCTCCCATTGTTTCTTCTCTTTTCCCAGCATTAAGCGGAAGTAATACAGAGTGAGCACTGCACTGATCTTCACCACTTTCGAAACGATGAAGACCGTACAATTCCCTGGATTAACTGGCTCGAAGGCCTTCGTTCGGCCTCTAGCTTTGTCGGATCTAGACAGCTGCGTGGAAGTCGAGAGCGCCTTTCCCGAGCAGGAACGCTGCTCAAGGGAAAAGGTATATTGTACACGTCGAAACGTACGGGACCCTCCAGGCTTTACACTGACAAAACCTTAGTTCATATACCGCCTGACCGTATGCCCAGACCTTTGCCTGGGGCTATTCGTGGAGAATTCTGGCTAGATAGAACTGGTCGGCCACGTGATTGCCACACGAGTCCCCGGCAGTCGAGTGACGGATGGAGCTATGGAAATGCCCGAACACTGGAGCGGAAGCCGTGACGTTGTCCAGGTAAACGGAGCGGTCATTGGGAACGATGTGAATGGGCGTTTTGTCGGGGTGCACTCCCTGGCGATTCGGACGGGGTACCAGGGCAAGGGACTAGGAAGGGCGCTGATGGATAAGTATATTGAATATGCTCGGACCGGTACTGAATCGGCACAGAGTATTGTGATCATAGCTCATGATCATTTGATTCGGTTCTATGAGAGCTTTGGCTTCAAGAACCTGGGACCGAGTCCGTGTGCTTTTGGTCGTGGAGGGTGGTATGATATGGTGAGTTTCCTAATCCACTTCTGGGATTGCATCCATTAATAGTATATTTAGGAACTGAGTCTTTGATTGAAACTCTGGGCCACTCTGAGAGTTCTGAGTTGTTAAGAAGAAATATGTTCGAAGTGATCAAATCTATTGGCAAACTTGAGCGCCGTTGAATGAAATATTGAAAGTTTACCATGATTTAGGAGGCTTGTGTCTCGTAGTAAGGTGACCTTCCCAACCGGATATGCATCATGTACTCTTACAGAGAGCATGTGCAGCTGCTTTCTCCACAGAACCTAATTCCACATTTCATGGACCAATAGAACATGAATTCTATTTTTAACGGCTTGGCTCTCACCTATTGGACCGTCGTCGTGGGAGCATAAACCGCTCCTTCTATTTTACATGGGAAATCGTAAGTTTATACTCACAATCAGTCCATCCTATTTTGCATCTTTCTAGGGAAAGTGTTGAAAGTGATGCAGAATAGTACCCCCATCTATATCAGTAATGTTTGTAGACGCTGATAATAACACAGTGCTGTATAAACTCCCTTAATCATAGAAATACAGATGGTAACATTGTCTTGCATTTGATAACAAAGAATCTATTCAAAAATTGCAGGGATAGTCCTTTAGTAATAGATAACGTAGTCAAGATAGTAGTAGAGAATTCTAACTTCGCCCTAACGTGTAAATAGTCTTATATTCTATATACCTATCATAGAGACAAGTGATACATAATACCTGTTACTTCTATCAAATCCAGCTTTCAGTTTCAGAGTTATCTCTGCTGTGAATACGGCTAAACAACGAAATGAAAAAGTTAAAAGTCTGATTGTATACAATGCTTTTGCCCTACAGAAAGTAGAAAATTATGAAAACAAGAATTCGCAGGTGATCATTAATGGGCCTGCTATGCTCGCATAGATAGCGCCAAGGCTCGGCGACGCAACTGGAAAGCCTCCCATCATCTGTATCGCAGTATTTCAAGGCACATTGGAATAACGTTTTCGCACATATAGCATCCCCCATTGGCGGATTTGATAAGGGATATTATAGGATTATCAGTCGATACAAGCTTATCTTCGCATACAGTGAACAGGGGTATGCATCTTCTGTAGAGCATTATGGTATCCGGAACAGGATACAGCCTTTTCATATGTGCATATATGGTGCAGGGCGTTTTGTCATATTGTAACTCCGTTGAACGTTATACTACCTATCCCGCCATGATCTGCGTGTGTCTATGGCCCTTTCATTCTTATCTTTGCTTCTACTTTTACAAACGACCGGTGAATTCAATGTAACCAATCCTATAGTTTAACATTCCGTGATACCGATTACTGTTCTAGGCTCTATCTCAGAACAGCGTTCACACAGTGTACGGATCATTAAAAGGTCCCGAAAGCGGCCATGAATTCTGGGCACTGAAATCATAACGGGGTCAGCCATCAAACTAAGGTTGACGGAAGCTGCGGAGTTGGGATCCGGCGGTCCGTTAACCTTCGGCTCTTCCAAAGTCAAACAAGTTATTCCGAAATCAATGATGCACAGACGATCTTGCACCTTGCTCAGAGCCCTTCGTGGCCATCGGTGACATGCATCTGCGGCGTGTATAGCTACTGTACTGTGCTTCAGAAGAGCTTTAGAGTTGCATCCAACATCTCTGTATCACTTTTAGCCACGATGTTTAAAGAGTCATGAAGTCAAAATTGTGATCAAGTTGTCATAGTTTCGCATGTCTAAAAGAGAGACCGAAAACAGCCAAAATTAATTTAGTGATGTTACCGATGACAGGGAACACTGTGTGTATAAGTATCTCTGAGAGGCTTCCCGAAATCTCTTTCAAGTTCTATTTTTTAACCCAACCCATCAACTCTCATCGACTCCTTGAACTCTCTACGAAATTAAAGCCGTTTCCTGCAACCACTCAAAATGCAGCTTTTTGCTCTTCTCATCGCCACATGCGCTCCGGCTCTGGTCGCTGCTGGTCGCCAACCAGGTGAAGTCTGTGGCCCCTACCCTGGCGGTTTCTGTGAAGAAGGCCTCCAATGTGCCACATGCCAACGTGGCATTCCAGGCGCCCCCGGAGTGGTAAGTGATCGATGTTTACAGGGACAAAGCTTGAACAGCGGTTAACTATTCATGAAGTGTGCTTTCCGTGACCCATGGAACCGCGATGATGATGTCTGGCGCCGGTGGTAGGTCAGAGATCACGGTTGCGCTAATATTCCTTGGAAACTAATATATTCCAGGCTCTAAAGAAAACGTGATGGGCCATACAGGGCAAAAAGCGGGATACTTCCCAGGATAATAAATTGTAATTTTGTAATTAGCCTTGGTGCGGGTTTTCCCTCATTCTCTTATATGGGTCAGGTTTTCCTGTACCGTAACCCGAATGGGAAGGTGTTAATATCGGATCTGGCGATATCTTTCATCAGTTCTCTGGATGAAACTAAGACAACAGACGTAGTTACAGACATAGAAACCGTATCCACGTCTAGCTCTCCTATTCAGAAATATAAAAAATTGAGAAACCTATATTGTCCTTTCACTTCCATAGTAAGGTTCAGTTCCGTTCATGACAGTTGAGTCAGTGACGTCGTCCCGTTGTAACTTGTTTTGGTCCGCTTTAGGGCTTCTTGTTACATGCCTCTGATCCTCACCGTGGTATGGCATGCGGCCCCAATGATTGACACGTTGTTACTTATCCAATCAGATCTGGTGGCTTCTCCCCCACATATACTCCTGCACACAGTACATAGCATGCAGTTGTGAAGAAGTCTGGGACAAGTCGGACTTGTAAACCGAAGGGGTCCACTATTATGAACCTTCGGCATGGATAATGTGCATTCCCTTACCCTTGCACATTCTTGCCGCAGCCTCCACAAGCTCCCTTGGTGCGAATGAAGGTGACTGCAACAAATATGGGCAATAGAAATGTGCTTTGGTGTTATGCGAACAACTTTCCCTGTTATTATAGAATTATCAGGACAGCATGACATCTTGGACACTTGTCAGCTATCCCTTGAGATTCAGAAATATCGAAACCTGACCTGTGCGATGCCCTTGCGCTGCACAATCGCACACTCCTTAATGTAGATCCATCCTCTCTTGTATGGAATTCTTCTTTTCTTTTTGTCCTTGCTCTCCTCGCTGTCGGTGGGGTATTCCCAGACGGCCATGCCCATGCAGGGGCTGAAAGTCGCAGCTCTCCTTTTACATCGTGCGGAATGAGATAGTTCATCCGTAAGTAATTACTATCCGTGCCTTGGCTTAATGCGATACTTTCAATCTGGACTATTGAGTACTAAGGCTCTTGACTTGTGGCGACGGGCGCGTATTTTGATTATTCGAACATCATGGTGAGCAAACCAGGTCTTGTATAGATCAAGTGGGACGGAATCTGTGTATTATGGTACGTTCCAGAGTTCGAATTCAAACATGGTTAACATGAGATTATATACAGATCGTGACATCCTCTTGGGCCAGTTACGTTTACTCCGTTGAATATTCCCCGATACTATCCAGTATCCGATAAGTTCTCCTGATGGTCCGTACTACGCCATCCTTACCAAGGTGGACGAATTCCCCGCCAGAGGATCGCGTTTCATATCTTTCACGAAGTTGGGGAAGATCTAGAAATCATAATCTTAGCTCTGTGTATTGGTAGTGAACTGGATATGGAAGCGATCAGAGATTGCCGAGGGCTGCAGGTATTTCCGTCACCTGTTCTTAAGGTCTGCGTACTCTGCAACTCGTGTTTGGAGGTGGTTTCAATAACTTTGACAATTGGCATACCTCGACTACCATCGGTGCTATTAAACTATTCGCAAGGATCCTTATGAAGTGGCGCCCACCGGCCAGTTCCTAAACCTAAAAGCAAGGCAGAATTCTTGTCATTTGGGTTTTACGAACGTGACTCAGTTCTTGAGTCATTGCTTTATGCAAGGCGACATGATATTCCTCTCATATCTAGGTTATATCGTCCGCTCTGCACTGTTGGTCACCTCGAGAAAACACACCGTTAGGTAAACCAATTAACTCGTCATTATTCAAGTGAATACGGAGTAAAGCTCTCTATGATATACTAATATACTGGATAGGAAATGAGATGCCTAGTTAGCAGGATCGCACCAACAAGGATCATGACCCATTTGGCAATGCTTTTCTCCCGCCACCCGACGTCGGCTCTGTACTAGAAGACCGTGGCAAAGTCTACCGAATGCACACCACAGGCAGCCCATCCAAACTTTAACATTAGCATTAGTCATGCTGTTATATCAATGTAGCTTCGAAGCCGTATACAAATGTTCTAACCAAATGATCTCATGTCCGTTCGCTTCGAAATCCTATTTCTGCAGCGCGGCACGCACAAGTTCACCACATACATCGCATACCATCGGAATGGCGCAGTTGAATAACTCTGGTCAAGCAACTAGAAGCACACACATTTGTGCGACGATCGTGACCACAGACTATCACAGCTTTGGGATGCGAGGCTAATGTCCAGTAGCAACGAGGCCTTACCAACTGGGTATGCATCACGTACTCGGGCAGAGAGATTGTGTAGCTATTTTCTCCGCAGAACGTAATTCTACCTTTCATATCGCATTCGCAACCCAGAAAGGAGTGCGACATGACATGCGACGCTGTCTCATGTCTTGGAGGTGCCGGTGTAAACCTTATATACCGGCCCTGCCAAGGTCCAACAGGTTCGGGAGTCAAAAATTGGTTATACGCAGTTGCTGAACATGAACAGTCATGGAAGAGAACTAAGTCGCAGCTTAACCAATTCGCTGCTTCCGCCTCACCCAGACCTCTTTGTCGGTACTGTCGGAAGACATATCCTGGGGGTCCCGCAGTTGCACCTCCCACACTTTGAGCTTGTAGTTGCCACGGTCTGCCTGCCCAGAGAAGATATCAAAGGACCAGCCATGTTTGGGGCAAGTGAGCCCGGCACTGAGGGTGATGCCAAAGTCTTCAATATCAAAGAGGCTGCCCTGTGAAAGTGGGAACGACGAGTGAGGGCATTGCTGGGAAGGGTTAGCTTGAGCGAAGGACTCTGTCTTCGACGCACTTACATGGTCAATGGCATGGATCTTCCCCTTGTATTTGAAGACAAGTACTTGCTCCTTCAAATCTCCCGGTAGGTCAATGTCCGCTTCGACTGGAGGGCCAACATTCGTCTTGGGGATATTGAAGGCTTTGCAACTTGGGGCAATCCGCGAGCAGTCATTGTCCAATTGAAGGTCGGGAAATTCGGAAACAAAGCCAACCCGGTGCCAGGCTGCCTGAGACCGTTGTATGAAGGGATTCATTGCGGGTCTAGTCACTATTTTGTTGTGTGAGCGACATCGGAAAGCGCAAGTCTGGCAGATTGTTATCAGAAAAGATAAGTGGGCACGTGACATGTTATGCCCCGCATAATGTTGCGCACTATCGCAAAACCCATGGTTGATAAGCGTTTAGGCAAGGCATTATCGGGGCTATAATCCTAACCGGTTCAATATCTGACACTTATTGCCTCGGTCCTGAAAAATCGAACTACCCCAAATAAACAAGCAACTCGACCCATTAGCCAACCACAGATATTCTAAACAAATAAATAAAGCTAAAAATAGAATCCACCGTAGATATGAAGGATCACGGTTCTTATGCAATACCGTATGAACATACTTTTACTTTTTGAGCTAGAGCATGTCATAATTTAGACAAGGTATGTGGGGATCGCATATGCAATAGAATTTTAAATGAAATTAAGATTAAGCAGCCAGTAAATGTCTGCATACACCGACTATGTACAGTTATATATGATTTTAATTGACTAATATTTCCGTACGGACGCATGGAGTGTCTCCCTCACAACCTCGATCTTTTCAATTTTGCGGAGAAATCACTCATTCTCATCGAAAAGAATATTACGGCCAGCATATGAGGTATGAACTGTTGGGGTCGTTCTTTGCCCCAACTTAGTAGCTGTTAGTATAATTGGATGGGATGGACTGAGCCAGCTTCGCGAGGGAACCTACGAAGTGGCTGCGCCTGACAAAGAAGAACCTTAGAACTCAAGTCCCGACTGAGAGAGACAAAGATGTTTGGAGGTTCAATCTAATATCTATCTAAATTTGCTGGCTTCATACCACTAGGCACAAACAGCCTGGGAGGGTACAACATGCTTATGGATATGACCATTAATAACAATTGCATGCAATCTCTCCTGCTTCTGCAAAACCTCCAAATCAGATAGAGGATCTCCATCCACGAGGATCACATCCGCATAATAACCGGGTGCCACCTTGCCCAATTCGCTTGGGTATCCCATCATCTCTCCTCCCCATGCGGTTGCGGCAATAATACTTTCCATCGGAGTATACCCAAATAAGTCCACAAGATGTTTCAGATCTCTGGCATATGTCCCGTGGGGAGCCCAAGCAAAACCATAATCACCACCGGGCATAACACGAATTCCCCGTTCGCGCATCTCTTGCATCGCCTTGCAGGCTGTCTCCACCTCGTATTTAAGGCCTTTCTTTGCAGCATCCTCGGCGGTCAACCCCCATGGAGTCGCTTCACCGGTGCAGGTTGTATAGAAGAAGTTTAGAGCTGGAGCGACCCAAACGTGATCCTTTCTTTGCTCTAGCATGTTCATGCCTTCCTCATCAATAAAACTGGCGTGATAAATAACATCCACCCCAGCTTTGAGGGCAAATTTGACGGATTGAGCACTTCTCGCGTGCGCACAGACACGTTTCCCTCGGTTGTGGGCCTCGTCCACTGCCGCTACTGTCTCTTCCAGAGTGAAGTACGTTTCCGTGCTGGGCATTGTGGGGTGGATGTCATCACCACTCATGCTCAGTTTTACATTGTCCGCCCCGAGCATAATGAATTCCCGGACCTGCTTCCGCATCTCATGCGGCCCATCTGCATTACGCGAGATACCGGGTACAATTGCTCCCCCAGTGGTTGTAATCTCAGGTGCGTTCGCCAGCGTGCGTGGACCTGGAATCATACCTGATTTTATGGCCCCCTTGATAGCAATATCGAGTCGAGGCTGAGCTGATGCTGCGCCAAAACACATGGTATATCCGCAGTCGAGGTAGGTCTTGGCCGACTGAGCGGTCGATAGGACATGTTCTTCGAGTGGCGCACTCGTAAGGCCATCAAGGGTAGCTGAGTTGTTGAAGCTGAGATGCGTATGGGCATCCATTAAGCCAGACATTAGTGTTTTCTTGCCTTCGCCATCGATCACCAATGCGCCGCGGGCGGCTGAATCGCTGACATCGCCTACGGCGGCGATCCGTTCTCCTTCAATTAACACGTTTCCATCGTAAGGGGTCCGCCCGGTCGAATCCAGGATCCGGACATTTTTGAACAGGATCTTCGATGGATCTCCTGGTTTGTGGTTGTTAATGGTGATATCGGCAGGCGTCGGCCGGTATGGCTGGTTGACAGCAATGGATCCCATGGCTAAAAAAGATTATGTCCGCCAAAGACCTAGGAGACCTTCGCAATACGTTGGGTCAAATTTATTTGACCGTCATTCGAATTTTGATTACACATAATTGCAGGGATCAGGCGGGGTTCCATCCAGTTGCATTAAATAGTGCGTGAAGATCACTCGGACGCGCAACCCTAACTCCACAGCGTCTGTAACATAAGAAATCTTTCACAAATTGGTATATCCCCCTACACACAGTGTTTTCTTTTTCTGCTTTCCTTGTTCAAACATTCATTCGTCATCTTGCTCCCCAGAATCTGATGGTTAATTAGTTGTCTAGACTGAAATGTTGGCTGGATCCTTAGAGCTTGATATCAATCCTACCATCCGCGTAAAGGCTTGAAAAGCCAGGGCTCGGCATTACTGTGGTCTTAGCGAATACGCAACGCGTAGTACAATGGCAGCAATGACGATGCAGAGATTTTCCATGTCCTCCTTGTGACCCAACCGATAAGGGCCATATGTAACCATGTGTAGGAAGGCATCCTCGGCAGGCGTGTCTGTCGATAGGTATTGAGAATAAGTCGAACTGGGCTTGGCGAATGTTATCCAAACTTCATTTCCGTCCTCTGAAATCAGGATTTTGCTGGATAGAGTTAGTAAAACAATATCCAGGGAGGGTGTTAGTTGTTTGACTTACTGCCCATTGAAAAGCTCATTCCACGGTTGGTATGGCTTCTTCAACCAACCAACAAGCTCCGCGGTTTCTTGCATACGGATTCTGTCGTAATTGTCGTATCTGTGCCCTTTTTTGACCTCCAATATTGCCCTTACATCTTCCTCGTCACCCGTGATCCACAAGGCGCCGTCGGTCAGCGCCTTAAATCCTGCCTGACGGAAGTTGGATTCAAACGCCACCCTAAACATAGTAAATTCGCAGCCGGCAGAGGGAACCAAGCTTAAAACCGCGTCAAGAAATAGGACGAGTGCAGTATTCGTGATAGATTCATCGCTGGGGGGTTTATCGTCTTCGAGGACCTGCTCTACTGGACTGAGTGTTAGCCACGAAAGCACTAAAGCCTAGAGGTTGCCTTACCTTGCGGAGCTATACCATGTTTCCTCTTTCGGTTGTGAGACCTTGTACCAGTCGAAGGTGTCTCTAGCGCGGGCTTCCTCTTGCAGAACTCAAGAACTCTGTTCTGCCATTTTAGAACCGGAGCCCATGAGCCGGGCCAGGCACAGTCGATCTCCGTCAAAAGTGCAAAGTTTTGAGGTTTGTCGACAAGGGCGAGGTATCGCTGAAGCTCCCTAGAGCTTGCGACAAGATGTTTAGCATTCTGCCACACGCCACTCAAGTTATATCTCTCGGCTTTGTACTCCAACTTGTCATTCTTTACAGGCCGATCCCAGATCGCCTTGAACAGGATGTGCTGCTTCTTTTTAACACGGCTGCCCGACCCAAGCTTTGATAGGTCATTTAGGGTCTTCTTCAATAGACTTGATGATTTGGCTACTCTGACCCAGTCCTCCGTTGACTCAGGTATAGAGAAACTCCCTTTGAAGGAGTCCTTATCCCTGGTGACCTTTGATCGCTGAACGCGCGACATTATCTCTCGCAGTGAAGTTTCTAGATAAACAGAGAAAAACAAAGACGTTCAGCACAGTGAAACGTTACGGGGACAAAAGGAGGGAGGGAGGGGAGGGGAGACGAGAGGCAGGGTATGGTTCAGTCCGTCAGTGAGTGGGTGGGAGAGGCATAGGGGAAAAGGACAGAGGAAGAAAAGCGAGAGGGCCCCCCAAAAGTGAGTAACACATAGGGGGTAAAACACTCTGCAAAGCCCCTCGGTGTTCCAGTCAGCATTCACAGCTTAGACGACGACGAAAATCGTGTGCGCCAAATAGATTGAGTGCCGGAGAGCACTGTTGGTCTGACGATGTTCCCCTTGACTTAACTCCATGCTGCCGACGCTCCTGACTTCTCACTGAGGCGTTCGACGGCCTTATCCATCATCATATTGTCCCTGAGGTCAGGTCATTGAGCATCCCGGTCGTTTCCTAAAATCCTTGTATCCGGGCAACTAGGTGTATACTGCTCGTAGCGGTTTGTTGCGACCGCTCAGTCATTAGATCCTCATCAAAGGGAGAAAAGGAAGGAGAGGCTCTCACCAGAATCATCTCGGTAAGTGGCTGTGTAGAGTACTACGGCAACCCGGTGGGAGGATGCGATCATTGTCACCATCTTAATGGCTTGGTAGTTGTGCAAACAAGGTATAGTAAGTTAGTAAATAACAGAAATACTTAGTCACACCAGGAGCAAGCTTCACGAAGGGCAAGGCCATAACTCGATACTGGAGAATTCGCATTCTTGATTCAAACAATCTAGGCTAAAATAACTGATATTCATTCCCAACTAAACCTTGACCCAAACTTCGAGTAATCATCCCCATGCTCTGCTCTTGAGATATTCAACTACCCTTCCGTCTCTATGAGGGAGCTGCATAAGCCTATTCCACAGGCAGCTTCTTGGTGGTCAGCTGATGGTTGATACCACATCCCAGGTAACGAGTAAGCAAGTCCCAGAGATCCTGAGACCCTTCCGAGTATTCCATGAATTTGGACATGGAGATCCTCAAATTCTGCCCGTCATAGATGGCGATTAGAACGCGCACACTGCATCCTGCGAAGCTGAAAAGCATTACCTAGCGGAAGAGATAAAAAGGGTCAGTAGCGACTCAGATAAACTAACATTGAAACTAATATTGAAACTAACCGGAACAATAAGATGATCGAGGAGAGTCTCTGTACACAGGCGGGAGTGCATGGTGGCAACTATCGCCATGACCTCTGCCTTGAGAACTAGCTCGGGATCCTTGACATCGCTGTGATACATAAGGACCTTAATATGCGGGAAGGTAGGATGACTTGAGCAAGCGTAAAAAAGGTTAATACTCCAGTCATAATCATCTCGATAATCCGGAGCGTGGTAAGAGAAAGTCGGATCGAGATGGAAATTGCTAGTCATAAAGCCGTAAGTATTTTCTCGAATAATAATACAGGAGATTATATCAAGACTTACGTGTTCCACCTCCACTTTGTGATCATACTCAGGGATGTCCATTCTTCTTCGCAGTTAACTCTTCGGGTGGACATTTCTATAGCTAGTCGATCGCATAGAATTCCAGCTTTACTGTAGGAGCTTAAGGGCCGGTAGCAACTGTTACTCTTGCTATATCCCGGTTTAAGAAGTGTTGCGGTGATATCTAGATCCTCCTGAGTCTCGGGGTCCCTGATATCCATGGAATGGTGTCTGACAAACTCATCGGAGAGGGGGATAAAGTAGGCACCTGGATCTAACTGTCGCGGTATCGCGGGCTCGGTAGTATGTGTGAGGTCCAGCGGTAGAATATGCACTGCCAGCATCTCTAGGTTTTCCGATTCGAGTGACTCAGCGTTTAGACCACGTAGCTTTTGGTACATGTCCCAGAGTATGGTATATACCTCCATGCGTTGATCATCCAATTTCTCAGATAGATCGATATGCGAAAAGCGACCACGTAGGGCGCGGATAGTTCTCTGGATCAAAGACATAGTTTAAGTTCGAAAGAGATGATGTTGTCGGTAGGTGGTAGTGATAGTTGAGGTTGCGTGAAAAAGGATTCACGAGTGAGTAGAGCGAGGGGGAGAAGAATCTGAAGCTGAAGGATTTTCCAAGGGTAGACAGAACGAGAAAGGTAAAAGGATAACGCAAGATGTGGGATGTTGATGTCATTCGGACCGCTGTTCGGAACTGAAACACCAGTATTCATTCAATGTGAGGGTGACCCATAACTCTCATCTAATGGATCAAAGCTGTATTTTCTAGGGTGGATGACATTGAAATCTCCAGTGAGCTTCATTAGGTCGTTATATGACCGTGTCGGCAGGCTACTTGCCACCTACCGATCGTGATGTGAGTCCAGTTCAGTTATGCCATTTTTCGCCATGTATTGACCACCAGTGACATATCAATGATGTGTCCATAGGCTATGACATTGCCGTTCTACTGACTGCCTATAGGCAGATGTTCTAAGTGCTGGTTCTTAAGCCACGTGCTACTGACTTTTCGGGCATGGCCAGCTATCTGGTTTTTCATACCGGCTTGCCGTTTATTAGACGGTCCTTGATTGACTTCATTCAAAAGCCGGGAAATCGGTACCGTGCTCAACGGATCTTCTGGCGGGTGGCCATGACATTGCCTGCTATAGGGAACACTACACTTCTTGGGTTATACGTGTGGGAATCAGTTCGCTGGCGGAGAATGACGGTTAGTATCCCGCAGCTAGGGTCCAACCCGAGTTACTAATATTGAATTCAATAAAGTTTCGTGTAAGTACGCCCATTCAACCTGTTACGGATGCGTTAGTCTAAAGATAGCCCCGATCGTGGGTATCGTGTCGGATGAAGCCAGTACATGTTTTCTTGCTCCTGAAACATTGAGATGTTGTCTTCATGTCAAAGTGGCTGGTCAAATCGCCCATATTACAGGATGATTATTCTAGATAAACCAGATCATTTCAAAATTACTGTCAGTTAAGTTGGTAACCAGTATATTCCACAGAAATTGATCTTCTGGGACCAGGACCATACAGTGTATTCCTGGTGTTCTACTCTAAATACCCAAGACAAGCTGAGCTGTACCATATTTCATTAGCTCTAGAAGCTTCACTAGTTACCCAACCAGTAGATGATTCTGGGCAACGCTGTCAAGTTAGAAGCGGGAAGCTATTTGGTAATATAGTAAGTTATGGATGATCTTGATCGACCGATCGCCCAAGGAATCTGCCAACGAAGGCGAAGCCGTCTGTGCACGCCTCCATAACCACATCCTCAAACACCTGGACCATGTGGACCGTGAGCTGAAGTATGTATTGTCAACCCCACACTCCGCTTGTGTGAAAACTCCAATATTGCCCTTTTCCCTGAGGGAAATTAAAGCCTTCCAATCTCCTTGGAATTCACTACTCCCGACGTCCCATCTGCCGCGCGGGAAGCCCAGTGTCGCCTTCGACGGACATTTGCTTATATGAGAATATGGGGGGAAGGGCGACAATCTCTCTCTAATAATGAAGTAACAACTAATAACACATCTATCAGGTGCGTGTGAGACTTGGGAAAACAAAAAACATACAACAGAAGGGATTCGCTGGTGGTCACCCACCCAACTACTAACCTTCCGGCGTGTGGCTTAAGTACGGCTGAGCGGACGGGAAGCCCTGTTCTCCACACCCTATGGTCGTATGTACTGTTTTCTAAGGTGCTGAGGATTATATAGTACATTTATACCTTCCTAGCCGTCGTATTCTAGACGCCCGACCCGGCTGCTTCGGGGGTAGTGGAATGGTAGCCAGATTCACAACACATTTCAGACTGTGTTGACACTTGCCTAATTTGGAGCCCGTGGAAGCACGATACTCAGTGCTATTGGCCTCACAACTAAATATTATCGTCACTGTACTAATACCTTGAAACCAACATAATTGACTTCGTTTTACATAATGTGAGAAAGAGAGATATATATCAAAGACGATGACACTCAATCACCCTTGGAATTTGCAAAACTGCTCCTACTGAACATCATTGAACTACAATGTTTGAAGTTCCTAGAGGATATCTTCCAAGAAAGCAAGGTTGGTTAGCCACTGACTCACTTTTCCTTCTGTCTCGTTGTAGAGGTATGGTTGTTGATAACGGCCGATACAGGCTTCAGCGTGGATCGAGGTCGTTTATGTCGCTGCGGGCATCGTGGGCTTCTTCCCTGAAACAGCAGCTTAGATAACAAGCATCATCGTTCAACCTGTGGCGGGAACGGCGCGTGAGATCCAGTCCCGTCATCGCTCAAACACCTTTCTTGATCGTGTGAACCAAGACCTATTCATGCCTCGTGGCCTCTACGCTATGGTCATGGCTTTCAAAGATGAAGCCCCCGGTCAACAGCAGGGGGCCCTTGGCCTACTATCAGAAAAGCTTGGGAAGTCACTCTTTGGCATCGAGAAGGTTGATATCAACCAGTCAGCCGAGAAACAAACATTCGATCCCGCTTCGACAATCGCGAAGGATACCCACACCGACGAGCACCCAGAAATGAACATGGTCAAAAAGCGTTTGAAAAATATCAGACTGGCCAGCGGTAAGACTCACGGCCAGATCGAGTTCCCGGAGGCTGCGCCGTTGGTTTACCCCGATCTAGATCGTGCCGCGGCACGGGCGATGGAGAACACGGGGAAGGAATCTGAGGGGACGCGCGAGAAAATGAAGAGCGCGGGGGCTTGGGTACAAGATTACATGTATAGAAAAGCGCAGGCCTCATATGTGAGTACGACTTTATTGAGCTTTGTCGGGCTAGAGCTTCGCTCACAGGAGTCAGGAAGCCAAAAACCCAGGGTCCTCTCTAGAAGTTCCTGAGTCGGGGCGTAAGGGGTTTGTCTCACAATATAACGACCCGAATCACCCGGTGAACAACGGAAAGCTTACCTCGGTGCTGATTGGGGGCCTCATGGGGAGCAAGCCGTGCCTGATTGAACGGGTTGCGACTTCCATCAGGGAGTCACAAGACTCCACGAGAATTGCTCGCGGTGGACCTCCAAGTAAACCGATTAAGAAGAAATGGCAGCGACATCACCGCACCAAGCAGCCTGGGCTTGCTAAGAAGGTTCTGCAGCAGGATGTGCTTTATCTGCTGATCGTCAACATGCCGACCGAGGAAGAGCTGAAGCAATCAGTTGCTCACCTAGAACATCTCATGGAGCAGAGTAGGCAGCGTTTACCACGTCAACCCTCACACTGATCGTGGATATAAACTAATATAGCGTGAGGTACAAGGTGCAGAATGGCTATTGGTAATGTGTTAGGGCTCATGCCTTTCCTAGGGATCGGGACGTGTATGTTGATATAAAGTTTTCGGTGAGACTTTGGGCTGGATGGAGTTGTGGGGCCGTTGTAGTTTATATTTCGTCTATTACTAAGATTGTTATTTTGAAAAATAACGGAGATATATATTCTCTAAAGGATTTGTAAGGGTTAGTATAACTATAATTTTCCTTTTCTCTACGCGAATCGAAAGGGTATCTAGAACACCTTCGGTTGCCCTAGATAAGCTCCATGAGTTGTTTCTAGAGGCGAGCCACGTTGCATAGACTGTACTTGGGCCACGGCGTCCGCTAATATCTAGAGTTCAGTCATCATAAAGAGCCATAGTGATAGCTCTTGGTCAGGGACTGGGTTTTGCTAATGATATACACTCACTAATGCGGATAATACTACCAGGATGAACTAGTAACAGATGCAATGTAACTATCAAGTGATGACAGTGATTGATTGCGAGGAACTAGAATGTGTATCTGTTGTCCGTTGAGCAAGTATGTACCATTTTGCATAAATTGTATCATGCACTTGCGATGTCCTCCACCCTGGCCAAGATCCGTTCCCGATTAGCATGAGGATCATCGTCTTTGAATGCTGTTATAGTCGACTGGCCAACAGTAGGGGAGTTTATTTCCCTTTCCCAATACAATGATGACTCTATGACCCCGGAATCATGACGGCGATAGGGATTTGGGTCAAGGAAAAATTTCGAGGGCATCCGTAGGACACTCCTGACGCCCTTTAGGCAAGGAATCATAAGATCCCAGGCATGTCGACATGTTGGCACATCAGGTGGGATTAACTCAGTCGCAGTCTAGCCATGATCTCTGAAGGAGTCGGATCGCGTTCGACTTTGGGTCACGCGAAAGCCATGTGGAGATAAAGATGAACTGCCGAATCAGCACAGAATATTCTATCCGAGCGCAGCTGCAAATCATTCAGCCAAAAGCGGCCGCGGAGTGCTTGCAAGGTCATCCCGATCTTGTTGGGCGACCGGAAAACCAACGTCGATGAGCGGAGTCATTCCATCTGAAGGCCCGTGTGAATAAGAAGTCCTAATCTCATCCAAATATCGCGGTGCCGCTGGAGATCCCACGTCAATTAGAGGAGTCCTTTCATCGGAGAGCCCCTCAACGGCGTAGTTCGAGGCTTCCTCCTGAAGATGACACCAACGCACAAACCAATCCGCGTAGGCATCTTGGGCCACATTCGTTGCATAGGTGTCATTGACCACCAGGACAACCTTCCGTACGCCACTCACGTCGGTCTCCTGTTCAGAAAGGGCACCAGTACGAGTCGCATATCGGGGAAGGGTGCCGCCTTTTGCATAACCCGCCTCGAGAGCTGACATGAGTAGCTCCTCTTCCGCTAGATAATCTTCTTGTTGCCAAAGGCGTTCTTTTCGAGCGATGTCGACCAAGATACGGCATGCCTATATAGAACCAATGTTTTAGTGCGGGATTCTCCCTCTCAACAGTTATGTGAGAGACACACCTGAACTAATAATGCGACAGTACATATGAGAAGTACCGCACCACACAGCGTCAAGATACACTTATCATACGTGGATAGTATCCTATGCGAACTTGATAGAAATCCATCATCGCCCCATTCATTGTGCGTACTTCCATGGTCCGCCGTCGCATTGGTGAAGGACAAGAAAGCCAAGAATAGGACAAGCTTTGGAATGCGAAGTTGTATCGACCCACTGAAGCCGAGGACACGGACCATAAACAAAAACATCAATGACAGGAAGGAGAGACTTCTCGTACTTGAGACGATCAACAATGCCGTTTGTAAAGAAATAATAGGAGGGGTATTAGGAAGGAGTGAAGATGTATTAATTTTTTTTTTTTTTTTCGTTTCTCTTGGTACTTTCCTTCGAACCCCGCGCTAATGATCCCTGTCGGTAATCTTTCACAGTCATAAAATATAATATCTAGCGAACATTCGTCGGGGAACGGAGAGACGCCTCCGTCGGGTCGGCGAAATACTCCTTCGGGTTAAATCGTAATAAATCCTCGTTGCCAGCACAGAATAAATTAAGATCAGAGCCAGTCAGAGAAGTCAGGATATCCCATGTGCGAGGACTGACTGGTTGGTGCCCCACCTGGCATGCGCCGCCACTGGTGCATTAGGGCTTCTTTTTCAACTCTCTGATAGGAGGCTCGCTTGGCTAAGAGTTTGAACATCGTCGATAAGGCTATCTGCTACGTCAATGGCGAGCGGATGGACTTGTCTAGCTCCTCTCTCGACGGGTTTCTCGTCAGCATACGCGTTATGAAGGATTCGTCATCCCTTAGCAATCGAACCGGCATCATTCATTGCCATTCAGGACTACTACTACTGCTGCTCCCCAGACCCTCTGCGGAGTCTGGAGATTGACGGAGCTCTGGAGATGGAGAACTCCGGAATTTACCCATAAGTCCAGGCTGGAAGGGACTTCTATTCGGTTAAATAGCGTCTTAGCTACTCTGGGCCATTCTGAGCACCGTTGTCCCGCTCAGTCTCCACTTTTCTAAATCGACCCATACTAACGTAAACTTAACTCAGCGGAAAAAGCAACTAAACTAGTCCCAACCTCGATACGAACGATAACCAGAGCGAATCAGATCACCACGTGCGCGGTTCGACTGGAAACACTGACTCGACAGTCGAACCATCCGACTCATCTCTCGTCCGCTGTGAGTGGATGCTTCACAAGTCCCGTAGAACTCGGGACTCATTCCACGGGATCCGAGATGAACATTAGGCCCAGGAAGGCAGGTGGGCATGTGCTTGTCATGAACAAAGCAAGCGCAACCCTGGGTGTCGGTGGGAAATTCCCCCGTTTCTGTAGGGGATGTCAATCAGAGAGGCGACAGTTGTATGCGTCGGCTACTCAAGGTATAGCCTACCTGGTCCCATAATAGGAGTACGAGGTGGTAGCTGCAGCTAGCCACCAGCTTCTGAACCTTGTCGCGGATTGAAATAAAACGAGAGGAATGTCCTCTTGAATCATTGAGAACTGAAATCTTCGCCTTTTGTAAGCTCGCCAGAAACTTCCTTTTTTTTTTTTTTTATTTATCATTATTTTTGTACCATCTCTAGCCATGGGTTCCAACAAGGCGTTTCTCTATGCCGCCACCATCGGTGATACAACTACCATTCAAAATGAATATCTTAAAGACAAGGCAATCCTCACTGCCAAGGATGCCGACGGCCGGACAGCCCTCCATTTAGCAGCACTTCACAAGGACGTCAAGGTCCTCGAACTGCTACTCAACTACGGGATCGAGCCATCAACCACCGACAACCGCGGCCAAACCGCATTACACATCGCAGCCCAGTTATCCTCCCTCCCCGTGGTCGAACTCCTCCTCAAGAGAGGTGCCCCTTGGTCGATCCGGGACCATGACGGAAATACAGCCCTCTCCTACGCCTACCAGCAATATTCCCCTGATATCCTGAGCTGTTTCCTTCAATACACACCCTCCCTCCCCACAGAGATCCCCTGTGGCCTGACGCCAGAAATCGTTCTTCGATCCTCCGCGAGCCGGAAATGGACTCCTATCCAGATCAGTGTCAGCGCGCACGGCCGCTAGGGTTTGTGGAGTTATTCGGTAAGTGGGAATTGGGAGACATCTGAAACCGCTCCACTAACAACAAGTCCCCAGACCACTTTCTAAGTAACAATAATCATCCATACGCGTCGGAAACTTGAGTTTTTCCGACCAAAAAGTGACGATCGGTTCACCGGATGGCCGAAATTGAACTATGTATCATGACTATTTCGGCCAATACGAGAAATTCGGACAGACAGTCAGACCGTGCCAACAAGAGGACCGACTCCACCAAAAGACCCTTCTACAATAACGTGGATAGCATCACCATCGGTCGCATCCAATGGCCCCCTGCAGGACTTCAAGCTCTACTCATTTGGTAGAAAGTTGTCTACAATCGCTTTTCAAGACGAAGTATGATCAAGAAGGTCCGCTAGGACGGACAGCGAGAACGGGGGATATCTGTATGAGTGTGTATGTCTTGGAGTTTCGTCATTATCTCGGGCGTTGAGGATTTTGTTCGGGGGGGAACCTTCGATTCATCCGTGTGGGTGGGTAAGGTAGTGGGGACGCGTGTCGGGAGATACATCCCATGCATTTTTAGGTAGAAGCAAAGTAGTCCTATTGGACCATGCATCGAAATAATAATTACTCCTTTGGGAATGTTCCGAGCTTGTCGGCCAATCAATCCTTGTCTAGCAATACGCTAGAATCTCTCGGGTAAACTGTTTATTCGAGGTTTGATGAATCTCGCCAAGCATCGCACCAGTAGAGGTTGTCTGGACAATTGGTATAAATCTGTCTAGATATAACAGTATGCTCTTTTGAGACACGGCATTTAGGAATGTATAAAATGACATGCTGTACGTTCATGCACGGTATTGTCCACCGGGGTTCAGCACGCTCCAACAAGCATTGTTCCATGAGGGCATCAACCGACAGATAGAGAGACACATTCTGCGAAAATTGATACCAGAAGAGTGAGCAATGGGCGAATGCTACTTATAGTCGCGTGATTAGGGTGAATATTTTCATATTACATAAGAATCGTTCTATAGTTAACTAGTACTACTATTCTCACATCACCGTCGTACCTTTGTTATTTAGAACTTACTATATATCATGCTTCTCTAAGTTATATTCTCTAATATGGACAAGGCTGCACATCTCCACATAAGTTCGTTCCGTTACTGACTTTGATATATATCCCTGAATTTTGTTTTTTTCCCCCTTTTGACTATTGAAATGTAACGCGTGCAACTATTCCCTACGCTCAGCTTATCACACACAGACCCATGTATCCATAGCGCTAGTGCTATGACCGCCGCTCTAGAATACCGACCGAACACGAGGTATCATGAGCATGAACTCTTCACCTGCAGGCTTTTCTATTAAGAAGGGCTCTGCTAACAGAGGGTGTGGGACGTTGCGCGGCTTGTGGTATAAGGCAATAACCTTAATCAAGCTTACAGTGTCCATTTCCAAGCCCTAAGTTCGTGACACTATAAATCTTAATAGTCCCCGCCGCAATATAGCGCAAATGCGGGGACACTCAGTAGATCACACTCCAAGGATTTAAGTCCCAAGCCCCCAAAGTCAAAAAATTAACGGATCCACTTCGTTCTTGCCAGTAGCTTGGTCGATCTACTTTAGTATAGGCCCGGGCGCACCCGGGAGCCTGGATTGATTCTTTCCTTAGACCCAACTTTCTATATCGGGGTGGGACGTGCTGTATGCATCATTTCCGCCATCTCAAGCTACCCTGGAGTGGAAAAAAAAAGTAAAGACTACGTTGAAACGGATGACGGGGGTTATATATTCCTATGAATCCCTGGAACAACATCCTCCCAAGGACACGACCCTCGTATGACCGCCGGCATGTTTTCACAATTTTTTAAAAACGAAGTTGCGACAGAAAAATCTTTCGCATACCAAATTCACAAAAGAATAACGCACTATATTCCTGGATGGCCGACAACCCAGTCTCTATTACAAATCCCCTCAGCAATCACCTGCCAATTATCGATGAGCTCCCCGGGCCGGACGAAATCTCTCAAACTCTCCAGATATAATACTCTGCCCATACATTATGATACTATATGGATGAAATTTACTGACCTAGACTATCTGCAGCAAATGGGCACGTCTATGGTATGCAAATATCACAATATCTAGCAAAAGATGATTAGAATCCCGAGAATAAACGTTCTTCTCCAATCTCAAAACTCTCAATTCATTCCGAGTACTTGGGGCTTTTCTCAAACATATCAAAATAACTTCTTTCATGTCCTAAATAAACCCTCGCATTCGTCCCTTGCACCAATCTCCTCCCGTAGTCTCTGCTTCGAAACCACTCAAAATAATCCCGCATGAGAACTCCCGTCGGTCTTCCCTCCTCAAAATTTCCTTTCACATGGAACAGATCACCTGTCAAGATAATGGTACCAGAACCCCGAAACGTGAGTTCAAGAACAAGCGATCTTTCCGTATGTCCCGGACATCTATGTACAGTAACTCCCCTCCAGAGTGTTACATTCTCCTCCGAGACAGTCTTCCAGTTCAAAAGATCCGCTCGCAAGTAGTTTGGCAGAAACAAGCCACTGTCGATCCCAGTTGCGCATGACCAAAACGCGAGCTTAAAGTCAGTCTCACGACACCGGATCCCCACATCTATTCACCGTCGGCTAGCCTTCAGCAATAGACGCGGTGTACGAACCTGTTCCAAAGAAGTGCTCTAAACCCCCAGTATGGTCGAGATGCAAGTGACTCAAAATGACAGCCTTGACATCACGACTCACCTGCACTGGTGGCTTTAATCGCGGCAGGAAGAGAGTGGATATCCTTGTCCCAAATCCGAGGTGCACAATCTAGGAATTCTTTGTCCCATGACTTGATCACATCCTCGCGGGACCCGGTATCGAAAAGAATGAGACCCACGTCTGGGTGGTAGAGTAGACATGCGATCATGAGGCATGGTCGGGTCTCGTGGGTCAGAGGCTTTGCGCCGTGGAGGGGAACATTGGCCCCTGATAACACGTACGAGGTGTCGATATCAAGGATTCCTAGATCGAGTAACTATTTCGACTTAGCGTTGAGATTTATTCACTGAAAGGGACCGAGAACTACCCAGAGTTTAGACCCAGCTGGTAGGCGCTTGGGAAAGATGTTTGCAGGCCGCTAGAATTGGAAGAATTTCAATCGCAGGGGAAGGTCACAGGGGCTACTCTTATAGATATATTCCCAAGGTGGATTAGCAATCGTTCATACCTATTCTCCGTCCAGTTCCGACCTGCCGATAATATAGTTTCATAAACCCGTCTACCTACCGCTGATCTATTCGCTCTGGGACTAATTCATTCAGAGATACGGAATAGCTACGAGTAAGGCGATAACCTCTTGCGTGTACACGTGTCGTTTCAAAGCCGGTAGCTCACTTATTCTTCTGAAGACTACATCGATAGATTTAATTAAAGAATATGACGAGTTAGCTCTGTGCTCCGAGAGTAGGACCCCATTATACGGGTGTAAATAACTGTCCATATCAACCACAGGTGGTTATAAAGCCCTTTTGGGGTTATGTGATTGCTTAGGACGATAGGTCTTAATACAAGAAAATATTCTTCAGCTTGATCAATATTCTTTACCTTTTACGTACTACTACCCCAGTACGACCAGTAGTTTACGGGTATAGATACAACTATAAAGTAAATAAAGCGTCTCTCCGCTGAATAAGCGGGAAGTGAGGATGCGTCGCTGGCTTTAGATATTATCTTGTACTAGTGTATGTCTAGAACTTCCCCTTTTACTTTCCTTCTCCTATCAGATAAAATAAAGATATCCTATGTAATGTGGCGCAACCTCCAATGGCACTGTTCGATTACAAACAGTGCCGTAGACATGACCAGTTGAGAAGGCTCAATACAATATCCATATATTCTACAGGAATTTGCGTAGATCATTCTCACGAACAAACTCCGACCAGGTTTGAAGTGACAGCCCAGGAATCTAAATGTTGTCAGTCACTCTGAAGGTTCGGTGCGGACAAACGGACTCACATACCTCTCTAGCTTGCACAAATTCCGGGTTGGCATAAACATTACCAAAAATCTCAAACATCATTAGTTGTTCCGTGAAGTCCAAAGCGATTTCAGGGGACATGCCATCCCGAGATTCCAGAAGCTCCTGACATTCGCTGCTGCTGAGCTTTTGGTACTTTGTGGGAAGGTTGTACTCTGTGATAACGGGTTAGAGACTATTTGGAGAGTTAATATACTGGGTAAGGCAACCTACGGCTTCCGATATTCGCCAGCTTTTCAGACTCAGACAGTGCCTCCGAGTAGAATGCGATTGTCTTGGTAAAATAGGTTGAACCGGCCTCGAGAATGATACGCACAAGTTTGCCGGTGTCGGCGATGGCGACATTAGGCATTACCGTTTCTGGGCTGTGGGGGAACGATAAAGTGTAGACCCCGTTCGCATCCTGTTGGTATTGAGTGAAGGTTCATACATCGAAGACTTAGTATCGTGCCATGCTCACCTTCTTAGGGAGATATCTATCCGGGGTAGTGATGCAGTTTTCAAAGTAATTGGGGAACAACACAGTAGTGGTCTTTGCCCATAACTCTGGGTGTTCCTTCTGGATATACTCAGTAACCAAACTCTTACCCTTCCAGTGGTGAATATTGAGAAGCTGGCCGTTCGATAGCTTGACAGGATCGGGAAGGGCACTCCAGACAAAGTGCTTTAGAGTTTCAGTCCGCGCTGCGGCATCCACAATAGCGCGTCCTTGCGCAATCTCAGTGGTGGTAGATTGGGTTTGCCAGAAGTCAGTTAGCGCAAAGATACCATCAGCGCCAGCGAAAACGTGTGCGAGGGCATCGCTGCCACTATTAAGGTCAGCAGGCCGAACTTCTGCCCCAAGCGCGGCGAGCGTTTGTGATGCGGGCTTGGTTGGGTCACGCGTGAGAGCCCAGACATGGTAAAGGTCCGGCTTTGCAAGAAGCTCTTTGGCTACAGCACCGCCCTGTATTGTTTAACCACCAACTACGTGTTACTAGGAGTTCACAAAAGCGCCATGTTCTGATTAGAAAGGACGTACCTGGGAGCCAGTAGCACCAATGACAACGATCGTTCGAGGAGACATTGTAAAGTAGGCGCGTATTCTCAAAAAGACGTTTGTCCAAAGACCTGACTGTTTTCGACGGTTCGAAATCTGTTGTGTTATGTTATATTGTAGTCAGGGACGGGTGGCCCTATTAGTCTTTATACCTTTCGAACGAAGACAAGTTGACCATTGAGCACGCTTTGTCAGCGGGAAAGCTCCCAAATATGCACCTATCCAAGTGGATCATTATATCTAAAATGACGAGTACAAACCACCTCGGCAGCTCCTCAACCTACGTGAAGTAGCCGAACATGCCGGAGGTATTGTCTTCATCTTCCAGCAGAAAGGCAAAGAAATACGAGATTTGAGCTGCGGCCTTTGATCCACGGGGTCCTCCACGGTGAAAGCTATCGGCAGGAGAACGTGATGCTAATCCCCAGGAACTCAATAGAGGCAGTGGGCTTGAGTTGGCGTGGTCCACCACCTCCAATCAGTTTACGGATAGCGAGACTTCCTGTAGAAAGATCTGCGAACTTTAAGAGGCCGCACCGCTTAATCATCGGGAACCGCAAGACAGCGGCCTACAATAACATTCATATTGTAAGATCACTAAAACCGTCTCAGTCCATCGGAGGTCGGTTTTCGGACATGGCCAAAACCGAGAAGGATACTACCGTGATCTTTAAAACGTATGTTGATATAAATACAGTCTTGCTCCGCCCACTCAACGGATGCCAGAATGCTGTCTAGAATTCGATTTTGGTGCACGAAACATAGATTTGACCATGGCACAGACCACTGTCCTTGTAACAGGTGCTAACCGCGGTGAGTTAGGCATTTGAGTATCATGAACACTTCTTTTCTTGCTGAATCAATCCACACCACCAGGTATCGGTAAAGGACTAGTAACTGCATATCTTGCAAAGGCCAACACTACTGTGATTGCGACATGTAGAGAACAGTCCGACCAGAATACGAACGAGTTGTGCTCTCTTACCAGAGGCCACGGCTCTAATCTCATAATTGTCTCTCTTAGCCTTGATAAGCCGGACAGTGTCCTTGACGCAGTTTCCCAGCTACAAAGGCATCACTCCGTTAGCAAAGTCGACATAGTTATTGCGAATGCTGGAGTATGCAATCACTACGGCCCTCTGGAACGCATGGCCGATTCGGACTTGATATCTCACTTTGAAGTCAATACGCTAGGCCCGATGAGACTATTCAGGGCGAGTTTGCCGCTTCTACAAGCCAGCAGCCAACCCAAGTTCACCTATATCTCTTCCGAGTTAGCCAGCATCAGTGGGCTTGAGCACTCCTCGTCGTTGACTGCGGCATACGGTGCCTCGAAGGTAGCCAGCAACTACTTAGTCAAGAAAATCGACACAGAACATCCGGATGTGATTGCATTCTCGATTGATCCAGGGTGTGTATTTGGTTATACAAGTATGGTAACATACCATTGCTAACCCAGAATCTATGCCTGCTTTAGGTTTGTCCAAACCGATATGGGAAATCGCGGCGCGCAGTGCAATGGGCTAAAGAAAGCTCCGATGACTATTTCCGAGGGTGTCGAGGGAATTGTTAATCAGGTATGTCAGCATAATCGATTGGCTCTTCCTATCCTAGCAGGGTGCTGTAACAGGGAGGTGGTTGATTGCTGATCTGCTAATCTTTTTCAAAGGTTGACAAAGCCTCCAAAACAACAACCTCAGGCAAGTTCATAAAACACGACGGTGAACAGGTGCCGTGGTAGACAACGCGCTCTAAGTTGGACATTATGGATTGGACCGGGAATGAGCGATCTGGTTTCGTAGAAATGGCCTTTTACATGTCGAAGAGTCGAATATATGTGACACTTGCTGGTACCTGATATCCTCCGAACCAGTTTTACACCGTAACGGCGGTCTTTCCAGCTCAAGTAAATACAAAAGGACTTCTACAAGGGTAAATCTATTTTGTCGCTTGGTACTATTCAACTTACTGACCTTAGAGTTGGTGAATGATAACCTCAGATCTCATGGTGCCGTGGAGATAAAGGGTTGGTGAAGGCAAGGAATGTAGTTTATCAGACACATTAAACGCAACATTAGCGATACTACTACCCAATACCGATACATAAAACTTTGTCTTTAACTTGTTTATTATGGGCTCGAAACTTGAGAAAGACACCGTTATTCCACCATGATCTCTAGCTTAGATCCAGCGACTCATTGCTATCCACAGATGAAATGAATTTCTCATTTAGGGCACAGAAGTCAGGCGTTGACCGTCTATCACCGAGCCTGCACTAAACCGTGAGATAATCTCATTTCAACCAGATATCAACCTCAAGCTCAATACGATGTTCGGAAAATGGCAAGCTCTCCACACCCACCATGGTAAACAATGGTTGATGATTCGGGCAAAACCTTTTAATGTGACGCATCATCGTCTCCCTGGCCTGATCCCGCATGGTAGACAAATCGACTAGATATGCATGTAGTTTGACGACATAATCCCAGCCCGTTTTCCCTTCGTCAATGGTGCGGCCTTCTTTCTTGAGTGTAAGAAGGATGAGATCGTTGATGTTTTGAAATGCTTGGGTGACTTCTTCCTCAAAAATGGGGGAGGTTTTCAGAGTCAAGGGATCAATTCCAGCTATGACAGGGTTATTGAACACTCATATATAGGGTCAATTTGAAATACTTACTTTGGCCTGTAACTATCATTCTGTCGCCTATGATACAGGAGTCACTGAAGCCGTACTTGTCACGGCATTGTTCCCCGAAGCCGGAGAGAGAATGGTACTTGAATGTCGACATCTTTATCGAAGTTGTCTTCTTTACATTTCTCTGTCGAATACCAACAGTAGACCTTACCTTTCAATATTTATACCTTTAGACATGAGCTATCAATAGACAAATTTAACCGCTTTGTCAGCGGGAGCCACTTTCATGCCAACCGCCATGAGATCCTAAAACTAGGTCTTGGCCTTAACTATCGGGATATCGGCGCAAAACGGTGGGTCTGGAAGAAGGATGTCCTCCTAGAGTATGGAAAAGTGGAGGTCAATTTGGAAAGGCGTGACTCACAGACTTCCTTCCTGCCGCTACGCAATATTTTGGACCTCAAGCACCGGTTACATTAGAACATTTAGGCTATTTAGGAGAATTAAGCTCTTTATCACCGCCTCAATCCAAATACACAATACAATAGCGTTGAGGACCTAGGAGATATGGTTCCAAGCAAACAGCGCCGCCTTTATCAGGAGGTGAAAGCAACTACTTAAAGAGGCGTATTTCGGGATTTAGCCCTTCCATGTAGGGATTGAGATATAAAATTCAATCATAATATATTACCATCTAACAAAGTATCAAACATAGTCCTAGGCACTAAGGTTTCTGGGAGGGTGGTATATCGCACTGACTGAGTTTCAGGGAGCTGTCAGGCGGTGGATCTCCTCAAAGAAGAACCTGAGATTCTCAGGCTTGACAAGAGGAGTGATGCCTACCAATGTTAGTCTATTACTGAGAGAAAGAAGATCGCTATAAGGTTCAGTTTACCGTGACCCAAGTTCGCGATCCAAGGTCGACTGCCCGCCTTGAAGCCCCTAACCATTGCCTCAACTGCTTCTGTTATCGCTACATGGTTTCCGTATAATACACCTGGATCGGCATTGCCCTGGATTGTGATGCGACCTTTCGTGGCTCGAACAGCTTCTTCTGGATCATGAAGCCAGTCAAGGCTAAGGACATCATATCCTGACTGACATAAACTTTCAACGGCATGCCATGCGCCTTTTGCAAATACAGCCATTGGTACCGGCTCCAGGTCCATCTCTTCTAGCCTCCTAGGAAGGGTGGCAGAGATATACCGCAGGTACGGAAGCGCGAATAAGTCAAAGGAGCTCGGCGATAGTTCCCCAGCCTTGGAATCGAAAACCTGGACAAATTGTGCTCCTGCCGCAACCTGTAAAGCCAGATGCTCTACACAGGTTTCAGCAACCTTCTGCAACAATACTTTTGATTCTGCTGGATAATTGTAGATCCACGCTTTGGACTGCCCTGTTTTGGTTTCTCCCCCTTCAACCATGTAGCAGAATAAGGTCCAGGGCGCACCACAGAAGCCAATGAGGGGGACACGACCATTCAGCTTTTGCCTAGTGAGCGTAATGGCTTGATAGACATACTCCAAATCCACATTTATATAGATTTGTTTGCGGGTTATTTTTGCATACTGGCTATCTTTCGGCGACAGTAACGGTTCCGGGAAATGAGGACCTTTCTTATCAACCATTTCAACATGCATTCCCATTGCCTGTGGAATAACAAGAATATCCGAGAAAATAATTGCGGCGTCTATCAGCCCTTCATACCGATCTACAGGTTGAAGAGTCAACGTGGAGGCGATTTCAGGGTCCCGACAGCATTCGAAGAAGTCACGGCTTCTTTTCACTTCATGGTACTCTGGGAGATAGCGACCAGCTTGAGGTAATCAAAATCTTAGAAAAGAGCGTACAAAGTTGTATGAATTGACTGAGAGGGAGTTGGGAAAAAGATGCGGACAAGAAAAACGTACCTTGTCGCATGACCCATATTGGAGGACGTGGAATACTCTCGCCTGTCATTGTGTTAGTTCCTGCGATGCCCATATAAATACTTCAAGTGACAGTATACCTTTCGCGGCTCGTAGCAAAAGATCATTCTTTAAGGGTGCGAACGTTTCTTTCATCTTTAGAGATGTTACTTGGTAAGAGTGAGTATCACAGAAACCTTAAGTGAATTGGACTGAAATCTGGGATATTGTATTGGCAAAACCAATGTAATGAAGATCAAAGAAAGTATTATTAGGTTCAATTCCTGTCTGAGTTAGCCATTTGACTATTTTTTCCCCTTCTTTTTTCATCGCGGAATTACGGGCCATATTGATAATCCTTAGTCATTTGAGTTGAACCCTGGCGCACGAAGAATATCTGTATTCGTAATGATTATTCATCTGAGTTCAACCCTGGATAAGCCTGACGAAGACTAACATCAAAGAGTCAAAACACGGTTTTGAAGAAAAAGCAAAGGCTGGACCCAACCTAGGCCAGATCCATGAAAGCCATCATCTTCATCCCGCTGATTAAGCGGTGACTTCAATCGTTGGTTCTTGGCATGAAAAGTGACGTCTATAACAGCATAGTTTTCACATCACGGAAAGGCCTGGTATTTCCAGTGTCGCAGAACAGATTGATGGATGTCTGACAACCACAGGATAACCTTCTTTGCCCATTGATCTTAGTCCCAGTGTTCTCCTCTCTCCAAATGGCCGACTATGACCCCTCACCGAGGCCAACTGGATACCGACTGCGAATGGCATGCCAAGAATGTAGGAAGCGGAAGATCAAATGTGACGGTGGGAGGCCCTGCAATATTTGCCAGCGAAGGGGTACATCTTGTTTGTACCGCGATATCGTGCGCCAAAGGATGAGACGACACCAAAACAACAAGCATGAAGACGCTCCTACAACGATGCCTAAACTACCTAGGGGCATATGTGAGGCCGAGAATGCACAGTCAACCAATGAAGAACTATCAGCTTCAAATATTCCGCACGATCAAGGATCCACAGTCAAATATAGTTTCAACAATGGGGTCTCGGCCACAGATACAGCATCTCCACTCACCACGGTGCAGCTATACTACGGTTCAACATCACAATTTGCCTTCATGCATGAGTTCCATCAGGAGCTGATGCCCGATCGAGCCAACCAGTCTAATGAGACTCGAGGGGAAGTTATGGAGATGGGGCCTGGACTGGATATGTTCGACTTTCGGCCAGTTTTCTTTGGTCGCCCATTCGAGACAGATGGTGTTTCAGGAAAGCCCGGTGATGGAGGAACTAGAGAGCCTGTTTTTCTCATCGACAAAGACCTAGCAAAAGCTTTCTTGGAGCGGTATTTGTCGACGTCATATTACTTGGCAACATTTCGACCGGCGGAAAATTTTCGTCGAGATTTGGAGAGCTTATATAGTCCACTACCTGGATCCGAAATCGATACGTGGTCCCGGTTAGTTGTCTTCATGGCCTTAGCCCTAGGCTCTCTAGGCACAGCTCACTGCGAATGGGGTGATATTCTGTTCCAAAGGGTCAATGATACTATTACCTCGATGAGTGATGTGGTGAATCTTTCCGCTGTCCAAATTTCGTTATATATGATAAGTTTGCCGCCCAAGTATTTCTGTTGCATATATTTTCTGATGCGCCAGTTAGCAAGCCCAGTTCCAAACTGAACAAGGGAGATTCAATTCCTCGTTCTTGCATCTTGGTATAGCAGCCAGGAAGGCTATCTCTGCCGGGCTGCATAAAGAGCCCCCAGCGAACAGTGACGATGGTAGTGAAAGCGTCGAAGAAAGACGAGATACATTCTGGTCACTTTACTTTTATGAAACGTTCGTTCTATTTACACACTATAGATCCTTCTGGTGGTGAGATTTCGAATCGTTAACAAGCTTTAGTTGGGTAACATTCCACCTGGGCAGACCAAGCGCCATTTCACCAAGAGATATCAATATCAAACCCTCCGCGAATCCATTCTTACAACTTCTGGTTACTCTGTGCCAAGTTATTCACCGTTCAGTGGATGGGATAAACGGCCAACATGAGAAATCATTGTTGCAGATGTGGCACACAGCTAGATCCGTCATGGACAACCTACGGACCTACGATGCCTGCATGCGCCGCGCGCTTGGTACTGGCCTATCTAGTAAACCTCGACCAGGAGGTCAAGGGGTACAACAGACAATATTAACTGCATGCATGTTCACTATGTGTTCCTTTATTAATGGAAGTTACTAATTGTACAGTATACTACCATGTAATCCTCCTAACATATCGACCATTCTTAGTCTTCCGGCGACGATGGCAGCGGACTCCACAAGACCCAGCCCAGGCGGCAGGGGCAGGTGCACAAACATCTAAATGGCTAAACGAGGCTTGTAACTGTGCCCTTAACGCTGCTTGTCGAACTATAGAATACCTGTGCGAAGCAGCCCTCGCAAATGAGCTTGTCAGAGTACGTTACTGCCTTCCTTACTGGGACATTGAATTTAAGGAATGGCAGGAAGCCCGCTATCATGGATACTTCTTAAGTAGTGCCTGTTTCGTCCTCGCTTACAATATTGTCCACGGAGAAAATGAAAGTTCAGTTCCATCTTACATCCCTTGGATCCATGCCGCGATACGCTGTCTCGAATCGATGCGACCTGGAGATCCCATAAACACCTTCGTTGCCGCTATCCGAAACATTCTAACGAAAGTTAGTTCTTTATGCCAGTTGCGCCAGTCAGCGATGGAAGATAAGCTCTTTTTGCCCGACTTTGAACAAAGTCCTCCATTTGGTACACCCAAGCTCGGGGACGGGGTGGGGAATGGAGAAACTCATCAGCCTCCGTCTGATGAGGTTGAACCAATGTGTCATTTTTCAGAAGAGCTCTGTTCGACAAGCATAGATTTAGATCATGTCAGTGAAGTAGAGCTTGCCTTGCCTACTCTGACTGGACTCGAAATCTCAACTATGAACTTGGCGGCTTTTGTTTCGCCTTGTCTTAATATGGGTTAGCGATGAGCTTTGTTCAGGCTGACAAAGCCATTCCTGGTCAAATGAAAGATGCAATTAATATGTAGAAAGAAGGAGCACGCCACCGGTCCCCAAGTAAATAATGTTGCTACAAGGCAGGTTATAAAGAAGATATGCATCATAGTACCCCTTCTCACTTCAACATGAACTAAGGCCAGACAATCGAAAATCTTGTTTCCGCACAGTTAGCTGTCTCTACCTTTCCTCAGTAATTTGTACATTTCTAGTTTCACGTCTTAACTCAAGAGATAACCTTAGTATAGACTAGAGTCTTTGCAATCCCTCTGTAGCGATTGGAGCACACGCAACTGTTCACAGTTAATATTCTCCCGTCTCCTTTCTATCTAACATGGACATGTTACTGTATCAGCCCCAAGCATGTAGTTCACCAATTAAGCAGATATTCATGATGTAAATATCCGTAGTTAGAACCATCCTATGTTCCATCGGCCAGTCATTATTGATTGGTGAATTTAAAACAGAGACATTGAGATTATTTCAGCCTCTCCCATTATATACTGCAATACTTACATATAACCTTTTCAGGTTAGGATAGTAGCCCCAAAAAAAGATCAGAGTTCACGTCCGTCACAGCTGGTACTCAACTACTAGCCTCGCCGACAACCCCCCCACTTCGTGTATGTCGATCACCATGTGTTGGTGAACTATGATAGATTATTGGCCCACTGTCCCGCCTCCTAAGATGGGCAGCATGTGAACCAAAAGTGCTGCGTCTTTTAGAGTCTTGGCCCTCTAGGGGGCAGGATATCGACAGCAACTCGTCAATGTAAGCTAGGTATATCCCAACTACCCTCCATCTCCATTGCCTGGATCACATTGCAGTATTATAGATACCTGGGGTCGTGAACTGCAAGGTGAAAACTCACCTCGCTAGGAACTGTAACTGATTGTCAGACGTTGGGGAATGAGCTTAGTGATTGTTTATATGTCAGAAGTGGAAGATTTACTCTCCACTTGGAATGTTTATATAATTAGTTAACTGATGTTTTCTTAACTAAAGTGTGAAGTACAGAACTATTTCACAGGATTTCATTAGCCGATACCTTATACGGAATAACTCATTCCGACATGTAGGGCAAATAAAGCACATGTGATTTAGCCTACCTTTTTGGCCGACAGGCGAGGTTCAAACAAGAGTGCGGGAAAAGGGGTCCCAATCTGTCTTGTGCTGTTGTGCCTCCACAACACTAAGGATGCATGAAGAGCTTAGGTCTGTTTTGGAGACGGAAAACCGACCACTCAGCAGCGCCTTAGAAACTACGGGGATGTATAGCCTCACTACTAGCGCCTTCTCCACCTTCCCTTCGGCCCTCAGAAGAAGGCCTGATCTTACACACACATGTCGCGCATATTCTGTCATCATCACTGCGCCCCAATAGGCAATCAGGCTGTGTTTAACTGTCCTATATATATAGTTCGTGAACAACCTCCAGCTACTAGACGAGGTATAAGTCAACCTACCATTAAATCCTTGAGTACAAAAATATGAAAATCAACAGGCAAAATGCACGATGATCGCGCTTTCCCAGCTACCATCTCGCCTGTCTCCACCCTGGGTCCTGAGCATCATTCAGTGGACAGCAACGAGCAGCCCAGCCCGCCAAAATCTTCCGTTCCCCTGAAACGTTCCGTATAGGTCGTTTACTTGATCATGCTGTACGGAGCAGCAGCACTGTATGCTTGGGTCATCATTTGCATCCTCGTTCAGCGCCCCATCGGTGGACAGGGCTATGGACCTGACGCGTCCGACAGCATGCTCACTCACCCCGGTGATGGGACCACCCTAATCGAGGACTTAGATGCATCCTTCGCAAGGAGCGAAAGATATCTCAGGGCAGCGAGGATTGTCCAGTCGCTGGTGTCCGTGCTCACTATCCCATTAACATATACGGTATGCTCGCAAGCAGCCGTAGTGTATATCCAGCAGAGGCGAGGGGACAACCAGCCAACCCTGAGGCAAAGCATGGCCCTAGCAGACAAGGGGTGGACTGACATTGACCTCTTAACAAAATTCGTCTTTGGTGGTTGGAAAAAGTATAAATCTGGGTTGATACTCTTTCGCCTATTTCTGCATCTTCTAGGTAAATTTATTGTCTTGTCTTACTGCATCTGGTCTACTTTCTTAGCATCTGTGTTTTCACAGGTGCTGCTATATCGCCGATACAGCAGATTTTTCTCTCGGTCCAGACGATCAAGCGTGCCACCGGGCTTGCCGTTCATCTCACCTATATTACAGACTTCCCTGATCTGTTTCCAGCGTCCTATTGGTCAGGCGCTGACGATGGACTCGATGCAACCAAGCTGAGACTCACTCTAGCATCGACGGTCAATACTGATATACAGCCGAGACTCTGGTCGTCTAGTACGGGCACGGTCACTCTCGACGATAAAACTGGCGAAAAGTCTTATTCGCCATTCCAGACAAAGTCCCAAAACACCCTCGCCAATATAACCACTATAACTGACCCCTTTTGAGCCCAGCTCCCCTCCAGTACCAACACTGGCTTAGTACGCCAGTTTGCTCCTCGCATCAATTCGACAGCCATATGGGAGAACAACTCGGCAGCCATACTTCCCGATGACTGCAACCCTTCGTCCGACGCATTTTATCTCCGCTACGAATATAACAGTTCATTTTCATATACCGTCGAGATATGCATGCCCGGCAACATGTCACAATCTCCGTGGGAAGACCAAAGATCTCGACAAGACATTAGCGAGGAGTTGTATTTCAAAATGAGCTTTTCCGAAGGCTTCGAGCCACAGGTCACTCCAGGAGAATATTCGACGAAGCTAAAACTCCATACCACAACGGGCTACTTCGGGCTTCCGAACTACGAGAATGGGCAAGTCCCTGGGCCGTTGATCGAGCATAGCCCCTTTGGAAATAACTCACAAAGTCTCACTACTCGTGATCTAGACAGCGGTACAGCATGGAATACGCTCAACACAACCACAAATGTGAGCAATGTCAAAAATAAAGGCCCGCTTCTCAATATCGCCGTGGCACTTTTCGGAGAAGGGTCTTTCGCCGATGTGCAACACACTGCCTTAGCAGCGTATGCCAACTCGGGCATCATCTACCCTGGCTGTATTGGCCTCGTTCCCTTTATTACGCTTCTTGACGTGACCTACCATGAGTCGCCTACATTTTACCCCTGTCTAAAGGGGACATACCTTGAGAGTGATGCCCGTCTCCATCAGGATAGCAACGTCACGATACATGCAGATGTTGCGATGTACTTTTTGCTTTTCTCTGGGGTCCCGTCTGGGCCATCTTCAGAACGAATACAGAACGCATTTACCTCGGCAGCATTTCTAGCTAACGACATGTTGATGATGAACAATTTCCAAGAGCAAACGATCGGTATATCCTACGATATGGGTGCCGATGTACAAAAGCCGGACATTTCCCGCGGAGGAATTATCGTCGTCTCGATATTATTAGGGCTTTTCTTGATTTGTCTTCTGGTATTGGCCCTCTATAGTGCGTGGATTCCTCGATGGACCAAGACTCTCGAGTCTTTCGCAATGCTACGGATCGGGGCCTCAATATCAGAAAAGACGCCTTTGCTTGCGTCGCAAGATGTTGAGGGTATCAAGTCTCTCGACGAGACACCAGGTTGGATAGGGAACGCGTCCGAGGGTGAGAACGGCCACTCACGAAGACGGTGTATTATGCCGGTTATAACACCGATCATGGGGCTCAAGTAACAGCGACGACTAGAACCCCGGAGGCGATCAGACGAAAAGGGTACTCTTTAGTCTAGGGGAAACAGCCCAGCAGTCATATTCTTGAGCAACGACTTTGAATCTTGACGGACGAGGAACTCCCATCCCACCCAAGTGAACAGCACTAAATTATGTAGAGATAGAGCAGGGGAAAAAACATACAACAGGAGGGATTCGCTGGTGGTCACCCACCCAACTACTAACCTCCCGGCGTGTGGCTTAAGTACGGCTGAGCGGACGGGAAGCCCTGTTCTCCACACCCTGTGGTCGTATGTACTTTATTTAAATAGTGTTAGATTTATATGGTGTAAAACGATATGAAAAGGAGTGCCTAGCTTTTGGTTGCCCTCATACAGAATTTGGTTCTGGATAAAATAGACTCGGAACTCGGGAATAATTCACCTACGGTTATAGCTGTCTGCCACTAGCACTTCGGAAATTTGCGCACCTTCCCCCCCCCCTTTTTTTTTCTTTTTTTGTTGTGTTGAAGTCCTCTAACTATTTGTACTAGGTTATGCGTCCGATTGCATGTGGGTGATGAGCCATCCTTGGTATGAATCGTGGTCTTGCATAACCCTAAGATATATATCATAGCTCCACCACAAGCACATTGCAAATATCCACACATTGTCATGGCTTGATATCCTGTGTATCTGGTCAAAGATGGGCATATAGTAATCATCAGATTACATGATATACAGACGTAAATGTTACAGAGTAAAGGAATATGAATTGAAGATGTTCCTGATGGTAGTCATCAATTATAACTACTTTCAGCAGGCTCATGAGGAAACATCCGCATTGGGCTTAGCTCAGAATTGTGCAAACCTTTGAAATTGTTCGCTAACCTACTTTGGTATTTGTGGATCTCATCATGGATGGATGGATGAGACTTGGCATATACAGACCAATGAGAACCAAGAATCTCACCCTCATACCAGTGTTGACATCATCGGAAGTGCATAACAGCCTGCTGTACTGCTTCATGAAGTGTAGTGTCTATTCATGGGTTGGAATTGTTTAACATTCTCTCGTGATGTATACTACATCAATGCCCCCAACTGTACACAGAGAGTAATGGTGTCTTATAGATCCCATATAAACCACACAAACCACACAACAACTTGGACCACCACATAGCGAATTATGTACTCTTGTAGTATCTCTATCTATAAACAGCCCCAACAGCAACATCAAGCATACGTCTCCTTGACCTGGCCCACCAAATCCACCACCGTCTCCTCAAAGCTCCTAAACTTCACACCCAACTCCCTCGTCACAGCCTCCCCGTCCAACTTATATGCCTGAACAGGCTCCTTCCCACTCTCATAATTCCCCGTAACGGTCTCCCTCGCCCAAGAAAACCTCTCCTTAATAATATCCGCCGCCAACTCATACGAAAACGGCTCCCCAGAAGCAGGAACAAACCGCTTCCCACCAACCTCATCCCTCAACAAAGCCTGCACATGCGCCTCCGCCAAATCCCTCACATCAATCCACGCCGAAACCCTGGCAACAGGCAACGGTTCCGCCCCGGAAGCAACACTCCACAGCACCGCATTCGACTCGTTCAACCCCACCACCCCGCTCACAGGATGCACGACAGGACCGAAGGTCATGGGCGGACAAAGCGTAACGAGATCAAATGAGGGCTTCTCCTGCTCGACGAACTCCCAGGCCTCTAGTTCGGCGAATTTCTTCGATCCTCGGTACGCTACTACCGCGTCTGTGGCGGGGTCGACGGCTTCTTCGTAGGTTAAGGGATTCCAATGGGAACCGGTGTAGGTGAAATCGCCCTCATATTTTCTGGAGATATCAACCACGGACGCAAACGAGGAGGTAAGGACCACGCGTTTCACCGTGGGTTGTTTCGCCGAGGCGGAGAGGATAGATTTCACGCCGTTTATGGCCGGGATGATGAGTTCTTGTTCGTTGTTCTTGGTGTCGTATGTGAATGGCTTTGATTTAGTGCCAGTTAGAAGGGATAGGGTTAGAAGGCAGAATGATGGGTTGAGACGTACACTCGCGACATGGATGACCCCGTCTATACCTTCCATGATATCGTCGAAGACTCCGATCTGCGAGAAGTCTTGTATCTCGACGAATTCGAGTCGGGAGGCGTGTTGCGGCCTGGCGGCTTTCATCTGCTCGCCTTTTTGCTTGGAGCGTGTTGCTGCGCGCACGCTTAGGCCGCGTGCTAGCAGGTTGTCGACTACATGGGCGCCGATGAAGCCTGTGGCGCCTGTTACGAGGATGTGTCTGGGTCTTGTTAGAGGAGTTGGGGGTTTGTGGATTTGTGATTTGGGACCTTACTTTGGAGTTGAGGGTGGCATTTTTATGGTTTGTTGATCGGAGGGGTAACGTTAAGGTGTTGTTGTCGGCCGATGCATACGTACTGTTGCGTATATGCAGGGAATTGATATCTGATGCGGGGATAACGGAGATACGCCGATGATCTCGGAACGTGTCCGAGGTACATGACATATTGTATGTACAGGTCTGCCCTACTACTACTATTACAGGATTTATACATACATTGCTTTGATGGAAGCAATACTTGAACAATAGATATTAACGGGGTGTATTCAATCGAGGGACATGTGTATAGTTCGTTTAATATCTAAAACAGACTAAAAGTAGTTTATAAAGATCATTTCACATTTATCATCAACCGAGCATCATGAACCACGCTCAACTCGACCGACCCAACACCTCGTCCGTAGTCTCAACAAGGATCTCAAACGCCCGTCGGAGGTACTTCTCATCTGCCGCCTCATTGGCGCAGATGACGCGGATCGCATAAATGCCTGAAACAACGGTGGAGGTGATGAAGATCTCGCCGCGTGAGTTGATAAGCTCGTATACTTCCTTCGTAAGGGCATCATGCTTTTCATTAGGCTTTGCGACAATAGTTCCATTGACTGCGGACCCATTGGCCTGCGCCCTGGGATCCTTGATGCGGAAAACGGTCAAGCCGAATGCGGGTTTGGTGATGAGTTCAAAAAGATCGGACCGACTGCGCACCAGACTTGTGAAATCCTCGCCTACTCGGATAGTCTTACGGATGTGTGCCTTGAGTCCATTGACACCGTAGCTACGCATGACGAACCAGATCTTCAATGCGCGGAATCGACGGCCGAGAGAAATGCTCCAGTTGCGGTAGTCGATCACCTGGCCGGATTCAGAGTACGGGTTGCGGAGGTACGCGGGGGTGATATCCAGTGCATCGGTGAGGTCGAATCGGTTGCGAATGAAGAGACAGCTAGCGTAAGTGTTAGTACAAAGATATACAAGACGGTCCTGCGCGACGCTTACCTTGCATCGAAGTTGACCAGCAACCACTTATGCATGTTAAAATTAAAACTGTCAACGCCTTCGGCAAGCTCCTTGGCAAGGTACTGGAACTCATCCGCGACCAAGGCCGAACCGGCGTATGCCGCATCGATGTGCACCCAAATCCGCTGCCAAGAAGGCTTCTCCTGCAGCACGGCTGTGATCTCAGAGATGCGATCAACAGCACACGTGCTCGTCGTTCCCATGCTTAGAGTGATATAGTATGGGGTCAAGTTGTCCTTGTCGCATTGCTCAAGAACAGCCCGCACATCGTCTCCAGTAAGCTCCATGTTATTCTCCAGCTTGGCGGTGGCACTCCGATACCGTGTGCCTGCAATCAATGCACCCTTTGCAGTGCTACTGTGCGCCTGGTTGCTTCCCATCGCAACCAATCTAGGTCGGAGGTCCATCACCCTGTCCTCATACTCGAGAGTCCCCTCCTTCAATCCCTCGGCTAATGCCAGCTCGCGTACCCGCCGTTCCCGAGCAGCCACCATAACGGTGGCGATAGTATCACTGGCGCTAACCTGGAGCACACCACCACCACGGTTCTCAGAAGAGCTCATAAAGCATTTAGGAAGGTTCAAAGCCTGCGCTACCCAGTCCAGAACGATTGTTTCCAGTTCCGTGCAGGCCGGGGAGCACAGCCAGTTGAATGCGGGGGCGTTAAACGCAGCCGAGTACATCTCACCCAGGATACTCGGGTAGGTAACCGTCGCAGGATAAAAGGCCATGAAGTTCGGGTGTTGCCAGTGTGTCAGACCGGGTTTGATCTTGGTGTCAACGTCGGCCTGGATTTGCGACCATTCTTCTGGTTCTGCGGGGGGTTGCTCGGGGATTAAGGGACGGAGGTAGCCTGGGTCAACTGTGGGGCAGACGCGCCGGTCAGGGACACTGTCAAAATAGTTGATAACTGTGTATATAGTTAGTGTGCATATCCCAGTGGCCAAGGAAAGTCAGCGCTTACTGTCCTCTACCGTTGCTTGCGCAGCGGCTCGGAACTGGTCGCGGTCCATTTGTGGTTGGTGAAGTTGTTCGCAGTCAATCGGGAGTGTTGGAGAAGCCAATTGGGACAGAAGGGGTCGCTGAGAATGATTGGAGGTTTGACTAGAGGGAAGAAACGTGCGACAAGCTGGATGAGGGGATATATAGAGCGAAATGAGGGCAGAGAAGGGAAGAGAAAATGTGACTCGGAATGACTGCACAAAGTGTTCCGATCCGATCAGATAAATGATCGAAGTGGGGGGCAACTTGTCGTCTACAGGGCGAGTTTTAGCAGTGGTCGGAACGGTTCCGTTCCATGGGTAGCCACGTGCTGATAAGATACCTGATTCGGGATTACATTTCGATTCAACTACTCTCTATAACATGACCGAGAATCCTCCGGAAAAACTTCACCTCTTCCCAATGGTTATCTCCCCGGGTGTTTCTGAGAAACCTTTTTAATCATTTAGTGGCAATCCACCAATACCTGGCCGCAGTTATAGCGCACGGACCTTGTAGAAACACCCGGAGCTAAAGAAGGAAGTTTTCCAAATACCCGATAGAAACGGAGTGGAAATCTGACATCCATTGATTAGAAATGAGATCCAGGTACTACATCCATGGGCGGAAGCTGGGCACCTCACACATCTACAGAGCTCGTGGAGATAGTATACTGCGATAAATCTAACGTATCAGGACAAATCAAAATGGTTATACTTACCAATATATAGGATAGACGCTACTGGACAACACGCGGGCTCTGATCAGCATCGAATGCTACTGCCTCTGTACTACTAGATAGCCCTAAGTAGAGCAGAGCCAAGCTGCGACCTGACAATATGATCTCGTGACCTCATCCCAGCTCACTACTTCAACCTACTTCAACCTCACACGAAATCCATCGGATGCATGTTGGACAAATATAATTAATTCAAAGAGTCACCATCAATATAATTTACTCTTGTAACCATGCCATCCTTCCTGGACCTACCTGTCGAAATCCGTCGCATGATATATCCATACTGCATGGACCCAAATGAATACAAAAGAGGCTACGATAAAATAGAGCGCCATAGTAAGACATTAGCAGAAGAGCGTATTAGCGAGGGTACGGTGTCCGACCCCGACTGCCTTAAGCCCCGCATATATATCACTCGCACCACACCCGCTGTCCTCCTACTCAACAAGCAGATCACAGCAGAAGCCCTAGAAATTCTATACAAAATACCTGTCGAGCTCCGCGGCACCCCAGGGACCCACTTTACAATGCGACAGATGGGTATCGCGGAGTTCATCTGTGAGCAGCTACTGCAACGAATTCAATATGCGACTCTTCGGCTGAACCGACCGCATAAGAGTTTCGTACTAACACTCCTGGATATCTGGGGCGCTGACAACCGTCTGAAGAGGCTCGATGTGTACTTTCCGAAGGGGATAGATAGGACGGCTCGCCGTTGGGCAATTTCTGAGAATAGGGTAAGTGGTTTTGGTTCATAATTACAGATGTTGAACATGGTTTCTAAGAAACTTGATAGCTTCGCACATTCTCGCTCGTAGCTCCGGTGTATTCTCATGAAGTCGATATGCCCTCGGAGAGGATATTGGCGTTTATTTGAAGTGCATCGGGTTCTGCAAAAGTTACGGAGAATATTTCTTTTCGGGATAATTTGATATTCAGCATGATCTCTTTAATTTTACTCTTTCGGATTTTCTCCCTCATATCCATGGATACACCGATGGAGTGGAGTGAGTCATATTATACGATCTATGATGGCCAATTTGCCATGGTCAGATAAAGTCTATCAGTCACACACAGGACACATTTAAGAAAAATTAGAAATCCTCAGCTCCCACAATAAGCTCTCTACACAACAGCCAACAGCTCCCGACTTTGCACGAATCGCGCCGCCGCCAATAGAATACTCCCCACCAAGAGACTCACGCCCGAGTAGATCGACAGGGCCAGATATCCGTATTTGCCCGCCAATTCACCACTGATAGGGATTCCAGCCATAGCCCTGTTCATACTGTTAGCTGTGGGGCTTGCAGTAACTCGCAGCATGTCGGAGTCTTACGAGAAAGATGTGGCTGCCATGACGGTACCCATGGTTAAACCGATAGTTTGTGGCGTGGCAACTTGTGCTGCGCAGGCTTGTTGGAGGGAAAGGATAGCCTGCATCAATAATCGTTAGTCGGGTCATATAACTTTGTCCGATTGGGAAAGCTTACTCCTGATGCGAATCCATATGCGAGAGAAAACATAACCAAACCAGCCACGGAGGTGGCTTTCGTCCAGCAGAGAGCAATAATACCAGAGAAGAAGGTAAAGATGATACAGCAGTTGAACTTTCCATACCGGTCCGCGACAATACCAGGAAGCACACGACCGAAGAACGAAGCACCGTTAACAATTGAGATGGTATAAAACGCCAGGTGGGTTGAGAACCCTTGCGCGACTGCGTAAGAGGTTGTAAAGAAAAACGGAGAAAACATCCCGAAATAGATGATGAAAAATGCGAGGCAGGATAGCTGAAGACTGGGCTTTTGGAGAACGGAAAAGTCCGCTTTAGGGACGGATGGTTTTGTCTCGGTTATAGTGGCCTCTTCATCGTCAGACAAGGGTCGTTGAGTTGGAGAAGGGCTTCTCTTGGGTGGTCGACAGCAGATGCAGGAGACAGATAATAGGGGAATCATTATAAATGCGACAATCCGCATTGTCCATCCAAATCTAATGTTTGGGTTCTGAAGTAGTTCGTTGATGGCAATAGGCCACATCACGCCTCCGAGAGAAGAACCGCCGAGCACTATACCCAGCGCTGCACCACGCTTCACCTTGATGTGCTGTCCCACAAGAGCGAGCATAGGGCACGCTAGCAGCGCGAGTGAAATTCCGAGAAGGAACCCTTGCGCTAGAATGAACTGGTAGAACTCCTTGCAGAGCGAGACCATCATGAGTGAAAACACGGTGCCTAGCGAGCCCCCACAGAGCATCAACTGTGTCACATATTAGTTATTGCGTTTTGGCTATCACGTAAATTGACTGACAGTAGGTCCAAACATATCAAGTAGCTGGCCGGAGAATACTGAGATGAAGAAAATGCAGAAGATACTGATTGCGCCTAGCCATGCAATTGTTGATTCGGACTTGTCGGCGAGCTGATTTTTTCCATAGTATTCTTGGAACACCCCGAACGAGTTCATGAATCCCACTGTACAAAATAGACCTGTAAAGGAGCCTAATATTGTTAAACATGCCTGCGGTCTGTGAAACTCAGTTAGCTATTGCGCAATATATCGACAACCTTCTGCGACAGGACATACGTATACTCGCTGGGAGGTCTTTGGCACGGTGGTGTCGAGTTGCCTTTGGCCATTGTAACAAATTGGTAGGCTTGACAGTGTTATGTTCTCTTAGGGCACGATATGCTTGACGTTGAGAAAGTGGCAGGGATGTTCTGTCACGATTCGCTCCACAGAACGGTATGTATATTATATCAGGTAGCCATCAGAGGTAGAACCGTGACAAACCACTCGGAGCATCCGTGGAGGTACATAATAACAAAAAAACCAAATAGTTAGAATTTTTGACCGAAAAGCCTCCCTGCCTCCATTGTTCTGTCCGGGCGGAGTATCCACGGAAGCTCCGGGAGGGCTTAGAAGGGTAAAGCTGTTGATAATGGCGGATAAGGTCATTCTGAAGTCCTGGAAAAAGGCCGGAAGAAAGCCCTCGCTTGCTACCTCCTGTAAAATTATCTATCTTTGCCTATCTCTACGCAATATTGTTGTTTCTTTCGGTTGCTCTCGTGATAACATAGCTATGATGCACGTGATCCCCCCGCCCGGTAATTGGCCGAAATCTAACGACTCACGACATCTGTCAACATCTCCCGAGATGAAACGTAGAATTGGACCAGAACTACACCAAAAGCCTCGAAAACGTGTCACAAGGCAGGATCCGGTATCTTGCGAATCATGCAGGCGCAAAAAGCTGAAATGTAACCGGCAACAGCCATGCAGCAGCTGCGTCACTCGGAGACTGCCATGCAGCTATGCCATTGCACCGGGGGCGGCGGACACGCATAATGTAGGATCGGAAGATGGAAGCCGCAGGGAGGCAACTGCTCTTGGCCAGGGAAACACACCCGAGCTTCAGGAGATGCGAAGTGCGGATACACACCCTGCTACGAACTCTCAGCCATCGTACCGCAGCCGAGAATCACTGATGACAGCGGACTGGCTGGAGAACATTCATATGGGTCAACGAGTTCCAACAGCAACACCAAAGTTGCTGAGAGATGAACTCGATGAGCTGCGGAATAAGGACGATTTTGCTCCTCCGGGAACATTGCTCCCGGTTTCCTGCCGAAGTTGGAACGCCTCTCGAGAGGATCCTGCGACAGTTAATTTGCTATTGTTTCTCCCCCATAAGCATGAGGCTATGGCACTGTTTCGATATTATACCAGCTGTATTGACTACCTCTATCATATCATATTTCCTAAGCGCGCGGAGGGTCAGATAGATGGTATCTACCGAGCCATTGAAAGAGGCCAACCGCCTAATTTGAACCACTTAGCCCTCTTTTTCAGTATTGCCGCCAGTTCGTTGTTTTTGCAACTATCCGTGGAGTCTTCTATTCATGCAGAGCTTTGCAGTCGCGAGTTTTCGTTTTTGACCGGCGCCGCTCTGATTCAAAGCAACTACCCAGTCAATCCCACGGTCGAGGGCTTACAGGCAGCAATGGTTATCATGCACCATGCATCCAATATAAGCTGCCATGCATCAGTTAGTGGTCTTTTCGTTCACGGCGCAGTTATTAGCCAAGCAAAAAATCTCAAGCTGCATTGCATCGATTCACCGCGATTACGGGAGGAAAGGGAGGCTAATTCATTCGATGTGGTGGAGCTAGAGACAAAGAGACGGCTTTGGTGGGATATCGCATCATATGACTGGTAGGGTCTTGTTCCTTTGGTGTTATATCTGGCTTTCCCTAATTGTAATATTTTCAGGTTTCTTGGGTTCCTAAGCGGTCCTCAAGAGTGGACCTATCTGATTAACCCAGAGCACATGAAGGTAGATCGACCACTCAATCTTGACGATGACGAGTTTGAGGGATATGGTGGATTGTCGCGACCGAGCTCGATACCAACGGACATGTCCTTCTCTCTCGAGCGACTTAAGCTTGGTATCGTGTGCCGTGAAGTTATTGACGCTACGTCCCATGAGCACCTATATGGAATAGAAGTCAGCTACCCGAAGATTCTTGAACTTGATCGAAAGTTTCACCAAGCTCTTGCTGAGATACCGGAATTCTTTCGCCTTGACCCAACGTCCAGGCGTCGGTTTGCCTCCCTGTACCAGAGCCGACCAACAATTGCATGGCAGAGATGTCTCCTACAACAAGGCTACTTTTCACGCTTGTGCCGTCTGCATCGGCAATTTTTCATCCGCGGAGCTCGTGAGCCACTTTATTCATATTCCCATATTGTATGCCTCCAATCAGCACGAAAGGTCTTGGAGATCAAAAAGATCATGGACGAAGATGAACCAAAGTTCACACCGCCAAGCTCAGTGGTCTGGTCCGTTATGCACCATGTATTCATGGCCGCTGTGATCTTGCTGCTGGATGTGTGCTTCAACTGGGACGATATTCTAGCTGAGAAGCGAAAGGAGGAAGTGCTTGATGCGTGTCGCATGCTCAAAAACGCTCAGCTATCGTCCTCACTAGTGAAAGAGGGTATCAATGCCATGATGGGTGTGCTACAAAAGCACTGGAAACATGGAAAGCTGGCTGCGTCTCCAAACCGCAATTCCTTTGCCAATGTAAACCCGGCCGGCCAGGATGCGCCTCGGCAACCCTTGCCTTCCACGTCTACAGCCAGCTATACACCAGCAACCACGATCGAGTTGGATCCACCGGGTGACTTGCCTAACAGTTTGGATGATACGGGCGAGAGGCAACTGGAAGATATATGGTCTGAGATGCTCGACAATAGTGCTAATCTCGACCTGGGAGATACTGATTGGACTGGGTTGTTGACTGAATTGACTAATGCCACTATGTCTGGCTGACCGGCAATACAAGGTCAAGAGATAGCTTCCATGCACTCACATTGACCAGATGATATGTGCTCGGGAAAGAGAAACTCCTATAAGAACACCCTGTTTCGAGACTGAATAGTTTTTCAACGACAGATGTGTTCACTCAGTCTCGGAGGATATATGACATTGTGCGCACCTAGACAACACAAGGCTCCTATACGGCCGATTATATCTGCTTTATGACAGCACATGCCACGAAATAAGAGCCTTTACATAATTGTTGATAGTGTCATTCGGATTGGACTCGGCAGTTGACGATGGAGTAAAACGGTAGAGCTCGCCACATGTGGAGTACGGGTCTATCCCCTTTGTATTGGATTATATCCTACTTAACACAGCAAAGAAGTCACTGCTTCAGCCCATAGTCAAATACAACTCATTCAACCTTAACATCGATCTTATTAGGATCTACCACGAATTAGCATCGAGGACAGATTAACTGGAAACATGAATCATATAGAGAAGGGAGAGAGCCATAGAAGGAAGATTTTCAATTTTCAACTTACAAAAAGCTACAAAATCCTTAATATGTTTCGCCTTATCAAACGGCTCTGGATAATACCACGCCGCATTTGGAGTCGTCTCATCTACTCGGCCAACATCAGCATGCTTCTGGTACTAGTACTCACATACCAAGCCAGACAACAAAAGACCATACCTCCAAGAACAATGGAAAAGTATTTTGCATCGCCCTTCCACCCACAATATGTCGTGTGATCCGACTTGACGAAAAGAGACTCCTTTATCGCCGATGGGGGGAACTGTTGCATCGTTACTCAGATTGATATCCACCTGCGGGGCCAAGGAGTGGTTATGTGTACATAGATGTTTCCTTCGACTTCCTCCCACGTAGAGGTTTCGGCGAGAATGATGCCGTTCAGGATTGCCTTTGCAGTGGGCATTGTAGTAATAAGACTGTAAAACGATGAGACTTGGTCGATGAACAACTCCTGGTAGAAGGAGGAGGGGATTGTTGCTTACTTGAGACGTTGTCCCTCTTCCCCGCATTAGTCAGACTCTGGTGTCTCGCCACTTTAGATGCCCTAATCTTTGACAAAACATCCGTTGAACCATGATAATTTCGAGAAAAGCTATGAGATGTCTACCCTAGGTGAACGCTTATATAAAACATCCCGATAAAATCTTCTGAAGACCATAAAACTAAATGGTTCATCAACATTAGCGGGAATAGCATAGTAGTAGCTATAACTAAGTTGACTGATAAGCAGGGTGAACTACAAGCTCCTCCGCACCCGGAGTTTTCCAGGGCTCAATCCATGTTGTTTATATAGATTGAGGTTTATAACTGGATGCATGGTGCTTGATAGATCGACCGTTCAAGGCTAATTACCCCAGCCGGTTGTCCATGGTGGGGCACCGAGGTTGACACCCAAGGTAAGCTAGATATGCACGCCAAGAACGCGGGTTACAACTTGAAAGCCTTCTTCAAGTGTTGCCCACGTATCCAGAATACACTATCGTGTGGCTTGATTCAATGTGAGGTATAGTACCGGGTGTATTGACGTCGCAATTATGGCTGAAGAATGCCAAGCCGAAAGCATCAACTGCAGCTTCTGCAAAGAGGTTGCTTGGAAAGGCTCTAATGGCAATCGAGAACAATTTATCCAAGACCTTTTTCATTCCCACTGCATCACTTGTTCCATCCCGAACAGCGGGGAAGACACTTCACTATGCCCATGCTGCCGTCACTTACGAGTCCAACACTTGATTGTCTGTCGACGCTTAGACTTCAAGCAAACCGTGAAGCTCACAGTGTCGCTTCCCGACATCTTCGAAGGAAGCTCGAAATGCTGTCTTTGCCGGTTATTTGTGCATACTGCGAAGACATATAGTGACCTGGCATCGTTGGATTCGGGTTGCTTGCGCCTCGGAACGCTGGACCTTGAGCTATGGAGTGGCATTTTTAGTTACACTTTTAATGGTATTAATTGGCGGTACACGGCTAGCATTGCCATATACGGCCAACCTACTGAACGTAAAGGACATGGTATCCATAGTCTGAGGCCCAAGGATATTACAGAGCCTTGTACACCTCCAATCGTGGGTGGATATGTGGATTGGAAGACGATCTGCACTTGGTGTGATTCCATCGATACAGGGTTGAGCAGAGAGCGTGTCCAGCGACCACAGAGGATGAAAGTAATTGACGTCCACAAGAATCGTGTGATCAAAGCACCCCCAGACTCAGAGTATGCGGCACTCAGCTATGTCTACGGCAAAACTCAAAAGCTAGAATTATCATCCTTACCCTATTTTGAGCGAAAGGATCTCCCCCTCACAATCCAAGATGCTCTCCATGCCTGCGACAGAATGGGAATGCAATATCTTTGGGTTGATCAGCTTTGTATCAATCAAAGTGATGAAAATGAAAAGTCGGATCAGATTAACCAAATGGATCGTATTTACGCATGGGCCGTATACACATTAGTTGCGTTGGCAGGCAAGGATTCAAATTATGGGCTACCCGGAGTGACCAGACCTCGCTCCTGGGCGCATAGCATCGTGTAAATAGGTGATGTGACTCTTACTAACTGGGCACCAGGTCTGGCAACATGCATAGACTACAGTACGTGGTCCACGAGAGGATGGACCCTTCAAGAAGCTATGCTTTCTCCACGACTTCTTTATTTTACTGAATATGGCATTTACTATGTCTATCCAGGTCCAGGAGTTAAGTTCGAGTCCAAGGCGCCCTGCGAACCCGTCACTAGATATAACTTTCCGACGTTAGACAAGCATTGGACTGTAGTGGAACAGTACACGACTCGAAATTTGACTTTTCCCTCAGACGCTCTATGTGCCATCTCTGCAGTCTTACGCACAATGCATGGAGATGATGGCATCTATCATGGGTTACCAATTTCCCAGATGGATCAAGCTGTTGTCTGGTTGCCCACAGGAAAAGGTTCAAATGCCAAGAGAGACGGGTTCCCCTCTTGGTCGTGGGTGTCTCATGAAGGGCCTATAACGCATTCCATAGTTGTTTTGGCTGGGCTTGCAATCTGGATGACTCCCAAACATGGATCAAAAAGGGGCCTTAACATTTGCAAGCCCGGAGCTTACATACGGAAGTTCTGATTTGGAAGATATAATGCAATTAATATAGCAATGACCTGGTTGAAAGGCTGCATATCAAGTGGTTTCCCCGTTGACCCAAAGCTCAGCACTTCGACTATTGATACCCTGACTGCTAAATGGCCTACGTATGACGCGTTCTGGGAGGATGCCTTTGGTGGATTCGCGAACGATAACATCGAACTCATGGAACATTGCGAACTGGCTCCTGGCCATATCCTGGTCTATGGTCAGATTGCACAGTTTTCATTGGATGATTCCCAGTTTGGTGAAAAGCGTGACATGTTCATTGTCCGGTCACGGAAGGGAGTACCTTCTGGTGCCCTTTGGATACCCGCATATAACCAAAGAGCCTCTATGAATACAGCTGGAAAATTCATTGCATTATCAGTGGCAGATGGGTCTATTTTTGACGGTGCAACAGCTTTGGCTTTTGAGAAAAGATACAAAGAGAACCCTGACCTGGACTATGACGAGCTAATATACCCGTACAGCACTCAAGAAATTCTTCCCGTATTGAATGTGATGATTATTGAAAGGAACCTGGACTCTAATATCGCTCGCCGTCTTGGGGTAGGAACGATATTTCTTAAGGAATGGGCGGACGCAGATCGAGAGTTCAGGACTATCATTCTTGAATGAAAGATGCCGTCCTTCTTTTGTAGCTGAGAGACATAACTGGCAAAGCCCTTGAATAAAGATGTTGAACTCTACGTGATAGGGTTGCAAATGAGACATATGACGCGGTTGTAGAATTTTTTGCTGTCTGAGAAAAGAATAGAAGACCGAGATATCTCTATGTTAGCCAGATTCTGAAGGGCACAAAGCATCCAGAAGGCAGATGTGTCTTTACAGCACAAACCAGCTATTGCGGTAAAGAAACAAACGTGTTATGCACTTCCATTCAATATTGCGGAATGTCTCGGGATCAATACTCTGTGAGGCCCGATGAATGGCAATTATGGCGCCGACGAGGTGTGTAGAAGAGGTACATTTAGACGTAGAAAGGAAGGGCCTTTTAGTATACTTCTTAACCTGACTCTTCTCTACACTGGCATATCGCTTGCCTTTAAAAGGGGAAATGCTAGAGCTTGTCCAAGTCAAATAGAGAGGCAAAGGTATATTTACTAGATTAATATCTTGTAATAGATTTGATCCCTTGGTGATCGTTTCACTCATTAGGCTAAAAATACACACAATGCCAATATCTAAGCGGCTTGACATTCCCAGGTGCGGTAATTAAGTAACGCTATGTGCCCCGGGAATCCTACCGACGATATCACTTGTATATAGGACATGGACGGTAGACCTCTGGTAGCCGAAGGTTGGTCGAACCTCTTGAAAACCAGCCCATCCACCAGCATCAGCATGTTTCTGTAGTGGTAGTTAGTATATTTAATTCTTTTCGTTAAGTTTGCTATTGATAAAACTATTTAAAACTTTATTCCATAAATAGTCTTATGATTGTAAAGAAGAGATAGGTCGTCATACCGCTCCGATATCTGGCGATCACGTTTTTTGTTAATACGATCTATGCGCTACCTACCGGCTAAGTCTGATTGTTGTAACCGGCGGAAATCTGTTCTCTATTTTACGGGTGGCTTAGGATCATGTAACTGGTAGGGGAGGCGACGTACGGAATAAACGCCACCCAACTACACTGGTGTATAATCCATATATTCCTTAATATAAACAAATCAAACCAAATTATATCCAGAGACTAGGAATCATCCTTAGCTCAGTCTCAGCATGATCCAAGTGGACACTAGTACAGGTCAGGTCTTCGGTAAAACTTCGGAGTCCGGATATATAATTCCAAAAAAATTTAGAAAAATCGGGGACCCGCCCTAATGTTCGCCGAATTTCTGAATCATGCGGGGCTGCAACCCTAACGCAAGGTGCACTCACCTTCAAGCAACTCTTTGAGGATAGAGGATCGGGTTGAGAGTCTAACTCATAAACCGACATAAGGGTTATGACGAGGCCTAGTAGGCATATCCACTGTACCAACTAGCACTACTACCGATTTAATTACGGAGGTCGGCTAGAGTAAGTACACAGCAGAAGCGTAGCTTCCTGGTCCAATTATGAGAGCTAAGTATTAGGGCTCGAGATTCCAGAAGCTATAGCTTCTAAGCATAGTAGTGTGGCGATGGCTTGCTGCCATAACAGAGGGTATTCCGTACAATATTTTTTAATATTGCCTTACCGATACTCCAGCTGCACTCGGATCTACGTGTTCGAAACGTAGCTCCCGTATGAGAGGGCGTTGTTTCCTCGAGAACCAAAGGCCAATATGAATACCCTAACACTACATCCAGGCTTCCTGTTAGACTGCTGAGTAATCAAGAATAACTGACTAGTCTAAAACCATTAGAGATACAGACTGATAGGCGGCTAATTAAGATATACTGCTTCGCGGTAGCTTTATATACGATATTCTTCCTGACGGTGTATGACCTGGGAAGAGGCAACTTGCTGTGGTAAGTAGTACCAAGTCTATATCTCGCGTCGATAACCCAAACAGAAATCCATGTCAATTGAACTACATGAGCAATGCAAATGGGGTTGTACTATTGTAATGTTATGTGTACAGCGCTGCCAAACCCTGTCTCTCTCTGAGAGAGATCTACCTTAGCTAGCCGACCGATGACAAAATATCCAGTGCTTGGGCTTCCCACATTCGAAGTCCTTCCCAAACAAAGCCCCAAGATACCAGCGGCTGGAGCAATTTCACATCCTTAATTGTGGTTGTCACATCCAGAGACATAGTCAATCTTGATCTGACAAGAGTCGCCGCCATTATCATCGTTCGTAACAGAACCGCATATCTCACAGCCATGGGCCCTAATGTTGTTGAATGCTGCTTTCATCTGCTCAGTAGATCTAGAGCACCCTCGAGGCCCCGCAACAAAGACACCGCATCCAAGACCGGAGGGTGCACCCCAACAGTTGCCCGTACGACCACCGCTAGAACCAGTTAGGTTGGTATGTCAGGAAATGGAAAAACGACTTCTTACTTGGTGTCAAAGACGAGACCTGGAAGCATAGTATCAATAGCCTTTTGGCAGTAGCCAGTCATGCCTGGCCAATGGCCACATTGGGTTGAACCTTTACAGTTGAACGAAGGACCAGCCATTAGACTTTGGCCAAAAGGGGTAGGGGTGCCAGTCTCCACGCTGTCTTCAGGATCCGCGGGAATAAAGGCCGATGCCAATGTAGCAAGTAGTGGGAGAGAGACAATAAGAAACTTCATCGTGATGTACAGGAATAAGCTTTTGAAGGCAGAAGAATTGTTTCGGATGGTATGAGAATAAAAGTGACTCGAGGGTGTTTCGGGGCCTTTTTATATGTGTCACTTACTAGCCTTGCTTTCTCCGTCACTGAAATACGTGACTTAGCACCAAAATGGGAGAGGCGGGAATTGAGAACCCCCTACACGAAATACTACCATCATTCCTCCAGGATCAGGCTATGGTGGATCAGACCATGTGCACTGCTCCGATGTTATTACACCTGCAGAGGCTTGCACTAGTCTTTACCGGGCTTCGCCATCTACTTTATTACCCCCCACGACAGTTAGTCCACAGACTGTAAGATACACATGGGTATGTCTCTAATAGACCACCGCCAAGGACCGGAATGCTTCAATATGAAAGCCCCGGGAATGCCGAGAGGTTGCATTACGGAGATAGCATATTTGTCTGCATAGAGCCATGTATCCGGTTAGTCATATACGACCGATGAGGCAATAAGACATGACACAGGAGCATCTTGCCAGACGAAGTACGCTTGATCCTAGTTGAGCTAACGGCTTTCTCAGATACATTCTTCCTCGCCTTAGTCGCTCGTCGCTCTCGGGACTGAATGATACTGACCCGTTTACAGGTTATGAGCGCTATCATTTCAGGTTACATGGGCCAAGTCAACTCCAACCTCCCGGCACCTAGGGGGCGACTTTTGAATTATGAGAATGAGAGAATACTCCACGAGTACCCTTAGAATTTATAAAACCCTGCGCCGTGGCAAGGTTTTCATGGAGAGACAATACAATAGGTAATATTACAAACGGCACTAAAAGAACTGGCACTCCGCTGCCTCAATGTCCAGCTGGGTTGGCATAACCCAGGGTGGCCTGTGCGAATGATGGCATCGGCCGGCATGGCCAGTTGAGTCTCAACATCCTACCTGCTTCTTCGGCTTTGAATTTTTCCCTTTCGATTCGATCTGGTTAATTAATACATGACTCTGGAATACGTTTGGTCGCATAGACATCTTTGAGCATCCTTCCCAAAACTGATTCTAGTCTTGCACCCGTATACTCGGCCAGACACATACATATGCAACACTTACATTTATTTACCTGGGCCTTAGCTTTAATTGGTAACACGAGCAAATAATTCTATATGCGGGATCCAATAGGGAATTTAGATATTGCTTGGCTTTACGCTGTTTCTCGTTTAAACTGCAGTTTCACAAAGCTGCCGGAAGGCCATCTTGAGCAACCCAACATTTGCCAGAAATAGCATAGTGGCCGGTAGTTCCGTACACCAGGTAATTACTAGAAATGGGGCCAGGGCTGACATCCTTTAGACATCTGTCGAATAAGGAAACCAACATAGACAGGGTGCAGAGGGCGTGAGGTGTGTGGTAAGTACCTCGGTCACTTGTCTACTGCTATTTGCGTCTCGGGGAGTTGGGAAACAAGGCAAAGATAGATTATACTGAAATTAAAGCGAACTAGTATGCCTAGAGGTACTTTTTTACACGCGCATCACATGTGCTATATATTCCATGACAAGGGGTTCAGCGGAGCACGCCCTCTAAGTAGTAGAAGTCCCATGCGGCGCAGTCACCGTGCATATTCTGGTAAGACATTTGACTCGGAAAGATAAGCTAATACCAAGACCTGTTAAGAACAAGTCGATCTTTTCCTAAGAAGGATCCTATAGTGGGTCCGTTCAGGGTCCGTTCAGGGTCCACAACAAAGAAAGAGAAACCTTAGGGGTACGCGCCGTTCCGTGGAATTTCTTAGATTGTGGATATCCCAATCGGCTGAAATTGTGACAAGGATGTTCAGCCAGTCATGCCCTAGAGGGATATATTTTTTTTTCTAATTAGCGCTTCACATAGTGATGTTATATTATACCACTTGGAGTTGGCCAACTATCACTGGTGAGTAATCCTTCGTTGCCACTAGCAGAGATTTTCTACCCCCCCTACTAGCCACTGACTATTTGACCGTCTGCTGGGGTCAACCTCTATCGCTCCCTGAAATTTCTGCCTATACCCGACCCTTTCACTACTACACAACGAAAGAAACGCTGAGATGGGGCGGCGTATGAAACTTAATGCCTTCCACATAGTCGTTTTGGCGTTAGCTGCGGTTCTTGGAATCTCTATCTGGTCACTATGGTTAGGAGTTAACTCTGATAAAGACAACATCCATCCACTACTCAATCATCTAATCCCCGCTGGCCACTGTGCTTGCCAGACATCTACTATCTTTAAGTGTGACAACTGTCTTCAATGCCCCGCCCAGCTGCCATTCCATGACACTGTTTCGTCCTCTGCACCCCCTACGCGGGCTTTCTTGGACCCGCTTGAGTATTCCTACAATGAGACTCACTGCAACACTCTCTTCCCGGGTCTTTTCGAAGATCCCATCCGCGCCCAGTCATTTTGGACAGCCAGGCATGGGATCAGGAGAGTTGATATCGACAATATCAAGATGGTAGATGGCATGGCCAGGGTGGCTGTCTATCAAGGACGGCTTTATGTTCTTAGGGCTTTGGCCAAGGGTGAGGATCACCGCCGTAAGATTCTGGGAATCTTGGCTTCAATTCATCGCGCCCTAGTCTCGGCGCCACACCTCGCTGCCATCCTGGACACGGAAATTATCTTTTCTGTTGAAGACAAATTGGAGGACGTTGCAGGGCCAGACCACCCTCTCTGGGTGTTGGCACGGAAGGCTACCGAGGAGCCCGTTTGGCTTATGCCGGACTTTGGCTTCTGGTCTTGGGGCCACATTGATAATCGAATTGGACCCTACGATGAGGTAGTCAAACATGTGGAAGAACATGAGCTCCCCTGGGACGAGAAAGAGGACAAGCTGGTCTGGCGTGGAAAGCTCAGTTTCGCCCCGAAGCTACGACGTACACTACTCGAGGTTGCACGGAATTATGCGTGGGGAGATGTGAAGGAGGTTGAGTGGAAGAACAAGGCCAACTACCTTAGTATGGACAAACATTGCGATTACCGCTTCATCGCTCACGTGGAAGGTATGGGGTATCTCATTATTTGAGCATCATCCTTATTGAAGCCAAAGTCCAGCTAATACCTTGTAGGTCGCTCCTACTCTGCATCTCTTAAATATCGCCAGGCCTGTCGATCGGTAGTAGTAATTCACAAACTACAATATATCCAACATCACCACTATCTTCTTGTCTCGTCCGGCCCACAGCAGAACTTCGTTCAGGTGGAGAGGGACTGGACGGATTTACCGCACAAGATCCAAGAGCTTCTCGATGACCCTATCAAGGCTCGCATGATTGCAGACAATAATGTGAATGTGTTTCGCGAGCGATATCTGACTCCAGCTGCTGATGCATGCTACTGGAGGGCGTTGCTGCAGGGGTGGACCACTGCATCGCCTGAGATCACCGAAACTATGAGTGACCCAACCAATGTTTCTAACAAAGGGATTCGGTACGAATCTTTTTTACTGCTAGATCCCAGCAACATGATGCGCTTTAGGGCTTGAGATTAGAACCATGTAATTAATAACTTCCATGAAAGTCGATCGAGTCGGTCCACAAGCTGAGCTGGTGAAAGCGGATCGCTCCTATCCTCCGCCTCTCCAATACACTATATAAGCCCTCTGCAACTAGAATACTAGCACATACGACCATAAGGTGTGGAAAACAGGACATCACTATCTCCCCAGCCGTGCTTGAGCCACATATTAAGGGCGGGAAACTCTTATTTTTGCTCTTTTCTTGTCGCTGCTCTAAGGGTAATACATGGGTGAGTACTAACTGGGTATAATTAACTGGAGGGGTGTCTTTAAAGCCAATGGTGAGCGTTGAGGTAGTTACTGTTGTGTAGGGTAACAAATATATAAGTGTAGACTTGCGAAACTAAGCAGTATTTTAGAGGACTATTTGGTATAAATGGGTTTCCATTATTTCCCTTGGGTAGTATTTTTCTGCCTTATATCTACCCGGGGTTATTCTTGGCGCTATGTATCTTTTCAAATATATATTACTCACTCATCCTATATGACCTCAAAAGATTGAAAGTTGGAATTAATTTAAAAGAACCGCGAACCCGCTGAGTCTCGGGGAGGTTGTCAACGTGAGGTCGACATGCAAGACAAGGTTGTGTGCCTAAAGCAAAGGGCTCCTGTCATGGAAGCCACATATTCTAGGAGAATTGAGAACTGATAGGTATCCTGACACCAAAGTACAATCTTGTTTGTGGAGCGCTGAGAATAATACAGGTCTTAGTTATCTATTGGACTACTTGATAGTCTACTTATTCAGACTATTCTAATTAGCTGACAATAGAAGTATACTATTAGGGTTGGTAAACTTGGTTGATTTCATCCGCCGTACCAGGGATGCCCCGCGCTCCAGGAATCTCAAACCGCACCCTCAACGTAAAATAGATACACACACAACAACTACTCTTTACTTTGTCTATTTACATTGATCCCGTAGTTAGAACGAGAGGGTACTAGGAATTGATTGAGAAAACCGTCGGAAAAATATATGACGTCATCCTCGGTACTGTAGCCTATAAGTTATCTATTGTGTGGAGCTACTGTGTACGCTGTTAGCACCAGATGATTACGTGCCTTTTCACTACCCTCAGTAGGGCAAATTCGGTAGCTGACATAGCGAGGGCTCTGTTCGACCGAGTCGCCCAAGCAACTACTCTTTCCCATGCATACGATCGTCATCAGCTTCGATCGACGTTCGTGGTAGAGCTGTAAGGTAGATCCACGCTCATATAAGTGGCCCACGGCAAACAGATACTCCTTAGTCATAGGGATGATAGTGCTCTATCCATCCATCCGAATTCAGTACACTGCATCGACATGGTATGTGGAAGCCCGCAAAGCGTACAGCTATATTAACTATTTGTCCTGCTCATAGCTAATGATGTTGAATTTGATCTTAGGTGTGTATCCTATTCCATTATCACGTCGAATCACTATAGTTATACCAAACTCACGAGTTTTCGGTCCTTCAGCCTGTCCATATCCAAACCTCTGAACCTCACGACCCTCTTGGTGAGCCGGGTGATGAGTGAGTATTTTACGTACAAGAAAAATACCAGTTCTCCCCTCCCCATGGTGATTTGTATATCGGGACTTACTAATCCCTTAAGAAAGAGAGGGTCCTATCATCGATGCTACCAGAAATGCACTAAATCAAGTCGGTGGTAGTTTTTAATCCGTTCAACTTGGTCCTGTTTCACCAGGTTTCCCTATTTGTTATGTTGTAATGTAAGTCCATTCTCTAACGCTTGATCCTTTAACTAGGATTTCTATTTATCTTGTTTTATTCTATTTTATAAACTTGCTTTGATTTCCTGGATTGGAAGCGACAGGCACGGACGCAGATAAACTTCGAAATCACTTGTTGTTTAGTTTTCATACACGACTGAAGATGGACCACTTCCAGAGGCTGAAATCCAGGTAGTTGAAGATGATTAGTGAGAAAGGACATGGTTCACTAGATGAACTTAGGAGGTACATATAACCACTAAATCCAGGTAGCCCGGGTTTTCTCGGATATGGCTAGAGAAATGAACGAAATCCTTTACAAGAATCGGAGGGACTCTACAATAGACTCTACTAGATAATGGTCCACAAATGAAGTTTTCAATTTGCCATTAATCCTTTTTTAACAATATAACAATCAATAGGTGTCCAACTCGCCGGGGGGAATCTGTATGCTAGTTGAATTGTTGTTCATCCTGACTGAATTCCTGCTGAACCAATATGGCCACGCGCACTCGCGCTTACAGATCGATATCAAGATTCTGAAAGAATATGGCATGCATACTGTACAGCAAGGTCTGAACTCGACCTTTCTCCTTCTGGACATGATGCCCAGTCACTTCGAGGAAGGTTCTTCCAAATACCGATTTTGAGAAGCTCCCGAATGCTTTACCTATGTTGTGAACATTATAGACTCGTGTATAAATATCTTTAAGTCGTTTTAGATGGACTGGAGCTTGAGGAGAGCCAGGCTACTGCCAATGGGACTATAGCATTAGACGACAAGAAAATCCATGCGGGCCACTCATGCACGTAATACCTTTCTGCTATCCTAGTTCCAACAAAAATGCCTTGCCAGGCTTGATCATCCCTAGTTTAATTACCCCGCACGAGGGCCACAGCCTCATGAAGATCTGCTTAGTCGTTGTGCGAGATCCGAAATTCCATGGATTAACAATATTCTCTGTAAACAGAGAAAAATGTCGGAGGCGGATGAAATCTGTTCAAATTGCAGAACGGTTGACTTTTACTCCCTTTTCACGGGACCTCGTTACTTCCCAGGAGATGGCGTCGACCAACGAGTCAGAGTCAAGCTTGGCACTCTCGTGGAAATGAAGGCCAACACAAGATGCCCGGCCTGCCGTCTTGTCGTCCATGATCTGTACGCTGGGGGCGAACTTGCACACCCATGGGAGCACTATGGAGATGAGGTGGATCCTTCCCAGGTCCAGGTTGTTGCTGTCCCAATACGCGGCGACTACTACGAGGATATGAAGTATTCCGACGCCAATAGAAAGAATATGCTAGCGACAGATCTACAGATTCGCTTGGATGGCATTACAGGTTGTCCTCCGGATTTGGTCAAGAGAATTCGTCGTCATGATAGAGGTCCCGGCATTCGGTTATTGTCTCCCGATTCGGTGGTCCCTGAAAGGCCCCTGCTCAACGGTTTCCGGACTACGAACAGAGAAAATAGTTTGAGACTCGTACGTCAGTGGATGGAGACATGTCGTGAGAGCCATCAGGATACTTGCCACTTCAGGGACGAACTCGGTGCTTACCTACCAGCGACCCGGCTGGACAAGATTCGACTTATTGATGTGACAGAGCGAAATCTTGTAGAGCGCAACTTCACCGAAGTACCTTATGCAGCTCTGAGTTATGTCTGGAAGGAGGCGCACTCAAATAGTGAGAGCTTCCGAGCTGACCTTGGGGGGAAACTAGACGGAAGCAAAGATAGAACTGTGAGACTTCCTGAAAACATGCCACGGGCTATAGAGGATGCGACTCTTGCCTGCCAGGCTCTTTCAATTCCATATCTTTGGGTTGATCTGTACTGTATAGATCAATATAATGAAGACAGGAAAGCTTCCGAGATCAATGCAATGGGTCACATCTATCGATGGTCCGAGATCACCCTCGTGGCAGGGAGCCTAACAGGCTCCCACAAGCCCTCGGACGGTAAACAGTGGGGTTTGGGTCTCACAGAATGGAACGAGGACCTCGACCAAGGACAACGAACCGAAACCATCGATGGCCGGAGATACATTACCAGCTTACCTTCCATCATGACCCAAATCCAACGCTCACCATGGAATAGACGATCCTGGACAATGCAAGAAGGAAACCTAGCGACTAGGGTGGCTTTTTTTGGCGCCCATGATGTCTCTTTTATGTGCGGCGCAGGGCATTGGAGAGAGTCCCAACACTCTGGCAAATATGGCCATGATGCAAATATACCTGAACTAGATCTGCATTCTCAGGGATTCTACTTGTTATCTGGCTATAACTGGCTGAGTGGATCGGAATGGCGATTCGATGATTACAACTCAATCCTTGCAAAATACACCGGGCGAGATATATCCCTCCAATCTGATAAACTCAACGCCATCGTTGGGTGTCTCCAGATCATTGCCCAGAAGCATGACATGAAGTTCCTGAGTGGACTACCTTCCAAGGACTTCCATTACGCTCTCCTCTGGTCGCGGGAATATGATAAACCGCGCGAGGGCTTTCCCAGCTGGTCCTGGGCTGGCTGGCATTCCCCCCAACAAGTTATAGATATCTACCCCAAGAAAGGCGACTCAGGGTGCATGATGGAACTAGAAGATGGGAGCTACGAGCACCGTGGCCCACAAGTAACCGAGCTCGAGCTTGAGGGTTTCTACATCTCTCCCATTGAACATCCTCATATGTTCAATCGTTGTTCGCAAGAGTTAGCCCAAATTCATGTGGCCGCATCCACCGACTGCCTGACCATCACTTCAGAATCGGTTCATTCTTTTATCGACATTGTCGCTGATCGAACCAAGTCACACGAAGATGACCATGTGGGTCAGTACCCATTCGTGCGATGTAGCTTTGACTCTACCATCGACTCGGGCGAGTCCTGGGAACCAGAAACCGAATATATAACGCCATATGACCGTATTCGTCTACGTGATTCCTCGGGAAATTCATACGCCAGCCACATTCCTCGCTGGGACTCGACAGACACGGTCAACTTACCACACACGATTCGTGGATCGACCTTGACCTGGCTTCTGCGCGATGGCATCGAGCTGATCAAAATTGTTGGTGTCAAGCTACTGGAGGGTGCGGATGGCCTGCAGAAGTTAGACCACATTTGCTGTCTGGGCATTGCTCGTAGCCAGAGAATTCCTGGGCGAGTAACGAGAATGGGAAAGTTTTGGATTCCGAGGGAATGGTGGGAGAAAGCAGGACCCAAGGAGACGACGGTGGAGATGTGGTAGGCATTCGCTGTCCGTGAACTTAGGGAGAGGGTGTTAGAGCTCAACAGAATAATACTGCTCATTTCATTTACCTACAATAAGTTATGTAACCCTAATCGCCCCAAAAATCGTTAACAATCCAAGCTACTTGTACCGCCAAGGGAGCTTCCCACCGAAAGGAAACAACCCTCGCTCAATTGATAGGAACAGTAATCGACAGCGACAAATTAGAACCAATGATAAAATCCCACACGTCGTATATGCGGGGTCTGACCCCAAAAGCCGCGGATTTCCATCTGAGATCTCGAAACGGTTGGCTGTCGGGAAGTCGAAAACACGGACTCAGGCCCGTGCTTACTTGGCATGTCGATCTGTAGGACGCCTTAAATGCTATATATACCCCTCGGTGACTATTAAGGATGTGGGAGTGATAACATAAACTAGATTGGCGACAGATTAAACATAATGGAATTTATGGGTGGAGAGTCGGCGAATCCGAGAAAGAGGCCATATCGTGCTGAAGATGAGAATAACGAAGATAGTGGGATGGCCACTGCTGCGGAAGGTTTCTTCGAAGCACTTTGTGTGTAATACTTGGATATTCCAGGGAATGTAGCTAATGGTCTTTTGAAGGGGAAGCTGGTGTCACCCATTGTTTTGTCAATCTGTAAGTATTTCCGTATGTATGTTCGTTATGCGTGTCTAACAGAAGCAACAGAGGCAGCGATCATCCGGCCATGTTGGAAGCGATGATCAAGGCAAAGCAAGGTGCGATCTTCTGAGTATTCCTAGTAAACAAATGGCTGATGACATAACAGAAAATTCGTCCAAGTTCCCTACCATAATTACTTGCCCTTCCGAATTGGTCGCCTTGTCAGCAGCTCTGGGGTATGCTCAAGTCACAGGAATTCCGGTATGATATATCTAGTGTGAATCCACGCTCCTGTACTGAATTAATCTAGCAATGTGTAATAGTGCATGTGGACTGCGGTACTCTCGCCATGGGACAATCTATCCATAACGCCTCAGTGGGCAGAGTGCCGGTTCTGTGTTTTGCTGGACTAAGCCCCTTCACCCAGAACGGCGAGCTTCTCGGCTCAAGGACAGAGTACGAAGCAGGGAAAGCACGATTTTCGGCTCGGCTAATGTTAATTTAGATTCATTCATTGGCTGCAAGATGTGCCTGACCAGGCGGCAATAGTTCGGCAGTATTGCAGGTACTCGGGTGAAATTAAGACTGGCCGTAATATCAAAGAGATGGTCTATAGAGCTTTGCACTTTGCAATGTCCGACTCTAAGGGACCAGTATATCTTACGGCCGCAAGGGAGGTGCTCGAAGAAGTGCGCACTACCATCTCGTTGAAAAAGCACAACTGCTAATGGGGTTATCTAGCATGTGGATAGGCAATATCTTGGGGAGGAGACACTCAGTCCAATCGTTCCCAGCGCATTGCCCGAATCAGGTCAGACATACTTGCAATGCCCCATTTGGATATTGCTGACGGCAGCAGAGGTTGAACTGATTGCACACGCGCTCATAAATGCAAAGAAACCACTTGCTATCGCAGGATATCTCGGTCGTAATCCGCAAGCCCCGCCCTTGTTAGCAGAGCTCTGTGACAAGCTACCAATCAATGTCCTTGAGTCAGTTGGGTCCGATATGAGCATGCGCACAGATCACGAAGCCTATATTGGCGTTACCATCACCACACACCCGGCGGTCTGTGAGGCAGATGTTATCTTAATACTGGACTGCGACGTGCCTTGGATTCCTACCGCGGGCAAACCACAGAAGGGTAACAGACCTGCGCCCAGCTCGGTAGACCACCTATTGACTGTCTAGGCACGGCGATATTTCACTTTGATATTGACCCGCTTAAGCAACAAATGCCGCGTATGTATTTACTCCAGTCCAGTGGATCGCCTTGTTAATCGTCTGCAACTAGTGTTCTCGATCAACGCAACTCGCAGGCTAAAAGTCAGCTGTGAGGTTGCACTCCGGCAACTAAATGCGTATATCGATAAGCAATGTATTGAAAGAGCAAGTTATGCTATGGCATTCGAGGCGCGCGCGAATCGCTATTTGCGCTGGAGGGAGGATCTACGAGCCCTGGAGTCCCCTTCAGCGGACGGCACGATTCGTGTTCCGTACCTCGCCTCCAGACTGCGACACCACCTTCCGGATGATACGGTTTACCTTGTTGAAGCCGTTAGCAACGCAGGTCTCATTATTCAACATCTTAATTTGACACAGGTATTTTACCAGCCTTAATGATCTAATCGTCGTTAACACAGCTCTAGCCGGGAACCCTCGTTGGAAGCGGCGCCGGTGGCCTAGGGTGGGGGGGAGGTGCGGCATTAGGTGTCAAGCTAGCCAAGCCCGACTCGTTTATCTGTGCAATGTGAGTAGTGAAAATAAAATCATAATAACAATAGCCTAACAAAGGAATAGCGTTGGGGATGGAACATTCCTCTTCTCGCAAATGGAGAGTGTCTACTGGATTGCTAGGCGGTATGCGCTCCCATTCCTCCTGGTCGTGCTAAATAATGGAGGATGGAACGCACCGAAGGTGTCAGCATTGCTTGTACACCAGGAAGGGTTGTCTTCGAAGTCCAATAGGCGAGGTGAGTCCATCAATACTTTCTTTCGTCGCCGAGGAATATATATTGTCGATACCGCAGCATCACACAACTAACAGTGTATGACTTAGATCTTAATATATCCTTCGAGCCATCCCCTGATTACCCAGGGATTGCCACTGCAGCCGGTACGGCTTGGGGTGTCACACTGAAGGAACAAGATAGGCTAGACTCAGCTATTCAGGAAGCTGCTAATGTTGTCCGAGGAGGCAAATGTGCAGTCATTGAAGTTTCGTAAGTGGCATACGGGTCTTTGATCGGCAACAGGGCTAACAGCTGCAGAGTTCCGTCAGTATGGAAAGAGGACTGAGTAAGATAAAAGCTATCCGATACAGCTGATACTACCTAGGCGGCTTGGGATTGACATTGTGTTTAACCTGTTGTAGTGTGATTATCACGCTTGCTGATGCTAGATTCTATAAATTAACAACTGATACCCCAACGAGGGAAGACGTAAAGCAAGAATCCATAATATAGAAATTCCTATATAGAACTTATCCGCATATGAGAACTGAATTGATGCATTATTCTAGCAATGGATCGCAGTCTGTAACGAAGTTGGTCAAACAAAACCCATCGAGTCATGGGTGGATGAATTCACCTACACACGCTACCCAGTAATTTTGCCTTGATAGAATCGATCTCCCCTGGTGTCTCAAGCCATGCTATGTGATTGAACATCAGAGATAGGGCCACCGTATCGATCACATGCCGTGAAGTCGGGAGCTCGCTATACCATGCATCTAGAACAGAAGTTCAGGACGCAAGCTTCCACCAAAAAATACGATCCCTCTTCTAGACTTCCCTAAGCAAAACGTCGACTTGCTCCTCTAACTCGTGAATCAGCTTCTGGAGCGCTCCATCATTCAAGGCACTGCAATTTCCGGCAACGACGGAACTCAGAGGTACGTATGACAGAATCATATCAAGGATCTCACGAGGGAATGTAGCTCCAAACGCCAAAGCCACTTGGTCCAGCCTCCTTAAGCCTAATAATAGTTTGACTTTCAGGAGGGTTAAGTCGACGATATAGTTGGAATTGGAAAAACGGTCACTTAACAGATCAAGGCGTTCGAAAGCATCAGCGTTCGTAAAGTTAAACCCCAGAGAGCTTGGAAGAGGCACATTATCGCCGTACGATCCACAGACCGTATGCCACCATTTCACGAAATCATAGCATTCCTGGCCCTTGTTTATACGAAGCATCAAGGCCGGGATGCCTATCTATTCGCCCGCATTATTATAGCCGCATAATTCGAGCATATCCATGAAGTGACCAAGCTGTGCCTGAGCTGATTCAACATGCTTGATCCGAGATAGGGTATGGATCAAATTCAGCCGTGCTGTCATGTACCATGGCCTCTGATGCCACCCGCTGGAGTGATTCGCGTCGATAAGCACAGTATGACAAAGACAGCACAACACTCCCTCTATCTGCTCCATCCAAATATAAGATCTCTTGACCGCCATGCAGGTAGCCTGGTGCCATGGGAGATAATATGGAGAGCAGCTAGAGATAGCGATGTGTCATTTGAAGATTTCCCGATGAAACTCAACTGATGTAAAAGAAAATTAATAATAATAAGACATAAAACGACAACCTGTTCAAACTTTACGTGGTATGACAATCACATCACGTACTACGCGTCACTGGGAGAAAATTTCATCAATGTTGGCTTCTATAAGGGTCTTTTATAGATACCTGAAGTGCGACGAAAGGGACAGGCAAGTCAGGCCTCCACATAAACAGGCACCCTCCAAGCAAAGCTTCATGGGTAAGAAGTATAGAGCATACATTATTTGACATGGTTCCTGTTGTCTTAGTAGGTAACATAATCCTTATAGAATCATTTCCTACTCATGAGGTTATGATCTTTCTATCGCGCAACACAATATTTCGTAGTGAAGATTGGACAAAGAGAGGGGGATGAGCACGGTGAAGGGCTTCTAAAGGATTCGAGGCTGCTATGGTAGATAGCTTTTATGTTTTTCGTGCCACCTTCAACTATTCGTAGTAATTTGGAGATCAGTTTCTTGACTTGCTCAAGTTATAACAATATCATCATAACGGCGTTGGAGGACACAGAAGCCGCTATACCCGATTGGGCGCGCTAGACCCAGACAGGAAAACAGACCCCATCGCCCGGGCGGTCGGTATCTGCCGCATGTTCATCAATGAAAGTTCATCACTCCGCATACCGCCTTCCTACTTGAGATGTATATACATATACGGAGTACAGCAAATTTATGATTTGCTATACTAAAAAGAATGATCTAACTCATTAAAATCCTTAATAGAATATAGCTTTTTTTACGCATAGTGGTGTCTATAATTTGAATTGCGCGATAGAGAGCTCTTTAACATCACGACTAGGTGGTAGTAAACAGGTCACCTACTATATGCGAAAGATATATATTCCGTAACGAGTCAATGTCAGGAGCAGATCGGATCTTAAAATGTCTTCCACAAGGCTTGAATTTTCCTTCATATTAATCGACAGAGTTCTACTTCCTCGATGCTACTAGGGATATAGTTGACAAGACATCACTGAGCGTCATAGACTTCGATGTGCAGAGTAGGTCTGAACGGCAACCGTCGTGAAATGGCGATGTCGATATGCGACAACTCCGGAACCTCCGGTTAGATGATCGATCAAAAGACGGTGTGAACCAATTGAACACAGCCTTGGGATTGAAGAGATTCTCAGTACCAATCATGTGCGACAAAAGAAACCATAAAGAGAGAATCCACTCGCTTCCGCCCCGACGCCTGGGGGAAATTGAATGAGCCGCTCATGAGAGCTACTGTGGCCCTACAGGTGGCGCTATGATGGTTGCCCATGAGGACTTTTGTTTGTCCGCCACTGAGTTTGGAACTGTAGAAATATAGAAAGTTTTAAAATCTATGGGACAGTGGCCATAAACTTTACTAGTATAACCAATCAATTAGAATGAGAATTGAAGATGTCCAACCGTTCCAGAGACTTGACAATCAGGGTCCTCGGGCCGGCAGAAGGTCCGGAAGCGAAACTCTGCTAAATCCACCGCCTTCCCGGAGCAGTGCGTTTGTCATCTCGGAAACTAGTTCTTCCGGGAGAACAAGGCCAGGAATGATCATGAAGGGACGCGACCCCGCGTTTCTCAGATCACGGCTGGCACGTGCCGGGTCGTGGGTCGGATGCTCGGATCGGCAAAGGCGACGAACCAATGATTTCTTCGAGAAAGAAATCCAAAGGCCCGGGGGCGAATCCCGGGGTAGCGAGAGGACTTACCCGCGGGTAAATTCTAGCCCGGCGCCTGCCGCCCCCAGCGAACTCCGTTTCACGAACAATTTCTGATATCGACGGGGTCCCAGCGATCCAGTTGACCCAAGCAACACTACTACTACTACTACTACTACTACTACTACTACTACTACTACTACTACTAGTGTTTACGTACCTGCCGCCATTCGGCTGTTAAACTTTGTCAGTTGCCAAAATGAAGGACATCAGACCATCAACGAACCAATCCCGTCGGCACCTCTCCACGGGATGTTGTGGTCCAACACCGTTGCCAACCCCCCACAGGGATGAGGAGCCGACAAAATTTGCCGTCGGCATCCCTAACTATCCAGACTTGCCTGAGTTCGTGTATATAGACCCTCGACGTCCTCGCTATGTTCGCTCTTTCATTCATCCAGTCCACCTTCCTCGCAACTCCCCTCTGAACTGTCTTCTTGACATCTATCTACCTACACATCCTACACAATGTCTTCCACTCGCCAGTTCGACCCCAACTTCACTCCCTATGTGATCAACTCCATGGGACCCAAGACCCCCGAGCGCACTCGTGTGCTCCTGGGCGCCCTCATTAAGCACATCCACGATTTCGCCCGTGAGGTCGAGCTCACCCCCGCCGAATGGATGCTGGGTGTCGAGTTCATCAACTCCATCGGCAAGATCAGCACTCCCATCCGGAACGAGTGCCACCGTATCTGCGATGTGATCGGCCTGGAATCGTAAGTCCACAACCACATGGTCATCTCCCAACATCGTACAAACCAAACTAACGACATTTAATCAGCCTTGTCGATGAGATCGCCAACAAGATCGTCACCGAAGACGGTGTCTCCCCCACCTCCAACGTCATCCTCGGCCCCTTCTGGTCTCCCAATGCTCCCTTCCGCGAGCTCGGCGACAGCATCATCCAGGATCCCAACCCTAACGGCAAGGTCACCTTCATGCACGGTGTCCTCAAGGACATGGAGACCGGCAAGCCCATCGAGGGTGCCGTCCTCGACATCTGGCAAGCCTCCGCCAACGGCCAGTACGACTTCCAGGACCCCAACCAGACCGAGAACAACCTGCGCGGCAAGTTCCGCTCCAACGAGAAGGGCGAGTTCTGGTGGTACTGCTACCACCCCACCCCTTACTCTCTCCCCACCGACGGCCCCGCTGGTGTGCTCCTCAACCTTATGGACCGCTCCCCCATGCGTCCCGCTCACATCCATCTCATGATCACCCACCCCGACTACGCCACCGTCATCAACCAGATCTACCCCAGCGATGACCCTCATCTTGACATCGACTCCGTCTTCGCCGTCAAGGATGACCTTGTCGTGGACTTCAAGCCCAAGACCGACGACCCCAAGGCCGACCTCGACCTTGAGTACAATGTCACACTGGCCCTCAAGAAGCACCACCCCAACCCCAACTCCGCGCCCCCTGTGTCCTCCTTCGAGCGCTTCAACAAGAGCCAGGGCAAGCTGTAAACAGCTCCACCGGATCGTCTTTTAATGATTTTGATGTATAGTACAGCATTTTCTTTTATATTTGGAACTTCAGCGAGTTTTCAGTGTTCTACAGATGGGCAAGTGATGCATGACTTATATTCGGATGTTGCTTAACGGGTGACGCCGGCGTCGCTAGGGGTTATGTCGGTAGTGGAGGATGAGGACGTTTAGAAGAAAAATTTCCCCCATGAGCTTTGCTCGGGCCTTTACGGTGATCATTGTATATAAGGGGATTCTTATATATATCCTTGTTCAATTGCATTGCATCTTCAAAATGATTCTTCCTGCAAATATCTCCGAAATGGCACGTAGAACTCTTGGTTCAACCTTTCCGTATCGTGGATATCGGTCCATGGTAGTGCTGACGAACCGCTTGGATTCCTTCGAGGGGGGTTCACTTGATATAACTGAACGAGCCAAGAGACAAAGAAAAGATGAAAAAAAAACAATCATCTATCTAGAATCATCTGCCAGGGAGATGGGATCCTTCACGGTGATAAGCTCGTGCAAAGAATCTCGAGGCATCGCAAGACCTCCCAGAAACCACATCTCGAAGAACTTCAAAACGATGACACAGTCGAACAGCTTGCCATAGTGGCAGCCCACGTATAAATCAACAACTAAACAACAGTAGACATTCCGGAAGCACAGAAAACCTAATAAACCTCAGTACTACCTCCATCCTACCCCCTTCAAGAGTACCCCACAGGAGAAACCATGACATGAAGTACAAATAAACCATATTTTAGGTCCATGGCTAGTTCCATTGATTAGTATAGTATACTATACTTAAACAAGTTAAACTATGCCCTAATCTTCCTATCATCTGCAGTCCTGCGGGATATATATAGCCATATCGGCAAAACTATTTTCAGCCGGATATTCGAAATGTGGCACGATTCGTGCCCTAAGTTCCTCACGCGCGTGAAATCCGAATCGCTCTGGTTTCCCGCACTTCAGTGATGGTTCGATCGGTAGGAAGTGAATGTGATTCATCGTGGAAGTTGAACGTGCAATGGATTCTGAGGTTTCGCTGTTGTTTCCTGTGTTCTAGACTAGAGTGGTGGGTCGAGCTGTGTTCGTGATGATCTCTTTTACTAGGAGGTATGGGGCTTTGGGTTGGGGAGCATCATCGAGGAATCATTGGTTTCGAGGATGGTTTGAGGGTTGTCTAGTATTTACAGTGAGGATCATTGTAGGATGTTTCCATTAATATCGGTATAAGCATGTACTATATGTAATTATTAGTTAACGACGGATAAATATTTAGACCCTAATTTCTGGAAGACTTATGCTGCAGAAGTACAACGTACATTGGAAGAACGGAAAATCCAGAATATGAGAGGCTATTCCTAACCAAGAAGAACTGCGATGAGTTGTATTGACAAGGCAGCGAAGGTCCGAAGCCTACCTCTAGGAATGCTCCATGAACTTCATCTGCACAGTCTTACCGCATTTGGTAAGGATGTCTCTGCACAAGAATGACTGTCGGATAGAGTTGCATCAATGGAATGTCGGTTCAAATGTTGTCTCAGGCTGCTACAGATAGATGCCTACAGGAGACAGCTAGTTTGATGATATTTATTCGACTGGTTAAACACCCTTAGATGCTCTACAAGCAATTCAGACACGAACATCTCTATCAAACTCTGAAACGCAAAAATAAAGTTTACCCACCGCTATCTCAAACCAACTTCGCAGGGCCAACAACTTATTGGTAGTTTCTAAGCATGACTAGATGCACTTCTTCTTCAACTACTATACATTGTTCCGATGACGAAGAATTCTACAATCCCATCTTCGACCTCGCAAAGTGCGGAGACGTATATGCACTGAAACATCTAATTGAGACCACCAACCCAGATATCGACTGTACAAATGAAGAATGCCATACGCCCCTACAGCTTGCAGCCCGAAATGGCCATGACGCGGTCGTAAAACTATTAGTCCATGTCAAATCTTGTACCGAGTTCGAATGCCCCGAGCCAACTTTCACACCACTCTTGCTAGCGGCCATGTACGGACGAGAGTCAGTAGTGAGAATGCTACTCGAACAAGGCGCAAACATTGAAGAAAAGGATGCGGAGCTCGGACGAACACCGCTGTTATGGGCCGTGGAAGGAGGCCAGGAGGGTGTCGTGAAGCTTCTTGTGAATAAGGATGCCGATCTCCATGCCAGGGACAATGATATGGGTATGACGGCCCTCTTGAGTGCTGCTGCACGAGGTCATCATGCAATTGCTGCGTTCTTACTTGATAATGGGGCTGATATTGAATGTACCTGCACTGAGTGTGGAGTAACGCCGCTCTGCTGGGCGGCTTGGTACGGTCACCTTGAGGTGGTGAGATTGTTGTTGGAGCGCGGTGCCAATGCTAACGCGTGGAACACGCGGGATGACAATGGCTCACTCCTTTGCTCACCGTTGAATCGGAGATGGGGTCGCCAGACGCCACTTCACATGGCAGCTGAGGGGCCATGAACGTGTTGCGGAGCTGCTTTGCCGGAAGGGTGCTGATATTGAAGCGAGGAACAAAGACGACCAAACTGCACTTTCATTGGCAGCCAGAGACGGGCGGTTGGGTGTTGCCCGGTTGCTTCTTGACAAGGGAGCTGAAGTGGACGTAAGAGATATACGTGGGCGAACTCCCTTCGCATTAGCAGCTGGCAACAATGTTGCACCGACAACGAAGTCGGGGGCCCAAGATCATAAGATAGAGCACATGGATGTTATGAAACTCCTGGCCCAGAGGAACTGCAATATCCACTCCGAAGATAATCAGCGCCGGACACCACTTTTGCTAGCCACCGCTGCGGGCCATCCAAATAGGGTCCAATTACTGCTTGAGCATGGGGCAAACATAGAGTCTCAGGACGAAAATGGCTGGACGCCACTTGTAGTCGCCGCAGGAAATGGCTCCCTGGAGACAACAAAAGTCCTTCTAGCAAATGGCGCGAATGTAAATGTTGAAGATGCAAATATCCGAACCCCCCTGATATGCGCCTCCCGCTTTGGCTATATTGATATAGCGAAGTTGCTGATGGAAAAAGGCGCAGACATCAACTGCCGAGACGGAGGTGGCAAAACCGCACTGTTCTGGGCTGCAGGAAACGGGCATACGCCGCTCGTCAAAATACTTCGTGGCATGAATGCAGCTTATCTTCATGATTTCGATGGCTTGTCTCCTTTGGAATGGGCAAATGAAAATGGTCACGAGTATGTGGTCAGACTGTTACTTGGCGAAGACGTCCAGGATGAGATTGAATGGTCCGACTGGAACGATGAGACCAAGGATATGGAGCAGAGAAAAATGGTCTCCTGTCATCCATTTTGACTGAGTGTATGGTGTTAAGATGGCTCTGGGTAGGACGCGTTCTGTGAGTCGCCAACTCGAAGGGTTTGGGCTTTGCACTACTGTAAGGGAACGGTTAAGCTCCTGTGATATGATAAAATGGATGGACAGGCCTGTTGTCTTGAACTGGGATAGTTCATCTTTATTCCTAGTTGTTCTGGTCTTATTGGTATAAACCAGCTACTTCGTATGACTAATGACACATTCATAGATATCTTGGTACCAGTATTCAATTAGGAGAGGTTTGCTTATTTCTCTTCCAGATGGCTTATTATACTATGAGCGATTTTCTCAGCCAGCATATCTGAGCATAATGTTAGTAGGGGGTTCACTTCATGGATACAAGTGTAGGGAACAAGCATACAAACTGTACTCTGGGGATGTCCAGGCGGCAACAGAGGAAAAGCGCTGGCATCGACCACTCGAAGCCGGTCAACTCCATAGACACGGGCGTGACTATCAACAACAGCCATTGGGTCACTACGTACACCCATCTTACAGGTGCAGGCTGGATGCCACAGTGGCATCAAAGAGTCTCTTATGTACTGGATAATTTCCTCATCCGATTGGTCCTGATGCAGTGGATATGATAGGTTCCCAACGCTTATCGATTGAAGTGGCCCACTCTGCCAAATCTCTCTCAACCGCCGGTACAATGCCACTGCAACTTCCATGTCGGTCTTTGTGGTCAGCCAGTTGGGGCTCACGATAGGCAGTTCGGATGTGGAGTTACTGCGAATGGTCACATTTCCGCGCGAGGTCGGCGAGACCAGGACACCGAGAATGGACGCATACTGATATTCGTCGGCTGGTTGTTGACCCATCAGGTCACTAAAATTACCGACGAATCCGTTTGCCGGAAGAAACTCCACCTCAGGCCAATCATTGGGAAATCGTGAAAGATCGTCAATTGTGCTCTGAGACAATCTCAAGCGATGGGAATATGGAATCCTTTCCCATCCCAACAACTCTTGGGCGTTAGTCCATGACCCTTCATGTGCTATCGCGTATTCGACTCCCTGTTCAAGATAGTAGAGTTTATCATTGGCCATCCGGGTCTCTGTCTCCAGACTCACTCGATGTGATGGGGCAAAGAACGGATGGTCCCACATATTCTGCCCGACCCCAGGAAGATCAGCGAGAATGGGTATGTTTAGTGAGTTGAGAGTATTTTCAGGCCCAATACCTGATACCATAAGGATTTGCGGGGAATGGAAAGCGCCCGCACATACGATCACTTCTCGTGCAGCCCGGAGATGGTATTCTTGCCCGGCTGTTTCCACATCAATACCGGTGGCCCGCTTGTTCCCGTCGAAGGCAATTTTCTTGACAAGTGTGTCGGGGTAAATGTGCAGTTTGCTCGTGATAGGTAGACTGCTAAGGAACATGTCCGAGCTACTGCGGGTCTCGTCGATTGGGTTGATAGTAGATGGATTGTACTGCGTTCCGAGAAGGTGGCCGCTGCTGAAATCCTCCGTCACAGGAGTGCCCACTGCTTCCATACCAGCCTTCATCCATGTTGCGAATGGCGATACATAGTTGGTATAAGACACTTGAATGGGGCCTGTGCTGTCCTTTTCGAACGCTTCTGGACGGAATAGAGTCGTCGCATTCTGGAAGCGTTTCGATGTGCCAGGGGGCGTAAACTGCACCGATTTCTTGAAAAATGGAAGAATATTATCCCATTTATAACTATCGTCTTCCACCAGGGTGGCCCATTGATCATAAGAACCGGTTGTTCCTCTGGTTCGTAATGTTAGCGGGAAACAAGCGCCGATAGAATGGGGATTGAATCCCATGTCTGGTATACCGTGGCATTAAGAGCTGACCTATTCAGATATCAGATGATTTGTCGCTCCCCCGCCCCCAAGAACTGTGAGTATGTATAGGGAAACGTACGACCCACCAAAGCAGCTCCCCTGTGCATAGAGTAGTCTACGACCGTTAGCGCCCGCTTGGGGGACCGTGACGATCCCCCAATCCACTGGGACATTGACATTTTCCGGGTCTGACCCAACAAGAAGATTATATCCAGCCGGAACGGTAGACCTTGTTGGGGACTCGATTTCATAAAATGAACCGGCTTCAATTATAGCGACAGACAATCCTGCTTCGGCCAGGCGACTGCCAATGGTGTTGCCTGCTGTTCCGCCGCCGACAATCACATAATCATAAGTCGATTCCACTCCGACAGCACTCATCAGAGTACCAAGCCTCCCTTTCAATGTCGGTAAAGTGGATTTAAGCAGGTTCAGTGCTGGTTGCAGGAGGCCATATGAGGCTACCCATGAGAGGGGAAGACTGAGAATCAAGAATGCACATAGAAGGGCTTGATGGCTGAGTAAGATCATCGTTATGAGCACTAGGATAATTCGAGACCAATGAGTCCGGTTCTGCTTTGTGAACAACAGAAGCGTCGGTGGTCAAAAGGTCACATAGAACTGTTAGAATGAGCTCGCCATCATCAGAAGGAATCTAATTGTTTTGTCAAATCCACACCACACTTAGGGCAGAACAGAATTATAGGATGGCTCCGTTAAAGGGGCTGGCTGGTGTTTACTTCCCAAACGTAATATCCCTTGCGACACATTAAAGCCTTGGGACTCGGGTGGGAAAAGCTGCCATGTTCTATTTCTTACACCTCTTATACTTTACACCAACAGTAAGTTATCGATTGCCGAAATAAGCCATGAAGATAGGTGAGCCAGTCCCCTTAACTTAGGTAGAACGCCAATAAATGACATGTCACCTTGGCAAGAATTCTGAGGAAGTCCTATACACAGTTCATATGGCGTACTTCAAACGGGGAACTCTGCCATTTGTCACTATTTATAGTACTGAAGAGTAGAACTCCGTAATCATTTGACCAGTATCCACCTTTGCTTATCTGGTAGTTCTGTATGTATAGACTTTGTTGGGGGTTTATTTTAAAATTACTGGTACGTGGGAGATGATTCTTCCGCATCGCTGTGTTCATGCTTCCAGATTTCAATCTCATACCCACCTCGTACAGATGCTACTCGCATTGTAGCAAGCAAGTTATGAGCTACCTCCGAATGAGTGTAGACGCCTCCATTGAATGCAGCCGTTGCATCCTTTCCGATAACGGACTTGAGCATCAACAAGCCATCTGGGTGGCTTTTGCTAAAGTCGGTCACGTCGTGGACTATTCCCGCAATGGCGATTAGACATCGTCCACTCGTTTCAGCTTGCTCTACGTACTCCTCCCATTCAGGAATTGGCAACCGGCTATGCGGTACGCCCCAATCCAGCTGGCTCGCGTCCTCTGCCAAGATAGCACGGTTTTGTTGGATCCGCCGCTTACAAACTTCATCAGGATGGAATTGTTTAACATCGTAGGCCAGACCAAGGTATTCCCAGATGCGGATGACCCATTTTGTCCGATTGTATTGCTACCACTTCGCCGCATTTTGGTAGTCAGAAAGGAAGTCCATGGTGAAAGTTGTGGTAGCCCTCTCCTAACGCAAGAAGGATCGCTGAGAAATGGTCCTGCGAGGATTTGCTGGCATTAAATGGTTGGTCACCCAGCCAATAGGCCAGCAAGTTGACGCAAAACGTAGCCTGATGGACAAAGGCCACCCGCGGGATCCCAGCATAGATGAAGCCACCTGCCCAGTCGCTCCATAACAAACCACTGAGTAGAGTAGGCAATAATCATGCCATGCAGATCACAACGAGCAGATAATTTTGATGCTGCCAGACCGCGATGGGATCCTCATTCAAGTCGCTGTTGTCAATCCGGCCAATGCATTTTGGATTCTGCTTCATGATTAACCACCCCATGTGTGAATACAGAAGGCCCTTGTTGACCGAGTACGGATCTAAATTGGTGTCGGTGTATCGATGGTGAGCGCGATGATTGCGAGCCCATCATCTGATAGAGCCCTCACCCGCGCCTGCCCCACCCAAGGCAAGAAATAGTTTGAGGTAGTTCGAGGCTCGGTGGGACGTATGGGACCACAGCTAGTGATATCCTAAAATTGCATGTTCACCATATGTCTCCCTGTATGCTGAAGGTTGGGGCTACCTCCCTGCAGTAATACCGAGTCCGGTAACAAAGTAATAAACCAATGATAAGGTAGCTGTTTTCCACTGCAAGGGAATCCAAACGCCGCTTGGATGCATGCAGAAATGGGACTAAGATTGTGAGGACCACATCCCGCCAATTTACATGCTTGTACCAATTATACGTTGTTTCGTCCGGCTCTATGCAATCGCACTAGCATAAGATCAAATGCGCTAGTGTAATATTCAGTTTAAAGTAGCCGTCAATAAGCTAAACCGTCGCGCAGGAGGCTGAACCTTGAACAGATCCTTCATAATAGCAACATTGTCTGTCAGTAAGGGGCGAGAAGAAGTAAAGTGCCCCTTGCATTTGTTTCGAACGGTCCGGTATGTAGCAAGTATATTGAAATCAGGGGGGGGGAGGATCTGCAAATATGTAACTAGCATACCAGAGAGGTGACGTGCTATAAGCCATATCGTTAGAAGGCGCAGCTGCAGCCGTGAGTTCATTGGAAAACCTGATTATGATACAGTAAATATGTAAAGGATAGCTATGACCAATGAATGACGCTTGATTCTCCAAACACATCAACGAGATCTCATTATATCATGGAAGGAAGGGGCTCATTGTTATGGAGAAGTTAGTCCCTCAAATGGGAATCCTTGGACTTCCTGTGCTGAGATCCAGTATAGCGTATTCTACTCTATCAACTGATTTTATACGAGAACTAGTTGACCCAAAGAGGTCTCACATCAAATCGCCCACAATTCTATATAGATGAAGAATGTATATGGATCAACTGGCAGAATGAACTATGTAGTTCCTTGCCACAGTAATAATGAAAACAAGTCAGGTATACACGGTGGATTACATATTTCTCAGTTAACGATAAAGATCAAAATCTGAAAAGAGATTTTGCCGGTGGTACAATTTAAAAGAGTCCAACTCGCACGCATCCTGCCCCATGCAGGAAAGCGAAAGCCTAGACCATACACGTTACCTTTCAAGCTCTTGGTCCGTGTCATGATTTTGATCTATACTGTACTCCTTCGTGAAGAGACTCACAATACCCCCAACTGCTGTACAAATGCAGCAAAAAACCCAGACAGCCCGTAGACTGTCGGTATACGCTTGGCGGAGATCATCCTTGTTCTGCGATGGTGGTGCGGTCTGCATCTCTCCCACCATAGCGACAGCATTGTGGCTTATCTTCTTTGCCATCGGTGCCAAGGCTGGGTACCTTTGCAAGTTTGCCTCCATGCGATTTTGAAAGATCACGCCGCCAATGGCCACACCGAGCGACTGCCCAAATGCACGAAAGAAGCTAAAGAGTGCAGTCGCAGTGGCTAAATGGCGAGTCTCCGAGCAAGCCTGAATGGCATACGCAATACTTGTCACAAGTGCACCCAGGCCTAAGCCTGGGATTGCAATAAGAGCGATCCAAATAGCCCCCTTCGTTGTCCGATCAAAGTAGCAGAGTATACCGAAGCCTAGGGTAGCGACAGCCCAACCGATCCAGATGATCATCCGGTAGCGCCCTGTGACCACCGCAGCAATTCCTGACACGCAGGCGCTCGGAGCAATGGCAAATGCAAGTGGTAGAGCTGCGACTCCAGCTGAGAGGGGCTTGAAGCCGTGTACTGCTTCCCCATAGAGAGGGAGATAATACAGGATACACCAAAGCGTAAGCCCTTGTAACACTGTGCCAATATAACTGATTAATAAAGAGTGGTTGTCGATCCCTGAGATTTGCAAAATCGGGTCTTTGGGGATATGGGTCTCGTAGACCATCACCCCAATCATGCCGATAGTCCCAATGATCAAGGGTACTAGCACCCTCCAAGAATGCCATGCATACATCACTCCGCCCCAGCTGAGAGCCACCAGGAAGGATGCAGTGCTGCATACGAAAAGGACTAATCCGACTGTGTCAAAATTCCTGAGCTTCTCCCGCCTGGCTGTCTTCTTGGTCTTGATTTTCAAGTATATAAGTATTAGAGGGATCGAAAGAGTTGCAGCTGGAATATTGATATAGAAGATCCATCTCTGTGTAATTAGAATCAGAAATAGTCTGTCAGCGGAGGGTGACGCTCTTCGACTCACCCAGTCCGAATTCGTTGAGAAACCACCTCCCATTATAGGCCCGATAACAGATCCGACGCTCCACATCGACCCCAGAACACCCCAATACGCACCTCGCAATCGGAACGGAATCATGTCGGCGACAGATACCTCACTAAGGGCAATAATGCCACCCCCACCGGTACCCTGAATGGAGCGGCCCACTAACATCTGGGTGAAGTTTATCGCCACGCCAGACACAATAGTCCCCACGAGGAAAAAGATGACTGCAATGATAATCAAAAGTTGGCGACCAAATGCACTTGATAGTGATGTAAAAATCAGCTGACAACCTGTAGACTGTTAGCGTTTTCTTTTGATAGTCGTTGTTGGTTAGATGTACACGCAGAACACAAGACAAATGAGGTTCCGCTCCAGAAAGCCTCAATGGCCGAGCCACCTAAATCTTCAGTCACGACCTTTATATCTTAGCCCATACTGCCAATAGTTTCTCTAAATCCAGAACGAATCTTACTGGAAGTGCAATAGAGAGTGAGGCAGCTTCGAGCGCTACCATCAAAGTCAATAGGCACAGTGGGAAGAAGGCTAATGTGACTTTACGATCAATCCAGAATTGAAGCTTGCTTCCATGGGCGCCATTGTCACGCTCGTCACCGGTCGGACGAGTAAACGTTCCATGGTCAATGTGAGGGGTTGATTGAGTGTACTGCGTTTGAGTCGTCGAGGGCTTTGAAGGACCGGCTTCGAACGATGATATGGTATCTGTCACTGTCATCGTATATGATTAGACTTGAATTGTTTCTTGTCCCAAGAAGACAGTCCATGTGGTCAAAAGAGTTCATTCGCCGTCCTCTCTTGAGATTTCTCGGTTTTCACTCTTCGTCTGCCTTTGTATTTTTGTCGCTGGGTGATTAGAATGTGGAGTAGTGTAATATTCCTCAGGTACAAAAAAAAAAAAAAAAAAAAAAAAAAAAAAAAAAAAAAAAAAACAAAAAAAAAAAAAAAAAAAAAAAAAAAAAAAAAAAAGAAAAAAAGGAAAAGGAAAAACAGAAAGTCAGGCGAATACAACCTAGCCATCAAGACCAGGAAAGAAACCTTGTTCTGTTCTTAACACGTTATGTGGAGGCATCAAAAGCCCCTTGCTTTACATGCATACATCTTCCGACGATCTATAAAAATGCTAATAAAATAATATGACCCACCTTGTGGTTTATGTACTTATCTAGGTGGACTAACGTATGCTAGGGAGTATTACCTTACGATACAGTGGCGTTACTAGATTATTGTTCCTGCGATGATTCCTTGAATATCCCGGAGTATTTATGACCCATACAGCTGAGACGTGACCTCTCTCACTTTACTAGTCTTGGTCTCTGATACTTATCATTTACATATCACTGCTTAGCTATCAATCATAAGCTGGAATATTCACGACTGGGATTTATCGAACCTATCAGTACCCTGTAAAGTTCCGTGGTTGGGAAGTGTAAGTGTGTTCTGGCCAGATTCTTGTTCCAGACACATAAGCTGACGATATGGAGAGCAGCACAACACCAGATACGCCTTATTGATCAGTGTCCCCGATATACAATAATGTGGGATTATTATTCCGAAAAGTCTATTCTCATTACGGGAGCCTCCGGATTCTTGGGAACCGCGATCACCCATCGGTTAGCTTCGAAAGCTCGTCCTAAGCGCATTTTTATACTTTGCCGAAGAGGGGAAAGGTTAGACAGATTCTCATCTTATTACCTTTCTTGATCTACTTGAACTGATGAGACTGAGCCATAAAGCCAGCTGATCAAAAAATGGCAGAGAAACCTGCCTGAGTCGGATTCCCACTGGTTGCTGAATCAGGCGTCTATAACCGTCTTAGATGGCGACATCATGAAGGCGAATCTTGGACTTTCACAGGAGATCATCGCTGGGCTGCAGAAGGAAGTGAATATAATTATCCATGCGGCCTCCACGATCAATTTAACCTATTCACTTGGACAGGTGTTTGACCATATCGTCCTACCAAGCGAATCCCTAGCTCAGATGGCTCTAGGTTTTACCAACCTCGATCGATTTGTTTATGTATCCACAGCCTTCGCCAACACACATCTCTACAAGCTTTCCGGCAAGCCACAGACAGAGATAAATGAAGAGATTTACCCACTCCTGGGCGAGGGAAGTTTGTTGGATGACAGCCTTCTCAGTGCACAGGATGCCCGTGATGAAATCCAGAAGACTGGCTCCTCGACTGAGTATGAACTCCATGATTTTCCCTGGCCTTATGCGTATGGAAAACACCTCGCAGAAAGATTGATCCTGAATCTCTTCATCGAAAAGGGTTGGGCATCCAAGGTGTTAGTACTCCGCCCTTCCGTGATTGGACCAGCAGAGAGATATCCATACCCGGGATATAGTGTTCCCTTGTCAACACCATCAACAGCTCTTGCGACTGCAATAGTTGCATCCCCTGTCTTTACTGTCGTGGTACCTACACGGTGTTCAAAACCAGAAACCGAAGCGACTATTGACGAGGTTCCAGTAGATGTTGTTGTTGATCGAATGATAGCCCATGTGGCCTTTGATACCACCGGTTGCATCCATGCTGTGGGAAGCGAACGCGGCCGCCTTAGCTTCATGGACTTCTGGGGCGCCGCGATGAAGCTACGAAGACTACCATGGGAGCCGCGGATAATTTGGTCATCGACTGTTGATTGGCATTCACCGGATTTGCACCCTGTGCTGCGACTCTATGTTATTCCGGGCACTGCCTTCCTCTTCACAGAGGAGAAGACCACGAAACTCTTGCAGAGACTTACTCCAGATGAACGGGATGATGTGGTTCTGTTCAGGAATACCACGGGGAAGTCGTACGAGTTGATATCCAGGCGAGAGCACATTCGCTTCCTCATCGGATTATTTGCAAGGCGAACTATCTTTCCAGCGTGGTTATTGCGATATTTGTGTCGCTGAGCGGAGTGTTTTCATTTCTTTACAGTTTGAGCCCGAGGACATTGCTTTTACTAAAGGAACCAGGTCACCTTTTTGGGTTTATTTGATATCATTCTCATAATGTTTCTCGGGAAATCGCCCTTCGATCAGTATTCGTGGGCGCCAATAGACTGTGAATAAGTAACTCCTAGGAATAGTTCCTCTTCACAAAATAGTAAACAAATACCTATAAACCAACGGAATGTGGACTTCTTTCTTCTTCCTAATATTTCTTCCTCACCAGACCGAGTATATCCTGCCAACTAGCATTCGAAGTACAACCGTACAACCATCGTTGTATTTACACCAGCGAAGAATCTTAATGATTCATAGCGAATGAATCCAGCCGAATGTCGCAATGTGTTTATGCGCATCTGCTTAAAAAGGTAAGAGAGAATATATTTTATCAGCTAAAGTATCGGCATTGGATAAGGCACCTCTATAGTGCTTTCTTCTTTGTTTCCAACTTGTAAGTCTGGCCAAAGAATCGGAGAAAGAGTTGAGTCAAAGGGATGAGGTATACGGTCGTCAACATCAATGCAAATACCTGGCCACTATTGTTCATGCAAAAGATCACGTTGGACTCTCCCCCGCGCTTAATATATGTCTGGTTGTCTGACTTGTCTTCGGTCGGGACCAAAGATGTATCCATGGGACTGTCATACGAGATGAAGACATACAACCATGAAGCCAGTCCACCCAGGACGAACTGGGCGATTTGTAGTCGCGTGAGGGTACGCTTCATAAAAACAGGTACTTTTATCTTGAGTGTCGTCAGCGAGTAATAGAGATACTGTGCAGATCCTAAGTTAGTGCCTGTCTAAATGAATTCCCTAGAGTTATTCCTTACCATCAAGGTGTGAATTCCTGTGTTTAGAGAGACACCCACAACGCCTTGGGGAGTCCTGTACAAAAAGCCCACCCATGTACAGATAATGGCACCCGCATGGTGATACATCTGTAGGAAAGAAACCTTTTTTCCCTTCACCAACAAGAGCAGGGTATCCATGATCTCATAGTATTTTGATATATAGAACATCCATGTATAGTAATCCATACCGCTCTCCCACAGGGACTTGGCCTGGGAGGCCCCTGAAAAACCATCATCGTGGATAGTCAGAGGTAGTAAGGTATTGCGTGATGTACTGTATTCAGACAGGTCGAATCTGCAGAAGGTCTCCACGATGTGATAGGGTGCACTAGGTTGAGATGGGACAGAGGATATGATGGTCCGACATACTCCCAAAAATACCCAAGCGGAAAAGAGGCTAAGCAAAAGGTTGTGTGCGAAAGCGAAGTAGGTAAAAGATGCCGTGCGAGTTATAGGCCATGGACGATATTGTCTTCTCTTATTGAGATGGTTGAAAACACAGACGACAGCAATATAGACGCATGCCGTAAATATGGGGAGTCTAGCGTCAAGACTGAAGCTGTAGACAGTGGAAGGTATATCGACAGGGCGGTCCCAAGAAAATCCCGTTCGTGATGCAGGCCTGATAAGAGGCGGATGCGGCTCGGGAGGGAAGCGAAAGATCTGAGCCTCAGGGAGTCCCAGGTGAACAGATAGGGCGCCCGACATCGCTAGTATTGCTTGAAGTACTCACTGTACCGTAGTTCGAGGGAGCATTACGAATGGAATGAACCCACTAAATCTCAATCGCAAGCGGCCGGCACCTCCTTGAAAAGTAGATACGGAATAGCAATACCAGCATGCATATGAAATGAAACTCTGCTACTCCAATTATGATGAGAAAGTTTCATCTTGCTATACTTATAGAATATTATTGAGGTAATACTACCGACCGATCGGAATGAATGCTTTGTTCTCAGGTCTCCCTCCTTGAAAGCAAGGAGATACCCTCCAGACACTCTTTTGGGCCCCTTGCACTCTTGCATGGAATCCCCATTAGGAATTCTTCACAGAAATACTATTTTACAAACGGGTCCACATGCATATAACGGATTTACTCATACGGCAGATCACAAAGCCATCTCATATGGAGTATACACTAGTCAGGTTCATGCAACACTTCGACGTCTTAAAAATGTCGACTCCGATCCAACTGACGGCCCAGTCTTACGTGCAAACCTCATACTGTCACACGACCAGGGTGTGATGGTGAGGCTCTACTCTTCTTCTAGAACTTGAAGATAACGGAAAGTAAAGAGAAAGCGGTGTACATTTTGATTTAGATATAATATGTATAATATCTCTGAGACTCAGAAACAGATGTCCGGGAGAACTCGGCTATGATCTGAGAAGCAAGAAAGCAGCAAGTAGTAGCATTTATGCCCTGCAGAGAGCCCTTCCACGGCCCCCAACTGCAAGAGCTGTGCTACACCACATTGCCGTATGAAGAAAAAAGCCACTACCGCATCTCATTCTCGTATCATGAAAGGATGTAGAAGTTGTGAAGACGGTACATATAATAGTGGGTCAAGACTCAAGCGGATTCAATCTATCTTACTGTCAACCCAGAATTAATTTTACCAAGTTTACCCGCAGCAACGCAGTGTTATATAGCCAATCAGATCTATCTATTAGGTCCCGCCATTTTATCGACGACCAGTACCCGTAGTTTACCAACGTGTAGTGTAGGCCTCTTTGTTCGAGGTTGGCAGATGAGGCAATATTTGGATTTACACTGAGAACCGCTGTCCCACTCCTTGCACATAAGGGATATATCCCTTGCGGCAAGACAGAAGCTGAGCTGGTGGATCCTATACCTAGGGCTGTAGCTAAGTGTGGAGGCCTGCAGGGAAGATAGAAAATAAAATAAATAAATCTAAAATAGAAATAAAAAGTAAAAAATAAAGAGCGCCCCCATGCAGCCACATGCTTGGAATTGGAAGGTGTTCTCGGTATTGTATTTCCAATCATTTGGAAATGTGTAAGCAGCATTCTGGTCAATGTGCCTAGGCCGATCATATTGAGTTCGGGTAGCTTGGTCAAATAGGGATCTTAGGGATGCAGAGTAGCAATAAGGAACTGGTCACATTATCATTTCCTTTCACAGTAATCTATCAGAGTCAATTATGTTCGGTTACCTGGGATACATATGGGACCTGGACGTCATGTGTCAAATACGTAACCTAATACTCAGTGACTAGGAGTAGGTGTATCATATCCAGCCCTTCCTACCATATTTATTACGCGAGTATTCGCTACCAGGGCTTCCTTCAAGATAACTTGTTGCGAGAGGCTTTCTTCTTTTGCTACAGTTTCCTTTCCTCCGATAGCCGCTGTGACTTGCGATTTAAACTCGAGAGTTCGATTCGAGACCATGGCTACTCCCGCACATATAATGATTGGAAGCCTCAATGGCAATTGGACCATCGTAAGAATGCACCACACGTGATGTGTTTTGCCCTGCACATATCTCAACTTCTGGTTATAAAGACTACCTATACTTATATCATGGTACTACGCAGAATAGAAGTTTGACGGGCGAAACAGACCATATCCTGAAACTGGTATGTGCCAGTTTTCACGTCATCCTGAATTTATTGGCTTGTGGGACAAACGAAATAGCTAATGATGGTACGGTCGCATTCAGCAAGGGATTCCCTGGTTACTTCGCAAGGCTCTGGCAGTGGTAACAGTTCATATTAACATTACAACATACGAGACAAATGAGTCTGAGACCGGGAAGCCCATAACGAACATCGATTGCAATCAAACCACGTCCGGGAGGCTAGCTGGTACGACTGAGAAACGAAGGCTGACTTGGGAAAACAAAGAGCATGAGGACTACTTCTTTGGTAAAGTTCAAGGTCGGAGCGAGTTTGTCCATGGTGCTCCAGATAAGGGCGGTCATGTCCGCCCGGAGTTTGAGTTGCAGATTGATGTAGATGATGCACAAGAAATCAAGAGGTTTCTACGGGGTGAGACTCACATTGATTCTCGCGATGGAGCAGGATTTTTATGTGAAGAGTCCAACGGCGCTTGGGTACATACCTTTGAACGGAGCGTTTCTTCTGGCTGGGCATCTGAGCAGGTACGTTATACTGGCGACCAATGATTGAATCTCCAGCGATGTTCCCCCAGGAGTCTGTATTTTTGATCCATGAGCTGACTACCATTTGGTTCAAGATTTGGGGTTTCGAATTGATCGATAACAAACGTTATTTCACCCGCCGGGCAGCTGTTGTTGACGCTGGAGGCCGATGTTTGTGTGTGAGGCTCGTGCTTGACTATGAACAGCCACAGTGAACATTTAGTAGCATTAGTTTGAAAACAAATAAACCTAGATTGTATAGCCGATCGGCTTCAGAATATGAGAACACCGAGATAGTATGTTGCAACAAGAGACTCAGTACATACGACCATAGGGTGTGGAGAACAGGGCTTCCCGTCCGCTCAGCCGTACTTAAGCCACACGCCGGGAGGTTAGTAGTTGGGTGGGTGACCACCAGCGAATCCCTCCTGTTGTATGTTTTTCTTTTTTTCTTTTGAGTGTTGGAAATTACCTGGCATCGTTTAATGTCGACCAAGCGATCGAGTGAGGGAGGGAGGTTAGTGTCCCCGCTTACTTTCAGCAGCATATAATGAATGGGTAGTTTGTTTTGGCTACTTTGCCTCATCATAGCAAAAACCGACAACTCTACCAACATTAAATGCACAGCCAAAGCACAGTATGATTTGTTAACCTGATCCATAGTAGGCCCAGGAATGGCCACTGCACTATGATTCCGGTGGGAAGAGCAGTCAGAAAGAAATGAACCAACGGTTGGGAAGTGACGCTTCCTCAATGACCAAAGCCCCTGATCTTATCCCAAGCCACGCTCCCCGACTTTGGGGGCTCAGAGATGGGAGTCCAAATTGTATAGCCCAGATCACTCTCCGTGAAGGGGTCCACTTGGACAATTCTAGTGGCGCCGGGGTTCCTAGTCAGAGCAGGATACTCCAACCTCCCCATACTGAAATAGCCAGAAACGCAGTTCTATCCAACCATGATCGGGTGAAAAAGTATACTTCACCCTCAGGAGTCTCAGCAAACGCTTGGGACGTCGACGTCCGAATCGATCGATCATTGCTAGTGCATTCATCTTGCCCACTTGGGCCCTTGACCATGTTTTATCCGCCACACAATCCATCGCAAATCCTTGGCGTCGAGTGGCTTTCTGAATATAACTTTTATAATGTTGAGTCGAGAGTGTAACTCCATTTTGGCCATCAAGACTGCTATAGAATAGGCCATCCCCTTTCTCAACTTGGCCGTATGCGAGAATATTTTCCACAAGGCCTTCAAGCGTCCGGACACCATCAAACACTTTCTATTGTAGCTTGCCCCCGTTCTTGAGACAGTTTGGTCCCGGTATCTGCTTACATGCCGCCCGAGAAGCTGCATCAGGTTCACTCCCTGTGCTTTCGAGCGCTCTATCAAGCTCGGCTTAGTTGGCTGCTTTGAGCTCGGCATCTTCCACAATTTTTGCATCTTTATTAGGAACGAAGGAAATTTCGACGGTCGTGATGTCCTTGCGTACTGTGGATTCCCCTTTCACAGGATGATGGTTAGCCGTAGCTGATTGACTCAGTCTTTCCCCTTGATAGGGTGTATCACTGGCCGCCTTTCTAGACTTGGCAGTGTACTTGGCAGCCGCCACTTCATACTTTATGCCTTTAGCAGCGTCGGCGAATTTGGCTGCTTTTTCGGAAGCCTCCATTACCTTGGCGATGGATTTAACTCCCTCCGTGTAAGCTCTCCTACTCCAGGCAGCACCAGAAGCATGTCGAGAATGGTTGGACGCTGGGCCGTGTTCACACCAATTCCTCAGATGAAGAACAATGGGTTGTCAGACGGGTATTTCATGCCATCCTCGATGTAAGTTGGAATATTTTGCCTTGGAAACCATGCGACTAGGTTGTGGAAAACCAGCCTTCAGCCTTTTCCACATCATCGATGGCATCTCCTATCACCGTTTTGTCCTTCAGGGGTGTTTTCAAGAACCCCCATTCTTCATGAACAACCCGGTATCCCGGGAAATCGGAGATTCCTTTCTGAATAGTATGGAAGACGGTTTGGAAAGTAGGCTTCTCAATACATTACTTGATAATCGCATAAACACCTATGATGGAAATTTCTAAAACAGCACGGAAGGTCTTGCCGGCCACCAAGTCGCCAAACCCCTGTCCAAATGTTTCGGCAGCATCGACAACAAATCCATCTGGTAGGGTTAAAGCATCGAAAACTTGGTTAAACTATTATTGCTTAGCAGCGCAATGGACGTATCAAGAATGTAAGCTCACTGTGAACTCTTCACGGGACTCAGGGCATGGGCGGAGACATTTCGGGCATATGCCCTGACTCAGCGCAAAGCGTCGAGGGCGTGGAGAAGGGGTGGGAAAAATCGAGCGAGCCTCATTGGGGATTTCCGGGAGAGAGTTGGCTACTATGGAGCCTATGGCCAGTTGGGTAGAAACAAGCCAGCGGAGTCGCATACTGCTGGGGTAGTTGCCAACGGTGTTTGGAAAAGGGCGGATTGGAGGGTGGGGGATATTGATGCCTGTCTGGGTGCGTTCTGACAGAAGGAAAGGGAAATTATATAACTGGGTTCATCAAGCATCTGGCCATGTAGTTCCCCAACGAGGTAATTAGAATTTGGCAGTAGAATCTGGTCGTCAGATAACAATGTGAAAATCCCGTATCAATCGCAACTATGATGAAGTAGGCAAACTATACGACTTTTAGCTTCGTCCGTGAGATGATTGTCCTGACAAGATGGTGCATACACCTTCGATATACCATCTACATTCTCAAGTCACCTCCTAACAATGGCTGGCTCCCATGTACCGATTGCGTGGCTCATGTATAAAGATGGATTATAGAAGTTCTAGAGTGAATGTGCTACTTATTTCCACGTTTTCTGCACAATCAAGACACAATTTTCCTCACTTAACTATACGGAGAGCTATTTCTAAGAGGCTTGGAGAGTCTGGCAAGGTTACATGTGGAGGCATTCCTGTTCCTCTTGCAGAACTTCTAAATTATACCAGAGGCGAGAAGGTATATATGCACGATGTTGCGAGGATATGGTCCACTGTAGAGTTAATCGGAGCCGACGAACAATGGCAAAGGCCGAGATCAATCAATGCCCACTATTTACTAAGAATCGTGCTTTTCGTGAAAATCGCTTCGAATCTAGATCAATTCTACCCCGGGACATATGAGATCACAAGGCCCCTTTAAGCTTACCCCAGATATGTGCCAAGCGGACAGGTACGCTTTTTGAAAAGTTTCTTTCATAGACTATTTTATAATAGTCAATTGAATCTAGAATGATAACGGCTACTCGGAGCGGAATCGCCAACATTTACTCTCCTATGAGCAGCTTCGACAATATTTGAGGTGCATAAGGTTTAAAAGTGCAGTAACATAGTAGCTTGAACTCTGCCTATATACACAATATCCCCTCTTCAACGATTCAGGAACTGCGAAGGGAATTATCTTTAGACTTGTCATATCCATTGTGGATTCACTAGATAATCCGTATATAACATTTTTAGTAGTTACTTCTACCACTCTATGTTCACATCAGCACCTGATTCGTTCCTCATCCTTTCTTAAAGGAAGAATATGCTAGACTTACACCCTGTTGATATTGTATCAATTTTAAATCCATGGAGAAAACATGTATCCATGCTAGTATCAACAATGTGATTGGGTGAGCCTTTTACCAACACATCCGCAGGATACTTTGTTATCTTGTTTTACGACAAATTAACCTGCAGGTAGCAGTCAAATAGTGGGCAGATGTTGGATACGATACTTTGTCATTATGGTTCCCTCTACAACAAGTCTTAATTTGAGTATTATTATGATTTGAAGCTATATACTCAAAAGTGATATTGTTACATAGATTACTTAGAAAATAGATGATTTAGTGTCAAGTAGCACACTGATTGTATGATAATGAAACTTAAGATAAATAAGTCACTTTGCATAAGGCAGGTTTCAAGTAGGATTCACTGTACAGATGTGTTGATGTCGCTTTTCTGGGTATCGATGTGGGAAGAACTGGAATGGAACGCTCGATCATTCATGATTACCAATATATGTGTTCACGTCTAACACAATATCTGGTGCTGTATGTGGACGACAAGAGCGGAAGAGAGAGCGGCCTGAAGCGATGAAGATCGGCAACGGGTCCACGCTTGGAGTTTCTGGCTTCTTCGCTTTGGCCTTACGATAACTCCCGGGGCTTGTCGCGTCGCGTGTCCTCTCATAGAACGTCGTTCGGGTTGTGGAGTAGCTTGATCCGCCAAATCCGCTTAGTTTTATTCACTAGGTAGGTGACTCACTGGCATCAAGACAAGGATAGCCCGGAGGGCGATGAGACCAGCTGTAAAGCTCGCGAAGAAGGAAGTATGTCAAGGGTGGAACTAGTATCATAGTTCTATCGACTCCACATTCCCGGCGTGTTCGGAGAGAGCTGTAAAAACTGACCAAAGTCGAGGCCGTGCAAGCTCGGTACGTCTGCGACCAATCCCTCCAACCATGATACTTCGTCAGACGTGGGAATCATCGGCTGAGCCGGTGACTCAGTGGTGGATGGCTCGTGATGATCTTCTAACAGCCCACTGAGCAACCTAGTGTCCGAACGCCGGCGGCGCTGGTAGAGAAGAATAAGTAGACGTGCGGTCCCATATGCTTCTCTCATACTTTCGGTGTCGTAAGTGGCAGAAACCAGTTTCAGAGTCTGCATCGCTTCCGGCAGAAGCTCCAATGCTGCACTCGTATCCATCTCAAGGAGAATACTAATCATTTGAAATGGCACATTGGCCACATGTTGCCACGGGGAACAATCCGAAGCCATACGGCGCGCGGCCCCGAGGCTTCGCTTCAGTTGCTCCACAACTCGCTCCATCGTAGCGGGGGAGGTCATGAGGTTTCTCATATGTAAGCGCCGGAGAAGACAGAGGACCAGATTACATTGAGCGAGAATAGATGGTGGTTGAGTGTGGTTACGGCTTAACGTCTGCAGCAGGAATTCCTCGATCTCTTCATCTTGTCGTCGATTCTCAGGCCCCAGGCTGGTGGAAAGCGGCAAGAGACCGAGAAGTTCTACGGTAAAATCTCCAGGTCTTGGCGAGGGCAGTGCTACCGCCTCGTGGGGGAACGAAACCCTGGAGAGGCCCAAATCGTACGAGATCCAGAGATTCAAATGTTGGGCGACTCCAATCAGCCGTTGCCGAGTGTCGAGATCATATGAGTCGCATGAGAAGCTTTGGTGAAGCTTGGAAGCTTCGATTAGATGCATCAAGGTGGAACTTGCAATCCAGGTTGGGTATGGTGGTGCTGTCATGCGCATATAAATCACCCGAAGTGCCCACGCGGTCACCACTTCTACTGATGGGGCTGTAGACCCGATATGTGTGTCTGTGATAGAGCGCGTCAGTTCCACCAGGTGAGCTTCGGTAATATTGATAGTAATCTCGGAGAAGAGCGCCCCAAGGGCAGCAACCCCTGCGAGCACGCCGTCATATGAATCGCCCTCTGCAGATGACTGCCAACGACCCTCCAAGCGGCGAAAGAACATTGCCGAGTCGATGAACCCATAGCATGGATCTACCTTGGCAAAGTAGACATTCGCCAGGGTCTTCATATGGTTCAGCGAGAGAATATCGACTATGGGTACGGCCAAAACCGCGCCAGTCGCTAGACCAGAAGGGGGGTTGCGTCTACCCACATTCCAGCCGAAGAGATTCAATTTGGGCGCGTTTGCTGGGTCCATCTTGAGACCAATCTTTCTAACAAACGCCGCACCCGAGTTCGCTTCCAATGACTCGGTGTAAGAGCCTGTATGCTCAGGACTTGGCCCAGGAATGGCAGGAAGATCTACCATTATACCAGTGGGCTTTGGCTTCATGCGACGCTCATTTTGGTAGTAACAATCATAGCCCCAACTGCTGCAGGTTGAACAGGGGGACTCTCCATTGCATTTTCTTTTCCGTTCGCGACAAGGTTCACAGGCAAAGCGCGATCGCTTGCGCTTTGAAGGGCCAGGATTGCTCGCCATAGCACTCTGCATTGGGAGGGAGTAGTAGTGAGGCGATACGCAGACAGGCTTAAAAAGCAATGGCGGGGGGACGGAAAGCGGCAGAAACCGCGGGCGGGAACGGCTCTTCTTATTCTTATGTGAGCGTCTTATAACCCTACCACGTGACCAGGCATCTCAGTGATTATAGCATGTGATGTCTATGGGAATCTCTATTCTGATGGGAAAAACATATGTACATACACCGTTATGGCATAAGTTTCGACTTCCCCCTTAATCGTGGCCCATATTTCTTAAATACCACCGGGATCGGGATCATAATGGCCGCCAAACATCCTATCAGAGTGCCCGCCCACTGCACCCCAAGATTCTTGAACATTTGCTTGGCAAATAGTGGAAAGCCGGCGGCGACGCTAGATCGGAGGATAATGTTTGCAGCAACAGTAGATGCGGCGCTACCAAATTCGTCAGCACTTTCAGATCTCACCATATACTAGCTTGTAACTTACAGCGGCAGATAGGAATCGACCAGGTAGTTGAAACAGGGAAGGAAGATACACAGGATGCCAAACCCGATCAGAACACCCGATGCAGTGGGGGCAAGCCAGTGAATTGTCGAAGTAAAGCCAGTCCAGCTGAACCTAATCCTGGCGTTAGCATTGTGTCGTTTCAAATATTCTACCGGCCTGCTCACCAAAATACTCCCACGGTGAAAATCGGGGCACCGACAATAGCAGGCGGCAACCGCCACTCGGGGACAGGTACGTTTTTGTTCGCTATCAACTTCTTCACGTAGATGGACTGCTGAGACAGAACAAATCCGCATGCTAACACTTGGCCAATGATCAGCCCAAAAAAGGTGAGGCCGCTGAGTCCGGGATTCATTCCATAGACTGACTCGAATACGTAGGGATAGGCTACCAGCAGGGCGTACACGAGTCCGTAAATGAAGGACATGTAGAGGGAGACAACCAAGATAATCGGCTCGGTGATCAACATTCGCAAGGGCCGCGTAAAATACTTCTCAAGCAACTCCTGAAAGTCAACTTTAACCGCTTCTTGCTTAGCATGGATCCCCCAGTTGGAGGTCTGTTGACGGAGAGCTTCTGCCTTTGAGATGAGGAGGCATGGAGCATAGGTTTCTTTCAGGAAGAGTACAAATACACTGCAACATGCGAAACCCATGAACGCTGGAATATAGAGTGTCCATCGCCAGCCAAGGAAGCTAGAGGAGATGAATCCGCCAATAAAGGGGCCACTAAAAGGGCCTACAAACACAGCGAGTGAGTAAACAGTGATAGCAGGCCCGCGGTGGATATTATTGAAGAGGTCTGATAGCACGGCTGGAACCACCGAGAGTTGACTGGCGCCAAACAGTCCAGCAAAGAAGCGACAGATGATGACAGTTTGAATATCTTTCGCGACAGCCGATGCAATGCTGAACACCGCAACACCGAACATACCCACAGTCAGGGGTAATCGCCGACCTATCAGCTCGGAAGAAGGCGCCCAAATCAATGGGCCAGATGCAAACCCGAGGACAAAGAGAGTCGTACCAAGGATCCCAACCTCGGTACTCACTCCAAACGCCTTCGCTACCCCAGCGGTTCCTGGGGCGAATACAGCGCTAGCGAACGATGAGATAAATGTGCCAAAGCACACCATAACTGAGGTATAGAGCCTAAACGGATGAAGGTTCGGGTTAGCCTAGATATCAGATAATCTGGGAAATCTACGTACTTCACTGGGAAGCTCCAGTTAAAGGGATGTTCCGGGTCGTCCGGGCCGTCGAATGTAACGATATAATCATCTTCGTCTGGTAATAGTGGAGGGAAAGCTTTCCCTTCTCCCATTGACAGAGGTGAACTTGGCTCTGACCTCTTTTCAGAGATATTAGTCTAGGTCAGGCCATCAGTTATTCTGGTATGGTTACCGGCAATTGGGATTGATCTTCGAGTATACCTGCGCCTCGATGTCACTATTTTCAACAGTGTTATCTGTTTGAGAACCCCTATCACTGCTCTCACTCCATATTGGGAGACTCATTTTGCGTAGTGGTGCTGGCGGCAATGTAAGCCACGCACCGGAAGTATATACGGCGTCAGAGACTTGACTCTGTCTCGTGTGCCGGTTCAACAACAGAAAAGTGACGTAAAAGCCAAATAGAGACCAAGGCGGTGGCGAGAGTCCGTCAAGCGAGACATACGGCGAAAGACATCATACTATAATGTTTTGGGCAAGCCCCCATGGCGCCTATAAAAAATTAATTTCGCATTCCAGGCGCAACGCTGACACCGCGGAGGTATCGGGTATTGCGGACGTTGTGAGACCAGTACTGTTTTCGAACACCTTGGTCGATCATGATTCATATGCAAAATGGCCTCGGCACGATTTTCTTCCTGGATCTCCGCAATAGCCGATAGATCTGGCTGAAAGGTCCTGTACAGGCCGAAATAGTCCAAGTATTTGAAGTTCAATGTGTATAAACACAGCCCAAAAGCCGCATCGCAGCTCTTACTGAGGCATAGAGGCCACTCTGAGAAATTGGTAGCGGTGGTAAATCAATTTGACTATAAAAATGGTTACTATTCGACAAAGCCACAGTACCTAGATTATTATGGCTATTGCTTCGCTGGTTACTGTAATAGTGTCCGTACCCGCATGAAAAGCGGGTGGGTGACAAGAAATAAAAAACCTTGCGGGATAGAGAGTCTATCTCTGAGCAATCCCTTCCTGGAGTGTTTGATCTACGGTTTTCTAAATTCCATACTAATCGCATGAAAAATGTTCGTTGATACTCAGGCTAAAAAAGGAACTATCACAGGAGACCGCTTGGAGCCCGCGGAAGCAGCATAAAATAAAGAAGTTAGAGACGACCAAAGAAGAATTACTTCTAGAGGTACTAAGTAAACTGTCAAGTACTCATCACACGCTGACTGACTTCGCTATGTAATCCTTATCACGAGAGAAATATCAGACCAGATTTGTACAATTGATTCTTCTGCAGCCGCTGCCACATTGGCAACTGGATTGCATTCTCATATGTGCTCTTACTTCTAGGTAAATGACAGAATATAGGAGTATGCATTGGATAATGTGGTATCTAAACTGGGGGCTCTTGATGCGTTTACGTGGATGAATGCGTAGAAGACACATGATTATATATAAATTGGGCGCCCAGCATTGCAGCTGACGTTTAAAGAGTATAATACGCCGAACGCAGCCAGAGAAATCCGAAAATGTGAACATACTGGTAAACACGATAAATAAAACCTAATTGACAGTAATGACATTTGTATCAAATGCAACCAAGTCCTACTACTAGCCCTACCGTCTAGCAGACATAAGAAAACAGCATACGGAGTAGAAGTCCACTCTAATCATCCGTACAAGCACGTAATTCTCCCAGAGTCTAGTATTCTCAGGATCTACTTTCTTACAGGTCGGGCAATTGGACCCTAGTGGGGATTGGTCATATATTCTCGCCGGATCTCCGATTCTGACGCAATCACCGACATATTGCGCGGTCGCAACTAGCTACCATTTGAGGCAGGTGCTAACAAACACCTAATAGATATAACCTTAGTATTATCATTAGCAGGATAATTCCTTGCTGTACCCACCGAGTATTCACTGCAGGGTGGCCAACCAGGGTCTTTACTTGATCAGGAAGTTGAAGACAGTGAAGAAAACAAGAAGCGAGGGAATCCAAAAAAAAAGCAAAAAAAGAGCGAAGGGCAAGGCTAATGCAGGAAGCAGGCTTTTGATTCCGTGAAGAAAATATAAATTACTAGTGGCAATAGCCCTACCTGGGGCTGAGATGCAGATGTGCAAGCTGCACCCTGAGCTGGGGGTTTTACGAGAGACTAGAACAGATTAGGTCTTATTCTGCGCCATACGAAAAATAATCCCAGTAGCAAAGAGTGGGTCACTGGCGTAATTAATGAACCGATGTTATGCATAACGGTTTTTCAAGGATGACTTGGCTCGTGTCCGCCAAGGGTATCTGCATACAGCTGCAGACATTCTAGATCTCGAAGGCTCCCATCCGTTTTGTTCAAAGGCGCTGAAGATCATAAACTGCGTAGGATCTGCACTGAAAATATTTCACGTACTGAGTACTGTCACACTATGCAGTGTCATAGTCTCTATGCATTGTCATAGCTTGGCCGCTTCTTCCCGCAGCCATACCCGCTGTGGTGAACTGAACTGGAAACCCTAATTCGGCTTCCAACTGTAGGCATTTGTGTTTTTTCTGTGTCTTAGACCCACTAATAATGCGTTTTTGTATGTAAATCTTGACAGTGCATGTCAATTATGACCACTGCACTGTCACAGTTCCTCCTTTTTGAGATGCTTCAAGCTGATCCTTAGGTGACGCGTTGAGCATCACAATGTCAAATCACAAAATCGGAATCGTGCATGAGGGTGATGTTTTGAAGAATGTATCAACCACTATAGCTGAACTGTGACAGGGGGTATGGTATCGTCGTGGTCCAGACTCAATGGCAAATCGAGCAGCCAGAGAATTGTTACAATGCTGGATTGTATATATAAACGGTCGAAATCAAAAGTTTGATGTTTGAACCAACTTCTAAAATCATCAAATTCACAAAAGCAATTCAAGTTCATAGATACCCTTCACAGTTTTCACTAGCACGATTCCGTTTTCAGAGCAGTCCTCTTATATAAAATTCCAACACAAAAGTTCAAACCAAACTCCAAAAAGTCTTTTCACCATGAAGTACTCCATTCCAGCCACGCCCTCCGGCACCGCTCATGCCCACGTCGCTATTATCGGTATGGGACCTCGTGGAACCAGCGCACTGGAACGTCTCTGCGCTTCTGCGACAGAATTCCTCGCGCCTGGTGCGCGACTAACGGTTCACGTCGTCGACCCATCGCCCCCAGGAGCCGGCCGTGTTTGGCGCACCGCCCAGTCGTCGGAGCTACTGATGAACACGGTGACTTCCCAAGTTACCTTGTACACTGACAAGAGCGTGGTTTGCTCGGGACCGATACGCGAGGGACCAAGTCTGTATGAATGGGCAACCGATGCTAAACTTGGGTTGGGTCCGGACGAATACCCAACTCGGGCACAGTACGGCCATTATTTAGAATGGGTCTTCCGCGAGGTAGTTCGCAACGCCCCACCTGAGGTTGAGGTTGAGGTCCACGCTGCCCGCGCAGCTAGCCTCGATGACACGCCGGATGGCCGCCAGACGCTTACTCTATCTACTGGCCGCACTTTGTCCGGTTTGTCTGCTGTGGTTCTCGCCCAGGGCCATCTACCGCTAGTCGCCGATGCACAGTTACAGCAGCTCACTGCATATGCCGATCAGAATGGCCTGCGTCATATCACGCCCTCCAATCCCGCAGATGTTGACCTATCCTCCCTCAAGCCTGGCGAGCCAATCTTTCTGCGCGGTCTCGGTCTTAATTTCTTCGACTACATGGCCTTGCTGACTACAGGCCGTGGCGGTCGGTTCACTCGTACGCCTAACGGATTGCGCTACCACCCCTCAGGAAGGGAGCCTCGCATGTACGCTGGCTCACGTCGCGGCATTCCATATCAAGCACGCGGTGACAATGCAAAGGGCGCATACGGCCGTCACATGCCACTCATCTTCACTGAGGAGGTGATCGATGGTTTCCGCCAGCGCGCCGACTCCGGCAACGCACCAAACTTCCTGAAGGAAATTTGGCCGCTTGTCTCAAAGGAGGTCGAAACGGTCTATTACGAAGCCTTGTTGAGACAACATGGATTCGAGCTCGGTGACTTTAGGAATCGTTTCCTTGCCACTGCACACAAGAGCCCTGAGGAAGCCCAAGTCCTCACCGACTTCGGCATTACTGAGGAGAACCGCTGGTCCTGGGACCGCATTTCCCGACCATACGGCGAACGCACCTTTACAGCTGGTGCCTGGCGGGACTGGATGTTGGAGTACCTACGGGAGGATGCCAAAGAGGCCTCTCTTGGAAACGTCAACGGACCTCTGAAGGCAGCACTGGATGTGATGCGCGATCTGCGCAACGAGCTGCGACTCATTGTAGACCACGCCGGATTGTCAGGTCTCTCACACCGAGACCACCTGGACCGCTGGTACACACCACTAAACGCCTTTCTGTCCATCGGACCCCCTCGTCAGCGCATTGAGCAAATGATCGCCTTGATCGAGGCCGGCATTCTAGATGTTCTCGGCCCACGGCCACAAGCCCGTGCCGAGGATGGGGCCTGGACTGTGTACTCTCCCGAAGTACCCGGACTGAACGTCCGTGTTACTACCCTCATTGAAGCACGCCTACCGGAGCCGAGCCTTAGACATACTGCCGACGAGCTTCTCTCCCATCTGCTGAAGACGGGCCAGTGCCGCCCTCACACAGTCGACGGCTACGAAACCGGAGGTCTCGATATCACGCTCAGCCCGTACCGTCTCATCGATGCAGAAGGTCGTGCACACGCAAGGCGGTTCGCCGTCGGTGTCCCCACTGAAGGTGTCCACTGGGTCACTGCAGCTGGAGCAAGACCAGGTGTTAACTCAGTGACTCTGTCAGACACTGATGCAGTGGCTCGAGCTGCTCTATCTGCGGCAGTAAGTGAAAATACCGTTGTGGAGCGTCAGACGGAGATCAAGGCATGGCCAAATGTTGAGGTCTCCGAGGTTACTGTTCTGGAAGTTGGAGTCTGATTCAAAAATGTTAATGAATGTTTACGGTTTCGTGATTTATAATGTTGGCGCATGATAGATATGAATTTGAATACAACCTTTATTTGAAGAACTTGGTGTTGCTTTCGACGGGCTCGCAATCGGTGCATCTAGTAGGATTATAATATTTCAGTCCTTAGTACTCTTGTCGTCCCATTCCCCTGACATACATTATTTCCTTTGCCGCTTGCTTCTTTTCACTTATACTGTTTGGTCTGAATTAGCGCTCGTGTGTTCGAATGCTCAGAGGTTAACCTGCTCTGCATGACGAAGTTCATGAGCCAGACCCCGACCACGGCAGGCGGAGAGGATCTGCCTTACGTTCTAATGTGACTCAATTGAGCGCCCATATGGCCATCGGAGACGCATAATAAGAGTCCGAAAGAAAATGGTACAGGAAGCTTCAAAGATACGATAAAATTGTGAAACTGTCTATTTCATAACAATCATACAAGGTAGACTCCGCAAGGCAAGGTGCACAGAGGAAAGACTCGACCCCAATATCTAGTAATCTTGTTCAAAGCCCAGTTTCCTCTGGTCGCCTATATTCACCCTTTTCAATCATTTCATTAATCGTCCTTTCTGTTACCATCATTGCTTCAACACCGGCTGGTGTGCCACAGTACACTGTTGAGTGCAACACCGCCTCTCTAATCTCCAGTTCCGAGACACCGTTGTTGATCGCGCCGCGAGTGTGTAGTGCCAGCTCCAGCCACGCTTTCTGTGCGATAATTATGCCAATTGCTACAAGCAGATCAATATGTGCTACATTTAATCACCCATGGCGGGGAGATACACGTACTTAAGAGACTGCGCTGTTTCCTATCCAGGCCGGGGCGTTGCCAGACATTGCCCCATGCGTACTCGGTGATGAGCTGTTGCCCGGGCCGCGTGAATGGCGTTGCATTGTTCCATGCTCGGTCGACATACTCATGACCGAGGACGGCTCGGCGCATCTTGAGCCCCTCTTCCAGGAGTTCTCGGTGCAACTCATCGATTTTCGGATCAGTGGCCATTGTAACAAATTTTATTAGGTAATAAAAGATACGATAATGGGAGTCAGGGTCGGTAAAGCAAGGCCGTGTGCCTCAGTTCTTCTCGTAAATCACGGCTGATAGATTTAGACTTGTTGAATCACGCTTCCTCAAACCGAGGGGCAGATGGAAGCGCCAAATATGTCCTCATAACTACTTCACATGGGGAATCGTCAACAGTCCCCCGAGTCCAGCCAAGGCAAGACCCTGTCACCGAGATCCACTGTCTGCAGTCATCGCGCTAACATGCAACAGATCCACATACACCAAATCCTGAACTCAAACACGCAGCAAGTGTCATCGTATTTATGTAACGGATGTTACCGGTCCTTGGCACATGCAGAGTGGGTCTTGTTTTTCTCGGCCCGCAATAACCGCTCCGACCCGTAACCTTGTCCGCGGCCCTTCCGCAGCGCCCGCAATTGTGCCGCACCCGGTCTCCATGACCGCACCGCTCCCGAGTCACACCTTCCGCCTCCTTCTTTCGGCATGGTCTTGCCCTATTGTAGGACTTCTTGATACCTGAGGCTGGCAATGTGACCCTGAGGAGACATGTACAATAGTAGTGTTGAGTCCACATCCATTTGATAAACATTAGTTTTCCTTTTCCTCTTTCTCACTAGGAATGGAAGCAGGACTGCATTTGTACAGTTCAAGCAAATCTCGCTGCGTATACCGTGATGGTTCAGCATATCTAGGCTTCGTTATGACTGGTCAGTGAGGGAACTATATATCTAATAGGTTGACTTACCGAGAGAGCAGTTACAGCTGCTTTTACTGTTAAACAAAGACAATCTTTGGACTGGCTTGATGACATTGAACAACTCTACATACGGTGGGTTGTGTGTCCCCCTTGCTATCAATTCGGTATCTGGCTCGAAGGCGCTTGTTTTAGGGCTAGGACGATCATCTTTAGGTAAGCTCCCAGGACGAGAGGGCCGCGGTGCTCATACAACACTCAAGAGAACATTAAAGCAGCCATGCAACACCAATGTACGATAGAGCAGAGGTAAGATGGAGTATGAACTACCGGGACGAGTATCAAAGGATTCATTACGAAGGAACGAAGTGGCAGACACGGAAGCCATCACCAATTAAGACTACAAGCAGCTATTCCTCACCAATTATCCAGAAGCATCTTCACCATTACCTTGTGTCAGCATTCCCAGGCAAGCGGGTTTCTCATGCCTGCAGCCACCTATGACGAAGTTACGACAATGTATATCACCTAGAGAACAAGCACCGTTCGAACCTGTACAAAGGGCTTAGACGACGCTATCAATCCAACCATGCAAGGATGCCGGCATTCGACTCAGTTTGGGGGGGAACACCAAGCTATCTTACAACGGCCAACTGTTGGCGACTATAGAAACTCTAAGGTATAGCAGTGGAGGGACTGGCAGGCACGCTTGGAAAAGCAACTCAGAACATGATAGCGATGTCATTAAACCAGCCAACCAACTTGTTTTTGCAATAACTTCCAATGCCCACGAGGCAACAGAATGAACAACATGTTTCCTCTAAAGCGCACCAACACTACTTAGTATCCCGTGGTATCACGGCCCCACTGTCGATCCGACTCATTCCCTTACATTTTGCTGTCGGTCACGCGGACTACTCTAGAACTTCGGCCGATAAAGAACTAACCACGGCAACTGCACATGGCGAAGACGAAGCGTGCTATTCGGCTTTCAGCTATGAAAACCCCACTATACGATCTGTTAACAAGTGGACTATATGCACCGTGTTGCTATTACAGCGTGCTTGCGACTCGTTAGGCATCCGATAGGATTAGTGAAGCCTGGCTCGCCGTACGAAATACGTTTGCTCTGCAGGATTTTACGCCAAGGTTGCATCGCAGGCGAGCGATTTTCGAAGACACCCTTTGCCAAGAGAGTATTAGCTCATATACCTCACCGACGCGTGGAAGGATCACGACGCCAAGTAACAAGTATGTCTTGAGGGAGCCAGAGATGTGGTATGATCTCATAAGAAACTCATGGAAGGGCAGGGCCCTAACACAAAAGCTCATGCCTTGAGGGCGGTGGTAATAGGGCCAGCTACTACAAAAGCTCTGCGACTCAGATATTGTCTAATATCAAGGAAATGAGGATACATAAACGGCACATGGAGGGACAGGAAACTACCACAAGGACCGCTACCGCGAAGCCCACCTATTACATTCTACGCAGCTCTGCTACAAAGGCCAGAATCAAAGGGCGGGTTTTAGTGGGACTGGACCATACGTACTTTGGACACAAGGTTGCAAATCAATGCTCTAATTACCAAATGTAGAGGAGCCGTTTACGACAACACAGAGCTTGTTTAAACCATAGCCTTCTATAGCACAAGTGGTAGTGAGATATTCGCAGGACTTCGCATATATACTTTACACTATTAATTAGGCATGGAATTTCAGCTACTACCTAAGGATCTTATATAACTCACGATCCCACTATTGTGGGATGAGTGCTGCGATTGATAGATTGGAAAGCTCCAATGGTACTCTTTTCGAGAAATGGAGCGGCACTACTGCAAATGGCATGGTATGTTCCCTTATCTAAGCTTATTTTTCGAATCTTAATTCCCTGTCCATGTCGCATAGGGTCCCTACAGGCGTTCGCAGGTGGCTTGATGGTTCTTGCTCGGCAAACAGCCCCGACACACCCGTCAGAATAGAACTTTCGTGAAGAAAAGATAATTGACAAAAGTCAAGCATCCGAGGCCGTTGGGTCTCGGCAGCTTTCGGAAGATTGAAGCTTTCCAGCTACCCAGGCTTATATTCCTTCGGAATCCTTCAGTGCATTAATAACTGCCTTAATTCCCCTCACAAACATTAATTGGCATGGTTACAGTTTATACATTTGGAGCTGGGATCGGTAGTCATTTGGCCAATTAGAATTATTAACGTTAGGTAACAGAAACTGGTGGTTCAGGGTAGTCTTCATGCAGACTATATATAACAAGGCCTAGTCCATAGTTGGCTTTGCATCTAGGCACCTACCTAATCCTTCTCCGAGCTCAAATAAATTAGCCTCGGAAATCTCAATACGGAGTATGGTCTAGGAAAGCTGGTTGGTCCTAGCGCACCTTGACATATTTTGAAACCAATGAAGCATTCTCCAGAAACCATCCATGTCCATCACATAACGCCATTTGCTAACTATCATGCTTTGTAGGAACCCTGCAGCACGAGGCTTTAGAGGCCGGCCGTGTTGCGTAGGCCTCTTAGGACGCAGCGGTAAGACCGTGGTAGATTCTAAAAAAATACAATCTTGCAGAAATCCTAGGCTCCCCACGTCTTAAGATTGATTATCTTAGCGCAAGTTATTGTTTTTATAATGTAGGTTTCAGTCTTCTTTGATTAGCCTATTCTAAGTGTGGCATAGCTGTGCTGTGGGTTCTCCAAATTTTCCTCTTTTCTCAGCCACCTGCAGCAATCGAATGCCAGATGAAAGCTAAGTGGTGGGTATATGCCCAGGAAGTCATGGCCGAGAGTGGCCCTGCCAAGTCAGGTAGGTAGGATTCCTCGCGTCACTAATGCGACATATTATGATTGTTTGAGCAATTGCCAATCCTTACCATCCATGATCCCATTTCCGGGCCGGTAGATCAAGGATCTAGTCGCCACGCTGCCAATGGCTTGGCCATATATGAAGGTTCAAGCTCCCATTTTGCATCTATTGTTTCCAAAGCGTCAAGCGTGAAATGGTCAAAAGTGGACAGAAAATGGGATCGTCCACACATAGCATATCCATTATGGAAGACAGACTCGCACTCGAGCGGCGGAGGGAAAGGAATAGACTAGCACAGCGGAAGCATCGTATGGCATATCCTGTACCTACTATGCACCTGTCCAGCTAACTTGGCATAGGTGAAAATGCAAAGTTAAGGAGGCCACGGCAAGGGAATAGCGACAAACCACTACCTGAACAAAATAGCCAACCAGGACAGGCAATGAGCCGGTGCACCAGAAGTTCAGGAAGCAATAGCCAAGAATGCCCACCATTCTCGGCCTTTCTTGGCCCAGCCTTGGATTACAACATTGATCACCTGTCAGCAGATAATTTCTTTCCCGATGTGGTATTCTCGCCGCATGTCAACGAATACAGCCACTTGGATCTGGCGTCTTCTACGGCACCGCTGGACCAACAGCAGCAACTGGAGATCTCCCCTTTTACCGTGGACACAATATTTCAAACAGGCCCGAACAAGTGTAAGTGCCTCTACCACAGTGCTCCTTTTCAATAACCTTGCCTGACGCTGCCTTGCAGTCAACGCTCCTTCTAGCTTTTGCGGTAATTGCCATGCGAGTGCCAAACCACAGCTAGTATCGCATAACGACCCCAGATCCATTGGAATATGTGCTGCCAACATGCCCACCCGGCCGATGGGCTACTATCAAACCACTGAGACGGTCCGCGCTAGTGGGGTCGGATCTAGAGCCTGGACAACGCCCCTCCATATTTCCGTTAGCCGCGGACATCTCACAGCCGTGCGCCTCCTCCTTGACGGCGGTGCCGATCCTAACGCCATTGACGGAGATGGCTCCACAGTGCTTCATACGGCGGTCCGAAGCGGCCATCATATTATTGTGCGCGAGCTACTATGGCATGGCGCAGATCCGAGCGCCGTTGACGCGGCCGGCTGGTTACCGTTGCATTATGCCGCGGAGGCCGGCGATGAGAATTGCCTACGGGTCTTGCTGCAGCCAGGTGGGGAGTAGAACAAGAAGGATCTCGTACGAAGGTCTCGGGGAAAAGGAGCCTTGAGACACTAGGCTCAAGCTCGAGTTGGGGATTTCTTGCATTGGAGTTACCCGAGTAAACTAAGGGAGCTCTAGGTGGAGGCTTCATGTATGTACTTTTTTCATGGCACGGGTATTTTTAACCTCGCAAAATCTGATGAGTGAGCTGAACTTGCCCCTCGCCTTGGCGTTGATGCTTAGGTTACTTTCACAGGTTTGCTATTTTGCCATCCTCAGTCAGCCAAGAAAATTAATTAACGGTTAAGCACTAGATATTGGGAGTATAATCAACCACGTTGCATTAGCGTACTTCCGGACTTTCAAAAATTTCCGTGTTCATGAACTTAGCTCAATAACCAGGATACAGTAAAGCCACGTTACAAGCAGCCAATCCAGCAAGCCATTCAAATTCCTTATATCCGGTAATTGCTTATAGACGGGCTTTACTGTATTTGTTTGGAAGAAGCTCGGTTTCAGCATTCTATCAATAACAGTTGACAGTGCAATTGTGGAGTCATATAAGCACTAGTAACATGAGGTATCCGGAACCGCACTTGGAAGAGATCTATATTTTCCGATTTTCTCCTCCAATTACTATGATCTATTGGCTGTAATTACTGCCTCGATCACCGGTTAGACCCACTTGGGTCGATCTCGGAATCAGCTGGTCATTTAGCATGTACCGTAAACCCTCGGTATAAGGGAAATTATGTAGCAGGATAGGCAATTTCATATGGATTATCATAATGAGCTTCATGGAAGTCTACCTGGGAAACGATTTCACAGCTGTCGGAAAACTCTCACATCATGCCGATTCTTCATATTGAATTTTGCTTATAAAAAAACTTACCAATATATTGACTAACGAAGGCATCTCTAATATTAAAGAATTTCGGAACACAAGAGCCGCCAATGGTACATACTATAGAATTGACATTTCGCATGGCCTAGGTCATCTAATTTCATTGGCCATCAGTGAAGATCAGATTATAGACGCAAAGAGTACAGGCAAAGAGATTAAAATTCAAATTGAAAACTAGAATATAAGAGAGTTGGACGAATCAAAACCCGTTCTCAGCAGTTCCAGGATTCCATTCCTCTGGCCCTATACTTGATTCACCTATAACGTAATCGCTTAGCGAGCCATCGCTGTATGTGCTGAAGAAAGTCTGGACGGAATTGATGGATTTCACGAACGTGATTGGGGCCTCAGTGCCACCGCCAAGGCGGCTTGTTCCACCCTACAAAGTGTTCTAGACTGAAAGGGCTCTAGCAGTAGTACGAGGGTGGAGAATGATGCCACATCCATACGAGCATCATCCCCACTCTTTCTGAGAGGTATAATGGCAAAATTACTGAATACGAGGTACCGTCCATTCATTGCCAAGCTGAATCGCGTATTATCCCTTAAAGCGGTAATGAACTGCAGGTCTATGCGCTCTGACTCTATGAATCTTCCTTGATTTATCTTATGAATGTCAGCATGATTAAATGACCAATGGGGAATCTTAATGGTCATTGTGCACATCCTAGTATGTGTCAATGAGAATATATGTATCGTTCGTCAATGACACGCTGGTAACTTAACGGAATATCTAGGTCCACATAGCTGTGACTACGCGCGGTTGTAAGGCTCACATAACCGCCACGGTGCATTAAGCGTCCCATGTGATATGGGTACTCGCTCCTGAGACTGTAAGACACTCGCATGGAGGCTCGCTGGCCGGATATCACACGGGGAAACACCGGCCGAGACTGCTTGGTTTGAGAAGGCATTGGCTCATCCTCCAAACACATTGCCGAGATCCCGCGTCTATAACAGTCCCAAGTCGGTCTAGAAGCTTGCTCATACCAATTAAAGCACGCAACCAGGCTGTCACAAGTTGCCTGTGAAGCACCCTAGAACAAGACAGTTGAGGGGGCAGAGAATCGAGGAAATTGTGGAGCTCCCGGGGGCCCTGCTGAATATGCCCACGCGTGGTACACACTTCATTCAGGCAACTTAAGGTATAGCTGCTAAATACATTATACGCTATGGACAGTTGGTCCCCTGTGAAGGCTTCTTGGGAAAACCGTCCTGGAAACAACCATGGGCTCCCTAAAGTCGTTATTCTACGGTATCTACGCCGGAGCTTCTGGGCTATGACGCTTATGATGACGCCAATGGGGAATAATCTGTCAAGCAGATGTCAGTATTGGGCCTTGATTAGGGATACATTTTTTATATTTAGTTTATCTGACTTTCCTCTCACACCGCGGTCCCTGATGATATTTCTACTCTTTCTCTCTAGATGTGTGAACAAATCTAAACATCAAACCACTCGAAGTCCAATCCAAGTTAGGGCTCCGGAGTGACCGAAAGCAGCTTGTAGCATTGGTAGATGCTACCCGAATTGCTATCTCGGATTGTCCTTGCGGTATCATCCGGTTCATATGTTTCTGGTGTGGTCTATGAATACTGTGCATTCGATAAGGTCTAACTATACGTCGCTATTTGTTGGGTTCTGAACTACTTTCTAATATACCTTACTGTACCTCACCACCCGTGCTTTGTGCACGTACCTAACCGTAAGGCATCGTTGCTATTGACTTCCTTAGGATTATAGAAGAACGGCTGCAAATAATTGTCCCTAGGAGGTCGTTCGTCACAGTACTGCATTACTGGGCAAAGAGATATAATCGGGAGCCGCTATGTAACACTTCATTCCCAATGTGTGGGAAATAAATTCTTGACGATGGACTTCTGGCAACTCTTTTATAATGAACGCTAAAAAAAGGGATTATACTGGATCACATCGTCTAGGAATACTATTAATGAAGGTCTTGTGGTCGCAGGAGCTTATAACATCTATACACCCCGACGCCCTTCCGTAGGTGGATGCACGCCAGTTGTTACCTTCGACTCTTCCTCCGACCGTCCACTACATAAGGTTGAGCTCGTCTCATCCTTCTCCTTTATGGTGGGCAAGAACGCAATGCAATGCCTGCATGCGGTAGACTCGATCATGATCAATGGGAAGTTTGATTAATTGGATCCACCAGCCAAGGCCCTTGGCGTGAGTATCATGGTATGTGGATTGTTCCGTTTCTTTGGGTCCAGATAAGGCAGGTACAAGTGGGTCTATAATCGCTAATGCGCTATACTCAGAGTAAGATAGGGTGTACCCCGGATAGGGAGTGATTCGTTATCAGTTATGGATTGATAGATTCAGCTATATCCTTCATGGATGATAAGACGCATCCAGAGGTCCTAATCATCCTTTGGTACGACTCGCAGCGCTTCTAAAATGCCAGACCACCCCACCCGCATCATGCCATAACCGGCGGCCTTTTGGAATGCATTCAGTATAAAGCCGGCGCAGACCTTATGGCTGGATCACGACGTCAGTGCCGACACAACGGTTGCACACAAACAACTGTGTGGGATCCACTCGTTGCTTGATCGCCAGCAGCCGGTCGTACTTCCTTCCCCAAAAGACATTTTGCCAGTCGGGTTCGTATCTGCAGCTTCTGTGAGCCACTTGCTTTAATACCGCTTATGTACGTTGGATACTCACGGATTGGCTTCATTCACATATGTACCTCCCTCTGAGCCGACTATTCCTGTAAGTCGTTTGCTCAACTGTACAGCGTGATGCCGCTTTTCCTGTTTTTCGCTGTCTGTGGCGGTATCTGCCCAATCCACAGACACGCTCAGAAGACCGTGGCTGTGTTTCCAGACGTCATGCACGGCAGTATTGTCGCGCTCATCGTTATTGACTTTACCAACTGGACAAGGGATGAGGCATGAGCACGATGGATCATAGGTTCTGGAACATCTGAACACTTACTGAAATTGAACCCTGCCCCTCGCTTGTTACTAACTAAAAACTCTGCCAACTCTTCCGCCTTTTTCTGAATCACCTCAGTTGTCAGCAATCGGGATGTGTCCTGAATGTTCGTTCCGATGTTAGGGTCTTGAAGGAAGGTTTTTACGTATCCGTCCCAGGTCGACGGATACGCGGCGACCTCTCCCTGGATCCCTGGAAGCCGGGACAGATTAAAGAATGGAGCAAACGTTTGATTGAAATCTGCGATTGTACCGTTGGGCTTAAGGAAGAGAGCGGCGAAACCACTTTCTAGCGTCCCGTATCCTGTGTAGCCCGCTTCTGTGATAGCCGGTAGCAGCTTGACAGATTCCGCTATGACACGTTTGAAGCTAGATGTGTTCGTTGCGTTCAATTGGACTAGTCCCATTGTGAGGTTCTGCGGGACTGGATGAGTTTTATAGGTGACCGATGTGACGACCTGACAACCGCAACCGTTAGCCTAGTCTGGCGTTTGCTGTTGTCTTAACTTCCTCTATGTGAACTCACCCCCCAGGCGCTTCCACCACCACCTCGAACAGCCCAAAAATAATCCGGATCTGTGTAGGTATTAAGCACTCGGTGTTCACCATCAGCGGAAACAATGGTCATTTCGAGGAGATCTGCAATGCCTTTAGCATATGTACATTAGCCAAAGTATATCCTACCACTTACTATCTGCTGCAAGCCCATAATAATGCGCAAAGGGCGAATGACCACCCCCAAGGACATATCCTCCAGCAGCACCAACAGTGCGCGCCGAACCACCAACGACCAACACTCCTTGTTTTGCGGCGGCTTGGTACACGTCTACATCGCCACGTCAGGGCCCAGTCTCATGCTGTCACGTCTGATACTTGACTTACCAAACCATTGCTCACCCGCCTGCAAGGTTACCGCGGATATACCACTAGTATCAGCCGGTGCACCCTGGGACGTGAATGAATCGTGGAAGTCGATGCCCTTCAAATTATGCGTCCATATTCCAAACGACCCTTTCCCGCTTGAGCGGCCGAGGCTAAGATGAACAATATTAGTGTAAGCCACAGATTATGTGGGGGTAATGGCTCACTGATCATGGCCAGTATTCTTCGTCACCAGCAAGAGATCCTTCTCACTTGCAAATTTGACAGAGGCCTGGATATCCTCCACACTCCCCGCACGGACCATATAATACGGAACTAAATTGACACAATCCAAGCATAAGCAACTTCACCATAACCCCTCTGATCAAGATGGCTGAGGCCGACTATACCTATCCCTTGGTCGCACGGCGCACTGACAGATGTATTAATAAAACACTGTCCGGTCGGTCCCATTTCCCATACAGTAGCAGCATATGCTCCTGTCTGGTTCGTTCTCCAGAAGCTATCCAGCCAGCTATCCTTTGCGACGGTGCATTTCTCTGCATTGTACCGCTCAGTGTGGCACACCGCTGCAGAGGGTACGGAGCGAATCAGTCTTCCACCAACGGTGGCGTTAAAGTCATTCCATGATTGACTATCTGGCCAGCAGTCGTCTCCGTAGGCACATCGGCGCCGGGGTTGCGTTTGTGCGTCGGTTGCGACGGAGAGAAAGCCGACGGCCGTGAGGATGTGTTGGAGCATGGGTATTTAATGGAATTTGTTTCGAAGGTATTCTGGTCTATAAGTATGTATTAGAGGAGGAGCTTGAATATATATATTTATAAGTTCCCGAACTGCTGCTTTGATACAATTTGCAACGATCATCTTTCGATCATATTTATATCTAAACCGACATAGTTACCAAGATATAGAAATACGAGACTTGCCTGATCCGGCATCACGATAGTCGATTGTTATGGAGATACCATGGTAGATCAGTGGTTGAACCGAATACGAGTAACTCTGATATTTCTTGGCTACGTTGCCCGAATGGATTGAGAGAAACGTGGAAGCCTCATCCACATTGTTCACACATAAATCAACGACAGAGCTAGTACCAGTCCCTTATGCTACATGACGCAATTAAAGTGTATTCTAAGCACACCAACGCTAAATTGGGCAAATATGCCAAGACTCGTACACGATGGTGGACAGAATGAGGCCATCATTAGGGCTGTGCAGCTGCACCCGCTCATGCCTTGTTGCCTTACGGACGACGGTCTTACTATATGTAGTTTAGTGTGTCCAAAAAATGTCATTACATAATTGCCACAACGGTTGTTATTGGTCGGATTGTAGGGTGGCAGCGAAAAGACCATGGTTGTGCGTGGTCTTTAGACACAAAAGTGTCGTGTTCCCGCGCGTCACGTTGGTGTCTTAAGTATTCGGGGCAGGCTATACCCAATTTGTTCTAGGACCACTTCTGCCACGATTTACAGTTATCGGGGCACTTTCATACACTCGGTTTAAACCCAGCAGATCCCCTGTGACTAATCCTTTGACTGTGAAATAATGGTTCACGATCCAGATCACGAGGACAATAATAAGTAGAGCTGTGGACCACACTTTAAAGGCCGGGGAGTCCATTAATTTCCCTAGCTCCACTGCGGCATTCGTATAGACACCCTGTTGTATCGGTAAGTAAACCTTGTCAATGGCTCTGGGGATATTGCGGACTTACCCATGGGAAGACCAGAGACCAAGCGGCCAAGGTGAAGGAAGTGTGTTGTCGGTGTCTTGCGCGAGAGATCAAGGCATGGGATATACTAAGAATAGCAAAACACCACCAGAATGTGCCATATCCCCAGACAAGAAGACCAGCCAGTTCGCTAGCGAACCCAATGGGCTTAGCAGCCTCCGCCGTTAAGAAGGTTCCACGATCATAATCGGCGAAAGCATCGCGCAACACCGCCTGTCCGAGGGCCTGTAACGCAAAGCTGGCTTGACCGAATGGACCGCACAGAATCATGTCCTGATAGATTTCTTCCATAGCGGGGAAGCTTTGGTCGAAGAGCCTTGTCATAAAGATATCTGTCAACGTGATTGCTAGCGTGAGCCCTAGCCCAACTTCAAGAAAAGAGACGATGATAACGGGAACCTGCAATCGGCTCCCTAGAGCTCCGTATTGACAGATAACACCTCCACCAGCGGCGGAGGTGAGTGCCGAGATCAGCGGGAGAAGCACGCCTGGTAGGACCGCCTTAACACCTGGCGACTGGATTTTCACAAAGACGTACGGAATTCCCATCACCACGACGACTGCCATTGCAGTATTGATCCACCATAGAACGTAAGCGACGATACCCCATGCTGCACCCCATTGCCGTACCAGTACTAGAACGGTCATTTGGATGATTGTGGTAAATGTGATAGGGATGCTAGCTAGACATGAGGTCTCTATAATGCTTGTTCTTAGCATATGAGCGACATGACGACGGTAGAGAAGTATTCGGAGGGTGTAGAGGAATAACCCAATCACCAGCAAGACGATAGTGTATATCCAGACGATAACTGATATTATCGGGAGGCCCCTAAACTGATAGTCCAGCTGGTGAAGGATCACAGCTATGACGCCAGTCCCTTGGGGAATAAGGAACCATTGTGAAGAAAAATTCCACAATACACGCGCGAACGGCGATGTCGGTGGCCTAGTTGCCGTTGTTGCATGTCCTGACGCTTGTCCACACCCACCCTTCTTTGCACATATGGTATTATTCCCGGCTTCGCTGTGCTGATTCCTATTCCTTGATCCTTGCATGGTGGAGTGTAGACAGCATTGATTCCACCAAGCATCACTGGGGAGGTTCAAAGTGGCAAGTCTGCAGAGAGCGTGGTTCGGGCCACTGTGTGGTGCCCTGTTAGGATAGCCAACCGATTTAAGTGAGTCTTCTAGGAAGTTACTTATACAACAAACGGGTAGTAAGGGTTCTTTCTATAGGTGTATAATTCTAGATGTGGGTCAGAACCATACTATGTTGTCATTCATGGGGGGTGGCGATACGTCACCTTGACGGCATTTTTTATTTTATTTTTTCAATTACACCCAGAAAAGAGTTATCTGTTAGTATTTTATCATTGAAAGTATATTATTATTTGACTTATCGGGTATGGAGGAACGAAATCCTTCTCTCTACCAGCAAACTCAACCCTCATGCTTCTCGCCAGGTCCAGGAACGTGAGAGTTCCTCCATACCATGTTCATGAAAGCGCTGCGGTCTGACCGACTCATTCACGTTCCCCATACCGACAACGGTCGCTTCTTGGATTTAGGGTGTGGGACTGGGACCTGGGCGGTTGAGATGGGGAGAGCAATTTATGATTGGGGAAACGGTGGACAGAGTGATGTATGGATATCAAACGTGGCTTGGCACAGTCGACGACTTGGCTCTTAAGAAACTGCCATCATACCGCTCATCGCGATCTACCTATACGATCTGTGCCGCATATCGCCCTCTTTCAATCTTGTCCCGCAAGTGTCGCTCATGATGACTGTGGTGTAGATTCTCAGAGTAAGTCGCCTGCGCAATCTCGCGATCGCGCGGAATCCTGTTGCATTTCTTCGGTCACTGAAAATGAGAAATGATCGATTAGAGGAACGGCTCAAAGGGACGATGCGACACGATCCTGACTTGACTCACTGTAGTAAAAGTCGCCCCAACGGCAAATATGGCGGCAGTTGGTCTGAATCGACCCGGCGTCAAAGGATGGGAAAATAACGAGGAGAGGCAGGTGGACGAGGAGGCCATCTATATAGACTACGCACCCCAAGCGCAGAATACGGAGTATCATATCAATAAACTCGTTCTAGTGGAGGGGTCAAAGATCGGATTTATATAGTACGAGGCTCAGTTATTGACTATCTATACTCCGAATGCTGATGTCGTTGTGTAGATCTGTAAAGGCCCGAAAGGCTGTCCGATGGTGGAGACCTATGGTCTGTATTCCAAAACAGTCACGGTGATTTGGTTTAGACATCTTGCTTGCTCATGATAAGACAAAAGAGAAATACACGAATTAAAGAGAACTATAATGTTAATCGTTGCTTTTAGAACTCCACCGAGTGATGAAAAGAACTCCCAAAGCCTGAAGTGCAAGATGTTCCGTACTCCTTTCCATCTTAATTAGCACTACACCAGGAACGCCAGATACCGCAAGGTGCGGACAATCTTTCAATACTCCCAAGGTACGCGGTGATCCTGGAGCTTAACACCAGAGCCATCGGTAGACCTGACGTCGACATCCATTGTCCGGATCACCCCAATTGGAGACTTGTTCCCATCGCGTGAAAGGCGCCCCTCGCCCGGATCATTCTGCGATACTGAAACGTTTGTTAGTGGGATCACACTGCCCTCCTCAATCCTTGAGTACTTCGTTTCCGACATCGTCCATGGCTTCGGCTTGGGCTTGGAGCGAGGCCCAGAATTGGAGTTTCCGCCCTGGTTAGAAGGACCGCTGATGGACTTGCCGCTGAGGCCGAGAGCACTGGACAATCTGCTTCGGAGCCCAGACTCCATGGCGAGCTTCGATAGGCAGGGCACGCTGAAGATGAAGAAACCGCAAGTCATCTCGGCGCAGGCCCAGAATAGAAGTGGCCCAATGAAGTACATGCTGTCGGTTGAGTTGGCGAAGGTGACGGTGTGGGCTAGGCGGAAGCAGGCTGCAATTGAGGCGCTGCACCAGAGTTAGAATTGCTTCGGTAGGGGATATGCTTGGGTTGAGTACTGACAGAATCCCGACACCAAAAATGATTGAAATTCCCATCTTCTTCTGCCAGTTCATATGGAGGCTCCATATCATCTTCTGCGGCAGCAAGAACATACATATGTCGGAGATGACTTGCACACTCGCGGAGCAGAGCATTACGTTTGGGAGCGAGTAGCATTTACTCGGAAGATAGAATTCCCAGATGGCTCGGTGCGGGCGACATTGCATATTGAGCAGGACAATACATAGGAGCCCCCACAGGCATTGAACGAATGACACAGCCATGCATCCCCACCAGAAGAAGCTCTTCGATCGGTTAACGGAGACAAATACCCGGCACCAGTCCATCAAAATGGCCGTCTTAATCAGGGGAAGGGTTGCGGAGTAGCAACAGCCATACACTAAGATGAGCTGATAGTACAAGTAGATTAGGTCCGATCAGACGTTCGCACAACCGTAGAGAAACCTACATAGAGCGGTCGGATAAGGTCTCGGTTACGAAGGTCCCATGTGTGGACGTAGTAGCCAGGAGTATAAATCATCCCATAGGCAGCGTACGCAGTACCCCAATAGGCTCCCTGGAAACGATTAGTACATTGGAAATGTGATTGTCTCGTGAGAAGAAGGGACACACATATGCGCCAATTGTCAAAACTAGCAGAGTGTTAGCCACGTTTTTTGGCGACGTGATTCAACTTACCATCTTCAATGCGCACTCTCCGATCCAGCCAGATCCGGACGTACCAGCGTAGAAAGAGGCACAGAGTCGCGATGACCATACAAACCGTTGTGATACCCCAAGCATAGTCATTGTGGCGGGAAGGATTGTCGAAATTGGGCGAGACCCCGGGTGGTGGTGCGAGAGCCGGCGCCGCGAGCAGGGCGTCGAGCTCATCAGGCGACATTTTCAGAACAGAGACGGACAGGTCGTGTGGAAATGGGCATGTTCATCTTGTTTAAGAAAGAACAACAGCTACCCCGGATCTGTCAATTTGGGGACCGACACAAGGGTAAGGTTTTGCCAAGCTTGTTGAAAGCCTTCGATAAAATGAAGGCTGCCTCTCTAGCAAGCTGCAAGTTTCACGGAGAAAGGCTTTCTTTGCTCCATACTCCGTACTTTGTTTCTCGAAGAGACAAATCAGGGCCCACTAAGTAACGGTACCCCCTATTGGAACCCGTCGAGCCGTTGTCTGACAGCTCTTAGGGCAAACCCAGAAGATAACATGTCTTCACGCTAAGGGCCGGCAGGACGAATCCGTTCGCTTTAGCTTCCTTCAACTTCCAACCAGCCATCAGTCGACCCACTTGTGTTAGCTCTCATAGGCTGCTAGGCTGTCGCGGGACGACATGTCACTACGCTAAGGCCTGCTCACAATTTGGTGGACGGACCTGTACTCTGGATTCTGCGCCATTGGCCGCCAGTGGGTCCCGCCGGTCGGGTCGCCCCTGTCCATATTGTACAGAGCAGTCGCGAGCCTTTAAAGGGGCTCGATCTCTCGTTTAATCGAGATACATGCGGTGCTCAGGTCATCTAACGCCATGATTGACGCGATCGTGGCCGGAAATGGCAGGGAAATACTTGGAATCCTCGTAAAGTTAACAATTGAGTTACGAGTCCTCACCACTAGTGTGTGCCAATTAAAATCCATTACTGCACTAGACTTTCACGAGACCCGGCCTGGCCAATAAATGCACACTACGGCATTTGCTCCGCATAGCGATGCCAGTCTAGATGTGGATATCTGACGATTGATCACACGCTTGGACTCAGATAGCCTTGTCATCCAGATGCGAGGCGGCTGCTAAATGCTGCCATTCCCCGCCTGCAGGATTCAGCACCTCAGACACTGCAACTTACACCATGGCTTCCAGTGAGTTTTCCAGGATGTCGCAAATGATCAGTCCAACGGATGTAGAATCCAACGCATAACAACTGTACAGACGACTTCGACTTCCCGTCCTCGTTACACGATGAGTACCCGCCAAGAGCGGATCTGCGCCAGATGATGGCTCAGCAGCCGATTCCGACAATCCCTGCCGGTACGATAGATCCAGATTCCATGGCTGGCGATGAGCCGGTGAAGCAGGCGCGCGCTGTTTTGGACCGCCTGACCGCTGCACTGGCGGACGGCGATCCCATCGCCCTCGAGAGCTGTTTCTTTCCCGGTCAGGCATATTGGAAGGATCAGCTGGCGCTCACCTACCACCTACGAACGTTCAGCGGCCCTAGCGTAATCGCTGCCAGCTTACTAGAAACAAAGAGCTTGAGGGAAGCTGAAGGGGGAATTGCTATCGATGGAGGCGCTGTCTTCCTCCCAGCAACGCCGACGCTTGTGAGCCGCTAATCGAAACGCAGATAGTGCAGGTACCTGGATGTTGTAGCTAACCATCATTCGAATACAGCAATTCATCGACTGTGGGATTGTTTTCCGAACAGGGTCACCCGGTGCGACGTGCAAAGGGAAGGTGGTTCTACTTCCTGCGAAAGCCCGTCACGAGACAATAGAGTGGAAGATTTGGGTGCTAAGTACCTTCTTGGAGAGCTTGGACTTGCAGAAAGAGGACGAAGCATTGCTCTATTCTCCTGGAAGACAGCTGACTGGCCTTCCAACATTTGACACAGATGTCTTTATCATTGGAGGCGGAAACGCGTAAGTTATGTAAAGACGTCAATCCGGACAGTGTTGACACTGTGTAGCGCGGTCACTGTGGCGGCACGTCTCAAAGCATTAGGCGTAGAGAGCGTCATGGCCGAGCGTAATCCCCGACCTGGCGATAACTGGGCTCTTCGCTATGACTGCATGCGGTTCCACATTCCAACATCATTCTGTGACTTGCCCTACATGTGTAAGCGTCATCGGGCGAGCAAGAGTCGAGGAGAGCAAACTAACCTCGAGTTCACAAACTAGCTTATGAAGAGGAACTTCGAGCTCCACACCTCCTGACTAGAGATGAACTGGCTTCGCAGGTCCAGCGATATGTCGAAACCTTCCATCTAAACATCATGACCTCCGCGCAGGTCCTGTCAACCAGGTATGACCCATCAGCCAAGCTTTGGGAGGTCAAGCTCAAAACCCCTGCCGGCCAACATACGGCACACTCGAAACATCTCGTGCTGGCGACCGGCATCTCGTCGCAGGAGCCCTATCTGCCAAAGGTGGCGGACAGTCATCTATACCAAGGAACCACTCTCCATTCGGCTCAGTATCGGAATGCAAAGCAGTTAGCAGAGACGGGTGCCAAGGTGGGTGTTCTCCAAATTAGCTTGATCGGGCCACAGAATCATCGGCGGCGTTACTAACCGGAATTTATTTCCCGTAGTCCGTTCTAGTAATTGGATCTGCCAACACTGCTTTTGACGTTCTGGAAGACTGCCACGCCGCCGGTCTCCGGACAACAATGGTCGCTCGATCACCAACCTACATTGTCCCAGTCGACTATCTCTGCGACAAGCACAGTCTCGGGGCCTATGATATGGGTGTCGAGATAGCTGATCGACTTTTCCTGACACTGCCGTCGTATGTAGACGCCCAGCTTGCTCGCGGTGTAATGACGCAGTTCGCAGCGCAGGAACCGCATCGCTACGATGCTCTCGCAGCCGCCGGCTTCCCGGTTATTGACAGTCGCAACCCGGACATGGCATTGATGCATAACCTGCTGGAGCGAGCGGGTGGGCACTACGTGGATGTGGGTGGTACCAAGCTGCTAGCAGACGGTAGAGCGAGTGTGAAGGCCGGAGTCGAGCCCATCGCCTACACAACGACTGGACTACGATTCTCGGACGAGAGCTCCGCCGATGCAGATGCAGTGGTGTGGTGCACAGGATTTGCCGACAAGAACGTGCGCGACACTGCCATCCAAATCTTGGGCGGACACGCGTCCAGTAATGAGACCGATATTGAACCTACGCACATGCTTGGCCCTCGTGAAATCGCTGATCGCCTTGACACGACGTGGGGTCTTGATGCCGAGGGCGAGATACGTGGTTTGTGGAAGCGTCAATCGCGCCTTGAGAATCTCTGGGTCGCGGGTGGCTACACGCAACAGCACCGGTGGCATTCGAGGACAATAGCCCTGCAGATCAAGGCGTCGTTGGAAGGTGTACTGCCTCCAGCATATAGGGACACGCCAAATCCTGTGCGAGCAAGTGCGCAGAAATGTACTTTCCTGTAGATAGCGATATCATCGCCCGGTAGGAGAATATACGTGGCCAAATTGGATACATTAGCAGGTGGGAACTGATCTTGGAGCTTTTCCATCCATAACTAAACGTAACTCCTATTTTGTCGGAACTCTCTTATGGGCTACTAGGTGCCCTTTATATTGAGGTGCATGCCCCAGACACAACGTAGAGTCTCAAAACCAGTCCCTGGAGAAACAACGATCCAATTCCACTACTACACTGAACGAGTGCATGGAGTATAGCTCACATTGCCATAGGTCCTTGTCAACCAAATCATTACATACGATGCCTCCGACAATCCTCACACACTCGGAAATGACAACGACGGCACCGCAAAATATATTTCCAATGGCGTGCCCCACACATTTCACATTCAAACTTGGAAATAGTGCCGTTCAAGATACGTTCGAAGCGTCGTGAGTGTTCACATTCGTGAGTCTCAAGTAAATCATCGCGCAGCTGTGCGATGCGGTGCTGGCGTACCTGCTGAGGCAAGGGCCGATCCAATTCTCGATCTACAATCTCTTCAGCTCTGGCAACCAGTCTCCGTTCCGACCACATTTCACAGCGACAGGACTTCCACCTTATGCCGCACAGGTAGCAGAATTCGGCCTTGCAGTTGCATCTAAGCATCATGTCAGTCTTACCGCAAGATGGAGTTCAAAACACAGGAGAGGAAACACGTCATACGTCATGTGGTAGCAACCTGTTGTCAGCTCAACCATTGTCTTGCAGGAGAAACAACGCTGCCATCCTTGGTTTGTGGCAAGTTCTAGTGTTCCCTGAAGAGCAGTGTCTTCTGGGCAATCATCAAAGTGACAGGCGCTTTTACACATTGTGCAAGTCAAGGAGCCGCAGTACTGGCATTTCGCTTCGTAGGACAATATGTTACTCGGGATTATAAACCTGCCACAGTCGGTGTTGCTGCAGTAGGTTCTGTTGGCTGTGGAAAATTCAATTTCTGCACTCTGGAATGCATCCTTTTCTTCCGTGGTCATTTGTTGGGCTATGAGGGATAAGGGGATATGTTGACGACAGCACCTCGGCGGAAATAGTTGCTCATCCTTAGTGGCTCTCATGAAAAGGCTCTTAAGACAATCGGTGCAGTAGAAGTCACCACATGGCAAATGAGTTATGTCGCTTGATTCAAAGTTCTCGAAGCAGGTACAGCATTGTAGCTTTGGACGAGATAGCTTCTCCATCGCTTCTTTCTGGCGCTCCGCATATGTTTTCGACGGACCACCTTTGTCTTCATCAGGATCACGATCAAAATGGCCCTCTCCACTAAGGGGGTCCTTAGGTATGTGCAATTCATGAGACTGGTTATGCATCGCTCCAGGCGGATGGTTCCGAAGCTCCGGATCATCGGCGCTGATTGTTATTGCCAGACGTCTATCACGCTGGGCTTGCAACTCTCCCTGCGTGATGCATGCGATGGCTGGGCTGTCCATATAACCAGCATGGGCAATACTATGGGCAAGCTTTAGGTCATTCAAAAAGCCAATGTGGGCTTGCACCTCATGCCGAAACGCTGTCAGCGCCAGATCAATGTCTAAAGGCTCATCAGCTCGACCCTTTCCTTTTTGCTTTCCATCGAACAGATCGATCTCCTCCAGTTGATGTAAAAGGCCCACAGCTTCATCATCTGTGTTTGCCTGGTTAGCTAGACGCGGCCGAGTCTCACGTTCCGCTGACATGCTTCGTTTCTGAGAGAAGCAGAAAATCAATAGCGAATATAATCGATGATTATAGGTTTAAGGGCACTGCGGCGTGAAGGCTGGTCTCAAGGGGAGTATGGTGGCGTTGCAATGCGCACTGGGGTTTATCTTTGAGAAGGAATACTGTATACCTTCTAGGGTAACGAGGCTGGTTAATCCCATATGACGATCATTCACTCTAAGCCGAGCAGATTATTCAGCATTCGCTTTGTCTCATTTTTATCTGCTTATGGTTCTTGCCTATGACCTCATGACGACACACTTTCATGGACGAAGGCGTCCTCGAGGTCACCATTAGTTCAGTATCCGGCAAGATATCCCTAGCCAACTGGTCATCTGCCGTACGGCTTACGTAGTAGATTCCGTGTAAGCGTATCAGAGGCAAGTTCTCATTGGTGAGTAGAATTCATGAATGTTACTTGAGCTGGGCAGATGTTCTCCTTTTGAAAGCAATCCTATATATTATATACCACTTCGGGATACATCATATGAGACCGCCATGCAGAAAAAGTATAGTTGCCCACTCGGGAGAGTGTTCCGAACCGAGAAGCCGATCTTTATTCAAACCGGTCAGCCGAGCTCGCGCATAATTAGAAGAAAATAGAGTGTATGTTTGACCTTATTGGGGTCGGGAATGCAATGCATGATACTTCCATGGGAAGTAATAACTTGTGGTTTGGAAACGAGCAAGAAGACACTAAGACTAAGTGAAGAGAGTGGTTAATATGGAGGCAAAGATGACGCTCCTGGGTTTTCGTAGTCTTTGGACGAGAGCTACATGATTTTGTTTTCTCTGCCGAAATTGTATTCTATATAGGCCGTTTATGTCCGGCGTTCCGAGGGCACGGTTTCAGGAGCTTAAAAAGACTTATCACAAAAGGCTGCACGGCTCGGGACAGCCTCCGATCGTTGATAAGAAGCCAATGCCGAGGATCAGCAGTGTCGGAACCCATGCAAGTCAGGAATTAGAAAGGAATTGCATGCATGGTACTTATAATGGTAGACCCAACGAGCGTATGGCTTCTTTTTTTTGCGATATGCACAATATTATTAACCGGCCAGGAGCAACCCCTGTTATTTACACTAACATACAAGCTCTCACAGAGCTTACAAATGGGTCTTGGACTCAGTATTACTTCCTCGCCAAGTCTTGCAAAGCCCTCGTTCCGAGGCTCCAAAAACAGGATCATACTTTGGCTTCGGAACAGACCACACTTTTTCAAAATCACCTCCGGTTGCAACAAAATCCCAGCCACCCCCACTGTAAGCCCCCATCATAGTAAATCCGTCCAGTTTAATCTCAGACAAGGCTCTCTTATCCTCAGCCCTGATACCATGACCCGTTCCCGGTGACAAAAGGGCAAACTCAGCTTCCGGCTTAGTGTTGTGTGTCTTATGTGCCACGCCGGCCGGGATAACGAATACATCACCAGCTTCCGCCTCTAGTAGAACACCACCTTCCTCCCATGCGGAGCCGTGTGTATTCTCTTCCATGTCTGGTGAGGTGTCCGCCACACCAAATCGGATACTGGCCGTGCCGGAAAGAACGGCCATACATTCGTGTGCTTGGGAATGGTAATGAGATACTTGAGTAGGGTTGTAGCGGAATATCCAGTGCACGTTCCATTCATTCTTTGTAAACATATCCCATACGTCGACAGGGTCGCAGTGTGAGTTATTCCGCTTGGTTAGGACATTCTTGTAGTGGAGTAGTGGTCTCGGTGAGTTGGGGACGAGGTCCGTGGGAGCCAGGTGATATTTCCTTACTTCAGCCATTCTGATTAATCGATTTATTTTGCGAAGTGCCGGTGGTATATGTTCTATCTGAGAACGTCTTGGTTCGAGGCTTTTGGGATGTCTGGGAGTGGAAACGGTGAGATCGTTCGGTGGGTTGTAGCGATTGATATAACCAGCAAGGTCGGTACCAGGTCCGAGTCGGAATTCTTACCCGTGCGGGGCAAGGCTTTCCTGACTCACAGAATGAGGATAACTCGACAATCTTTCCCCGCAGAGTATGAACTGAGGGCACAAGGGTGAATGGTCGCGGTCGTATCTGATGTGCACTGTGCGATGTCCGAGCCGGGTTCCCACCGTATCTTTTTCCTACTCATATACCGTGACCAACTAGATCAGACATCTTTGATCTTGGCACTGAGCATATACCATCGGCATTTCCTCTAGGGGCCCTATAACAGTAACCCTACTACACCTTCGCCAGTAGGGGGTGGCGCGGGAAACACATCGTTTATTGGGAATCATAATACTGTACAAAAGCCTAAAAAAAAAAAATACTATACAGAAAAAAAACAATGATCCCAAGGATACTCATTACTTTCCTTCCTTCGCCGCCTTTTGCACCCGCCACCCCTCCCCATACCGTGTGGCCAGCCACAAGAAACTCCCAGCAACCGCCAGAAAGCCAGCACTGATGGTCATAAACCATCCTACCCCAATCGCGTCAATGGCAGGAAGACACGAAGCGGTTCCCACGGCGCCGGCCGCATTGCGAACCATGTAGCTGCCCGCAACGGCCAGCGCGCTCTTACCGGTGCCCTCCATCACGTCGACGCAATAAACGTTCAGGCTAACAAACGCCGCCACATGGCACACGCTCTGAATGTATAGCGCGATCACCACTAGGGGGATGCCGCCAACAGCCTCCTGCACCGCCCAGCCGTAAACCAGCCCACACACCGGCATGGCGATCCCCACCGCTGCCACCACAGTATTCAGCCGGTCCTCCGGCACGCGTCGCCCGCGTCGCCGCATGTACCGTCGGACGACCCAGTCCGACAGTTGCCCACCGCAGAGAGTCCCCGTAAGGTATCCGGCACATGGGGCCAAATAAAAGAGGGCCGCCTGGAGGGGAGAGGTCAGATGGAAGAGCGGGTTGAGCACCTGGCGGATCGGCGTCAGGATCGAGAACTGATTCCAGTGCAGGGAAGCGACGCTCATGCCGTTGATGAGCAAGCTCCGAGACGAGAGTAGAAGCGTGAAGATCTCCGATGGATTCATGAGACGGATGAATTGCACTACCTTCCCGGAGCGGGACAGGCCTGTGAAGAGTTGAGTCTTCTTCTCGTGGATTGTCTCCGGCAGGAACACGGCCAGTAGAAGCACGGAGAGAACCGCCATGCCGGTTTGTGCCCAGAAGATCACTCGCCACACGGTGTAGGTCACGACCACTCCACCCAGCAGCGGAGCCAGGCCGGGTGCTACCGTTGTGCTCACCATCAACCATCCCAGTGCGCGACCCCGGGCGGTAGGCGGGTAAATATCCCCGATGACCACGGCGCCGACGACCTGGATGGCTGTCACCTGCGGCGCGGTGAGGAAACGCAGGATAAAGTAAGCTGGGAGGTTCGGGGCCAAACCGGTGCCCAGGCTAAACGCAGCCAAGAGTGCATTGGCGGTGAGCAGGATGGGCCGGCGACCAAAGGTGTTGGCAATGGGAGCATATAGCATGGGCCCCGTCATCTGGCAGAGAACCATCAAGGCGTTGGACAAGGCGACCGTGCTGTCGGTGGTATGAAAGGTGGCTCCCACCTCTGGGATGGCCGTTACGACAGCGGTGGAACTCAGTGTAGTCTGGAACAACGACCAGACGAGGACTATGGTGATAACCACCTTGCGGCCGGGCGAGAACCGATTGTAGATGTCATGACTGTCTGCAGATTCTTGGATGTTCGGCGTGATGGATTTCTCCTGGGCCGAATGAGGCTCAGTCGAGGAAGAACAATCACTGTCGTGCACCGCCATGGCAACTTACGGTGTAAACGGCGATGCAGGAACAAGAGGAAAAGATAAATACAGCTGCCCAATACGAAGCAGCCAGAGGGAAACGTACTCTTGGCAATGAATAGGATGACGACACCATAGTCTTGCGGTCTGGATAAAGCAGCATTGCAGTCACCCCTTTTATGCTGCTCGGAGACGCAGATATACGTCGTGCATTGCGTGTTCTGGAAGGCGTCCCTAGGCGTTTCAGGATGCCAAGACTGCAAACATTTTCTACCCTGTTGAATATTGGAAGATCAGTCGTAGTTCACTGCAAGGGGTGAGTCAAACTGAAGCCTATGAATACCAAGCTAGAAAGGGCCGGCGGGGGTGATTATAGGAAGGGTAGGGATTAGCTTCGATTACACGTCTTTCTGAAACTAGAAGGGGTGCACTCTCAATATGCAAAATGGATACTCCGTACCTGAGATATCAACGGAAGCTGCATGCCACATGCAGCCACGGAAGCAGGGCATTACGTGTCTTGCAGGGTGAAGATTTAGGGAATCCCCAGATCGGGTAGGGGCAGGTTTCATACTGTAGATCAATGAGTCAGGCCGATCGATTGGCCTGTGCGATAGTAGGGTCCGACAACTGTGCTAGGACGTATCACTGCCCCTCCTAAGCCCTATCATGGTTTGTATACAGTAGGCAAGATGCGTGGATGGGAAACGGTAGACAAACAACGCCCAGAGGGATCAGCATAATCTTCTCACACCCTACCTATCACAGCGAGTCCCCGACCAGTATGATGCTGTCTCCCTGGATGCCAGCGGTATTGTCATGGTATCTCATATTGACCGGCCAGGTGGACAAGATAAATAGCAGGCTCCAACCCGTGGCTCAACACGATCCATTTCTTCACATCAGATGAAGTATTCTTCAAATCACGAATACTAGATCGATTCCTCCAGATTCCTGTCATCGCTCAAAATGACAATAACCCACCCCCAGCTCTCAAATCGTTACCAAATTCGCCCACTCACACTCTCACATCTAACATGGACCAAAGCCCTCCTCGTCCAAGCCAACACGTCCCCTTCCTCTATCTGGCCAACCCTTCAACCAGGTAACCAGACTGCGCTTGCCTACCGCCAGTTCCATGCAATGGACTCTGTTGTACGCCACCTGATAAACTCAGGCATATCCTTCGGAGTCTTCGACACGGAATATGAGTTTCGATTTGCCTCCTCCGCTGAAACAGGCGGACAGCTTTATTGGGATGAAACAGACTTGAAAGCGACAACGGGGCAGCTTCTCGAGCAGATGGACTTCCCGCTCGTCTCCATTGCGCTGAGCTACGATGCCACCGACCCACCGGATGAGGCCAAACTGCAAGATTACTACGAAATTCTCCCAGTTGCCCGAGACCTGTTCAGTCACCTAGAATCTCTGATCCCTCCCTCTGCTCGGGCTGGCTACGCCGGTGCTGGATGCGGGAAACTATGTCGGGGCAGAGTACTGATGGCGCGATCGCTCGCGACTAGGGGTGATTATGAGCGGCGCGGGATCATGAAGGGTACGGCATGGTGGTTGATGAGGGAGGCAAAGAGGTGGGGTTACGAAGTGATCGAGATTCGAACTGGGAGTGCTGCTGTTCGGCGGGTTTGGGAGAATCCCCCCGAGCCGTTTCGGGCGACTGTCATGGCGGAATTCGTGGTTGGAGAGTATGAGATTGTTGATTCAGAGGGAAGGAAGAGGAGGCCGTTTCAGGGGATTAATGCAGAGAGGTGTCGACTTCGGATTGACTTGTGATATCCTTTCTTTTTCTACCTGTATAGAATGTCTCCCTCTGAGTTCAGGGTGATCTACTACATAATTTTGCGCCTGACCACCACAAGGTAGTGCACCTATGAGTGGAATAGAATGAACTTGAGTTTGAATCCGTCAATTATGGTCCTATCCCGAATGACGAATTATCCCCATATTGCTCAGTCTTCCTGAACCTGAGTCGTCATGTATATCTGCAAGGGATTCGCTATACCTTCCTAGCCAATTCTAGAACATCTCCCGTCCTATAAGAGTCGCATCGTACTCCCTGGACTAGTAGATGAACTATTACACTGAGATTAATTGCCAGTAATAGGGACCATATCAGCCGAGGTAAGTGTAAATACGGTTATTTGGCTGGAACTAGAATGCAAGCCAGCGAACTAGCTGTCTGGAATGATCTTCCTGACTACTAATAAAATTCCTCATAGCGGAGTAAAATGGATCCTCTCAACCAAGCATATATACTTTTGAAGAAACTATAATAAATCATATAGTTTAGTACTTCTTTTTTTTGTGCTTCATTCTTAGATTCCACCTGTACAACATAAAAACCCTAGACTACATCTATTTCGTTACCACGCTATAAGGTATTAACAGAGGAGCACCAGCAAAGCAGAACAATTGCTCAAGATCGAATATGATATACATAGACTATTTAAGACTTTGATTAGAACTGGACTTCACAAAATTTCCACTCAACCCATTTGAGTGGCGGGACTTCCAACGTCGTCACGATCTGCGCGAGGCCCACCCCGATTCAAATAGTGTCTGATACTCTTCCACATTTGGCAACTCCATGTCGATCGAATTCCAAACACCAATCACGGTGACCAGGACCCTCAGTATACGTATTCTGTAGTGGGGTAAACTGAGAACTCAGGGATAAAATATGGTGGCGTAATCAGCCATGCCTTCAAGCGGTCATATCATGGAACGGTTGTACATACCGGAATCCATACCTACTGATAACCCTATGCAATAACCTTATCATTTTGTATACTATTGCTGGCCATAAGACTCCTTATATGCGGTTAATATCTTGGCAGTGGTTGCATCATCATCGTCCAAGACCTTTCGACCAGAGTCGGTGGAAAAACTCAAACATGTGGATGCATTCATCAAGATTTTCCGCGTAAACTATGTCTAGAACATACATCATCGAGCTCAAAAGTACCACACGTAGGAAGTTACGTGTCCCATTTACGGGATAGATGACTCTGAACGCTTGGCATTCTTCGACGATTATCGGGTCCTACGGATTAATGTTTAATATTTGAAATATTCGTAAGGGTCCTTCCCGTGCGGGTCACGATCCACTTCAACCTAAATTTAAAACCCGGATAAGAATTCTTCTCAGTTCGGGCTTTGCAAACGTGGCTCATTCCAAGGTACGGAATAGAAGCGCACCATATTCTTCTCATATGATAGGTTACTCTCCTTTCAGAAACGCCAATCTCTCTTAGTTTGACGGTATAATTGAATAGATCGAACCAATCTGTCATCATCCAAGGGGGAAACGCTGTCTTTGATATTCTAGTCCGCTGCAAGGTAGGAAACGCTATCCTTACTAGGTGATTCACCTACAAGGGTCATGATCCTTTTGGGAAGTGCTAACTCTCGCCATATGACGACGCTTCTATATGAGAAAGTCCTGGAATACATTGTTGGTGAGCTTCACTGTTATTATCCCATAACTCAAGACCAAAATGGTTTCCCCAGCCCAGCAACTAGTAGATAGATTTACCAGCTCAAGGTCAGTGGAAGACCCGCGTGGTCAAAACACCGTATTCTATAACACTAAAGTAAAAACCATGGCGCTTTAACCGTGGCCTTACTCTACTTATAGCTTATGTTTAACAAGCTTTCACTCAGTACTCCAATGAGGGCTTAGGTACGAACGGATAAATATAGTACATTTATAATCATCTGGATCAGTCCCCAAAGTGTAAAAGATAGAGGCCAGGAAAGATGTTTGTAAGTGACGGTTGGGGCCTGCCTCATCTGGTGTTAATTTTAGTGCATATACCAACGCTTAGCTCGCTTAGACTTGAGTGCAGCCATGAAGAAGCGAGATTTGAACACAATATGGCACTAAAAAGAAAACATCGTGGGCTCTATACTAGCACCGAGCAGAGAGAATCTGGTGTAAAGCATTCAACCCGGAAAGGAAGGAAGAAAACCCAAGATAACACACGTAAGTGACGAAAAAGCCAAGAAAGTTAGAATAAAAACAGGTTAGACCAACGAGAAGAAAGGGCATAAGGCAGTGCAGAATAGTACCTAGGTAACATTTGAGGAACACCAAAAACCACTCTCCTACCTTGTTGGGAACAGATAATCACAAACTTTGTACTATTCCTGGACATTCCAGTACATCTGCTAACCAATAGGTACACACATCAACGCCACGGGAGTTGCTTGTGATTAATCAAGCAATTACTATTGACAGAAAGATAGTTCTGAGCCCTTATGTCCGTGTTAGTGCTAATTCTAGTGAGGAAGCAAAACGTTCTTCCGGTCATTGGAAGATCATCATCATCCATGTAGCAACCCCTAATGGGATGCACCAATTAGCTGACTTTATGAGGGCGTCTATTGCAAATCAGGCTGCATACACGAGAATAGCAAAAATGACACAGGCAAATCAATTCTCGGAGTTACCGTTATTCACTAAAGTAGGAAAGTGGCGAAGTATGATTATATGTGACACTACTTCAGTCATCATTTGATTGCTATCATGCCAGGTAGGCCCTGTAACAGTAAGCTGAACTAGTGGCATTGGTTGGCCAGCATGTCAAAGCTACTGTAATCACATGAGTGCACATATGGACTGGCCTCAGTTAAAAGGAAACGTAACTTGAGTCTGGGAAGAAAATAAGATTGTGATGTATCTCCCGTCGTTCGTTATGTAGCGGAGGCTTGTGTTCTATGTAGCTAACCAGAGAACATGATGCTAAGATCAAAGAGACAGTGTTACAGAACTAATTTTCTATCAGATACAAGAGATCTTCCAACAAAAGATCCTCCAATTGTACATACGTTCAGAAACCGCCATTGCGGAGTGGCTGTCAAGTTCACGACCATGTATCAGCCGCAATAATGCAATTTCCACGGACCTCAAAACACATAAGCTTCACAGAGGATGATGGCAGGGTTTCCTCAAGTCATCAGACCGAGGAGCTTCCCTATATATCACGTCATCGTTCACGCGGCTTTCACCAAGAATGAATAAACAACCCAATGGAAAGGATATGTGGAGTAATTGCTTGACTTGCGACAACAAGGATACATGTGTTGCTTGACGAAGACGATAGCTCTAACCGAAATATTTTATGCGTAACTTTTAATGCCTCCATTATCCCCCATTCTACTATCTAGCCGACTCAACACCTTTCTAAGATCTGCCTCCTTACACCGTCGCTCGAGGTATGCTTCCGTGTTTCCTCGCTGATGATAGATTTGAATAGGATACTAATACTCTTCAGCGGGGTGAATGCAGCGGAGTCGCTGGGAATAGGGCTTGGTATAGCAGGTGCCATTCTGCTGATATGCTGCATCTGTTGGATGAACTTCGTGGTACCGACACTGACGCGACAGATGGAGCGGCGAAGGAGACGTTCCAGGAGGCCTTCTGTGTCACCACCTCCCCTAATACCATCCGTGCCTTCTCCAAATCCGCAGTTCCCGCGATATCCCGAACCTGTTGTTGGTGTCCGGCCTACAAAACCCCAGGTGCCAGTAGTGGGCCTAAGAGAAGCGTAGGCGTAGGTAGTGTACCTACATAGTACCATCATGTTTCGTTTCTTTGATCATTGTTTGGAATAGTTTTGATTCTAAGGAGCTTTCATGAGTGGGCACATTTTGAAGGGGCGTAATCAGTCAAATAATGTATGAAGCGGAGTTAATGATAGCGATCGAAGCAAATATTCATAGAGCACGAGCCTGCCATGCTTAGTCCGTATAATCAACGCGCGCATACTGCGTGGTGCCTAAAATTTATGTCATGATTCTGCATTCGGTAAGCCCATAGTCAGGCCAGGTAGACGCACCCTGGAATACAGCTCGGAAAATGATCTCATTTGCAAAGAGCAGTTGCATCGTGAAATCTAACATTTGGTAATAGCCTCTTCCGTCCAACCTCGGACACAGACTGGGGGCTCGTCTACGTGGCCCTTCTAAATCAATGGTCATGTTACCCACCTTGTAGCATTCTAATTACCTCGATCAGCAATTCTCGTCAGGATATGCGACATAAACCATACCTCGAGTGCAAACTTTAGGTGGGCTCTCCCCTTCCCGGGAGGGGCTCCATGCCCAGAGAATTATTGTGAGTTTTGCTTCTCCCGATGGATCACAATATGCTACCAACGGGAATTCCAAAGGCTGGTCAACAGATACTTCGTTGCCCTGGCGCAGATAAAGTTAGTCTGTCTCCGAGCTACGTTGGAAGAAAACTGTACGTCACGAGAAACATACCGCCACGACGAACCATTGCATAGCCCTTTGAGATCGTTCACCAGTGAAAGGATGGCGCACACTATAGAACCAATGTTCAGCTTGCCCATTTCAGGAAACCTCACTGATGGGAAGACTTACCTTGGGTATCCACAATCGGGATTGTATTTCAAATGGATCTCTTGACCGTAACACCGCGTTAGCTTTCTTGCCGTGACGGTCTGATTGCTCATTCCCCAGCTTAGAGCCCCTAAGGTCACTGATGCCCAGCTAATGCAGTATCAATCAACATAGCTCAGGTAATATATACATCTTGCTGTAGACTTACGCATCAGGCGGTTGAGTGATTTCAGCTAGACGCTGAAACTCATCCTTCACTCGCTTGAATAAGTAGCTATTTTGGCCAAATCCACCAACCAGCACAATTCCGGCTAATTGAGGACGGTGGCCCCGCCGGTTGAAGAGGGTTGTAATTTGGGCGCGAATGAGATTGAGCACCCTAGTGACAGTGGGTTCGAACATATGCGCGACATCGCGTCCAGTGATGATCAGACAGTTTTCCTCTGTGCCATCTATATGGGCCCCATACAACTCGGGTGGAACTAATGAGATTTCGTCAACTTGTGTACGGAGTGCGGTCCTCGGTTGAAAAGCCATACGCCAAAAATTCCACCTAGCGTCCCGATTCCCAGTGAAGTGTTGCTTGATCTAGTGCTTTCAGTGGGGGCTAACACAAGCTTCGACATTTCTGACATACCTCGGCATCAAAACGACGGCGCATCTTGTTGAGATTATTAGTGCGCTGTCGAGTATAATGCTGGCTTCAAACTTACATCTTCCAAACACCTCTCTAACTGTTCACTCCTGCGACCGTTGTAGTATCTCCCCAGCCTATCTTGGAGAAAGGCTTCAAATGCGCGGTTCAGGAAGATCGATCCACAAGCTTCCCCAGTTCCGGGGATGCTCTCGACTAACTCCAAAGGATCTATTTTCTTGACACAGTAGGTGATTAAGTCCACCGTCCCTCCCCCAGCGTCGCAGATGACATAGTGATCTCCTGGGCGAACCGACTTTACCATGTGTGCTTGACTCAAGGTATAAACCGCTGCAGCCTGCGGCTCTGCAATTAGTTCAATCTTGGCCTGTTGGCCAAAAGCTCTCCTGGCGCACTGCTTTGTGGCATTTTTCGCGGAATCGGTCCAGATCGCCGGGACAGTTAAGATGAACTTTTTAGGAGCTTTCTTGATGAAATCTACTGAACGGCTCAGTTGAGTGAAAACGGCCTATATTGGTGGTAGGCTCACCTGGAATCCATCGATTGTTCATTTGCTCTAGGGCAGTCCGGTAAATAGCCTTGAGATAATCCGTACAAACAGCCTTGGCGTCGCGATTTACTTCATATTCTCCGACTACTGCGCTCGTAGTTCTATAGGTCCCCACAAGCGAGCGAGTGGATTCAGTAGCCGATCGAAGTGCCTTACGCTGAGCTCTGGCTTCCGGGTCCAGCTCCCTTTATTGCACAGTTCACATTACCATCCTTTGGCGGACAAGATGCGGGATTAACTTACAGTTTGAAATATTTCAAGGCTCTAAGATCGCCGTGGGCCTGAAATCCCCATCTTATTGTGTGCTTATTGTCATCGTAAAGGATCTCGCTAGGGAAAGCATTCAGATATAGTCTGTACTCATAGTGGATTCAGTCCAGTACTGACGTTGGTGCCTTTTCACTTGTCCCATTTCTTGGCGGCCAACGAGTTATCAAATCCTAATATCAACGTTAGCGAGATACCCTCATCCAGGTTCTTAAACTAGCCTGTCTACTGGGCAAACGATCTTCAGCCGTATGTATGTACCCAATTCCAGAGTATGTCGCTCCAAAGTCTATCGCAAACTGGATGATGTCGACAAATTAGCAGATTTCTTTCAGCATAACATATCCATGCTCACGATAAGGGTGTCATTGTCTCCCGCCATTTTTACTAGTACCTGCCCCAGCTGGTGGCACAAAGTTCGGTACTTCGGCGGACTAAGTCAGTGTAGAGAAAAGAAGCGAAATGTCGCTAAGCCAGGAGATTGCAGCATCATAAACGGACAAGCGTCTTACGATAGTTTGGCCGGCTTAAAAGCCATTTGGAGCTCTACAAGAGGCTCTGCAACCTCCGGCCCCGCAGCTGGTTTTCAAGCGCTATAGCATGGAGGTTCCTTGCAATTCTCCTCCTATAGTACTATATCCTACATGGTAGATATGTTACACTCGCTATATTATTAGTCTTCAAACATTTACATGTTCATCGTGACACAGACTTCGTGTCATGGATACAAACGTCTCCTTCCTACTATTTATATTGACAAATAGGAAAGATGGACACATCCGACAGCAGGGACAAGTCAGAAAGCAACCCGTGTGAAGGCCAATCGGCTCATTTTATCTGGCAAGACTGAGTAATTCCGAATTTTGGAAATGGCCTCAGCTGATCGCTCCTAGGAAACGCACCGTGCGGCCCGCATCTTAAGAGAGCAACGCCACATATGCAGGCAAACCCAGGGTGAACCCTGGACCGGCTCCCTTCATAAGCGAGCTGAGTTACGTGCAGCCCGAGCACCGGCAGTTGCCAGCTCAGCAAGGACAATTAGCCGTCCGGAAGTATCGAATGCCCCCGCGAAGCCTATTTGTACGCTGACGGCGGTTTTGACCATCGTAACCATACTATCGACGCAAATGAGGAAGCTCATTGATTGAATATCGTGGAGCCATCTAAGCCATGGAGCAAATAGTATGGCCTTACGGCTGCAGGGTGCCAATGGCTATGAAACGCCACTCAAACGCCTCCAGTTGCCTAAGATATCGTTGGGCGTCTAGAACAACTAAGGCTAACCAGTCGCATCAGCCCAGCTACGTAGTGAGACAGTTTCAAGTTTTGTGTCACAATTCCCCTGCGCGCTGTTCATCTGATCTCATTCAGATATGTTGAACCCGCCGACCACCCTTTGCTGCCACCATCTGGACACGACCCTGTCGCATATTTTGGTGCGCAAGCTTCACTAATGAACTCCGCACTATCTTTCTTTGGGGTTCATCCTCATCGCTCACATTCTAAGGAAGAGAGCACAGGGAAACACCACCGGAGACGCTCTACAATGGACAACAACAGCCGTACGATAGCAGGGGCAATTACATTCCGTCCAAACCACTACCCACAACTAGGCGAGGACGCCATTTGTTCAAATAGTGAGCACAGTGACTCGCGGTCATGTAGTCCAGAAAACACAATCCGCCGAAGAAGAGCAAGTTTTGCTGTCAACGAAACTCCTTCTACTCGGCGCCTCGTCCATGGGCAGCAGGACAAGGATGAAGATGAGTCGGCGTTACTCCGAAGAAAGCTCCGTGATGCTCACGCCAAGATACGGCGACAGGAGATCTTACTTTTCCGCCTCCAGACGGACCCTTACACTGATCACCAGTACCCGGACACGGTGATTGATAGGGAATACCAACGATTTATATACAGTGTACAGCAGACCGCTTGGAGAATGTGCGATATTATTGGGTATAATGCTGAGAGTCTTTCGGACGCAATCAGTACCATGAGAAAATTGGAACACCACGTGCATCAGGACGAAAGTAGTGCACCTCAGTTGAGCATGCTACTGAGTCTCATAAGATCCTCGTCATATAGCAAAGCGCTGTACCGATCGAGTGTGGCCATGATCGTATTTCTTACTTTTGAGCGATGGGCCTTTTCACCGCGGAATATCTCAGCCAGCATTGCCCCAGATGAGAATGTGGCCTTCAAAAGTATATTCCAACGGTTCCTCTCAAACATCGAAATAGATCATCCATCAGATCAAGGTACGACCACCTTGACTCAGTTTACGGGCGAAAGGTAACCATACCTATCGATATTAGATACCATGGCTCGGTTAAAGGATGCAGAGGAATGGCGACTCCAGACAGCTCTTTACATAGCGCGTTCAAAGTCTGCCTCTGACGGTAGGGAACTTACAAAGCAACGAATCTTGCATGAGCTGTGTCAACTTTTCGTGACCCGCGATAATTCCTCTGAAATGGGAAGTGTTCTCTCGGGGCTCATTGACAGTGGTATCAATCTAGCAGGCTTTCTGCAGGAACGTCAAAGTATCTATTACTTTGTACGGCTAAAGGGCCGCTATGATCCTGAGATTATGGAGTTTCATGAGCCTCAGCAGGCTGAGTGGCCTCTTCACCAAGGAAGTAACTCTGAGGTAATGGTTTGTATATACCCGTCCTTAGTAAAGCTTCTAGCTTCACCACCATTTACCTTCCATGTATCCAAAGGTAAGGTACTTTGCCGTCCTACCCCTGATGGGGAAAAATTACTCTATGGTCCCCCAACAAGAAGATGGACCACATAAGAGATGAAGCTGGCTTGATAACCTCTATTCCTTCAAATCCTGAGCCCGGATAGAGGTATTCACTATGCTTAGGGGTCTCTTTCTGGTATCGCCCATCGTAACGTGATGGAAATTCAGAGTGGTTTTTATATTGTACTTCTCTCCTTATCCTTGTGTCTTCTCAATTTCCCTCGCCTCGGTCTTTTCTCGTTTTATTATTTCCTCCCAGTCCTTACTCTTCTGTTTCTATTGGTCTTTCGTTTTCATTTTAGCCACCTGCGCGATCTCTCATCGCGTCGGTCCAGTCTCCCCAAAGCATGGTCAACTCCACATATTCTTCCTGGCTGTTATCCAGATGTATGTCTTTCCTTGAAGGTACATCTTGCCATCTACCAGTATAGAGCCTCGCCTATAGTCTGCCTCCCGATGAGCCCTACCCGCACCTTAACTCTATAACCCAAGCCGTCCCTGGCCAACACTAGGTCTAATAATTACTGGGAAGTCCTATCGACATAGGTAACAGTATGGCCCTCGGCAATAAGCTTATTTGAAGATATAGCAAGATGATATTTCAGCCACCGGGCCTTTCTTTGCTTTTTGTGATGAGAGAGTCCGAGCGAGGCTGTGCTAATCTCAGCCTCGTGTGTGTTTGCCAGCTGGCACGGCTGGCTATCCACCACTAGTAATCAGGATTAACTACCCCGCAATGCAGCCTTGACGATGGATTCTGGAAATATAACAAGGTTGGAGATTCTTGCAGTAATTCACGTCATCTAATTTACTGAAAATGGACCCATTATCGATCGTCGGTGCAGTCGGGTCGATACTGGGAATCATCGACCTGGCGACCCGAAGCATCAAGACCTTGACTGACTTGCAAGGCCGCTATACGAGTATCGATCTCAGAGCGAGAATCTTAATTGGGCAATTATCGACTCTAAATGCCGCCCTTGGCCAGATCAAACAAGTCCTCGATCTTCTTGGTCCAGGAAGCCCAGTCGAAGAAGATTCACAAATCTCGGTCGACATTGCAACTTCACTCGGCTGTTGTGAGGCAATCATGTCGCTTCTGGACCAACGACTGTCTCGGATGCAGCAAGACCATCTCACGGTGCGGGAAAAGACCGGCATTTTGTGGCACGAGAAAGAAACTACTGACTTCCAATCCCTGTTGAACAATCAGGTCAATGCGTTGAATCTTCTTCTAACCGCGCTTCAGTGGTAGGTTGCGGCCGTTGAAGAACATGGTCATATCATTAATCCTTCTCTAGCAAATCCATCATTGAGCAGAGCCTATTTCTGCAGAGGTCAGAGACTCGGGTGGTATTCAACCGCATTAAAGATGATACCTCGTCCTTACTCTGGCTGAGAGACTCGGATTCGGAGATGACCAAGAAAAGCACGGTTGCTGAAGACCTAAGCTTAATAGAAACAAGATTCGCCTTCGACTCAGACCTCTTCAGTTCGAGGGTTTATTGCTCGGCAGCCAGATCCACCATGGTACATGCGCTCAAAGGGACCACCGTAAAGCCTTCATATGAAGAGGATAGTATCGTTCCTGACGACAATGCTACAGCGAGAGCATTTTCCATTCTGAGCAATGAAGAAGCCAGCAGCATCTGGAAACCTACAGAATATGGACCAGATCATAAAGACCCCACCCACAGCATCAATGCAGGGCGGGCAGGGGTTCTGATAAAAGGACTAAGCCGGCTCCGCACTGCTCCCAGCTTGGTCTCAAACATGCTACCTACCAGAGGACGAAACCAGGCTACAAATTCTCTTACGGTGAGACAAACAAGAACAAGTAGCCAGTGGCTCTCCTCAATAGCTCTGCGGGACCTTTGGGGCGGAGAAGCATCACCCGATCTTTGTGCTGGAAAAAACTCTTTAGAAGCTACTCATGTGGCACCTATCCCCCAAAGAGTCCTCTTTCTCGGATCTTCTAAGACCGGCAAGTCTACAGCTATGAATGTGTTGAACCTTCTCGCTGGGTGTCCCTCGGATGTTTCTCGGCTATTTCCGTCTAGACTTACTATCCTTGAGTCAATCAACGACCAATTGCGCCAGATCCTAGAGGATGGAGAAGGATTCGCCTGTGCCGGAGGCAGTGGTGATCTGGAATACACAGCAATGCGCAGTCTCTCCGATTATGTCACTCAGCTGCTAGAAACGCTGCATGAGATGTCTATCCAGCAGCGACAGGCCACAATGGCCGACATAGGCACGCATCTGAGAGCCATATGGACGTATGTACAGGAATCTGGCTTACGATATATTGCCAGAATTGGGAGACTAGATGATGAAGCTGAATAGTACGTCTTTTCGTCCCTCAATCACCATCGGCATATCTTAAACCAACTAATCAAACAGTTTTTTAAACTCAATCGAACGCATCACGGATCAAGATTATATGCCCAACTTGGAGGATACAATGTGGTGTTACACAAAATCCACAGGAATCACCATGGCGCGGTATACCAACGGGCCGTCAGAGGTGATCTTCTGTGATACCTCAGGGAGTCTTAGGGAAAGAAGAAACTGGTACCTCGTATTTGGTGGAGCAACAAAGGTCCTGTATTTTGTAGATGCAGGGTCGTACGACCAGCGGTTAACGGAAGATAATAGCATAAACCGCCTTATAGATGACTTGACGCTGTTCGAGACCATATGCTCGTATGGAGCGCTCAGCCATGTGGAGATAGTTCTGTTTATTCATAAGATGGATAAGCTGGAACGCAAGCTGAGGATAACGCCGTTTCCTTGGAGAGGCTTTGAAGCGTGGGGGACGTTTACTGGAGACCCCCAGTCAGTTGACGATGTCAGGGATTATCTCTATGACGCTTTCTCGACCATTGCGCAAAAGTCTAGCCGCTCTATCTCTGTCACATTCACCAGCTTGAAGAAACCTGAAGAATTTGGCAAGACGGTCTTGTCATATTCCTCATCCCTCGTTACCATGGTGTGATAGCATGTCTATTGGACTTCTCCAGAGTCTTGTACCAGCTGGATTCAACATTGGGCTATTCACTGGCGCGGCTACGGTCTCTACAGCACCTTACCAGCACACGCTTGGAGAGTTTTCGAATTTCTTTCACGGTATAAATATTAATGCTTTATTTACCAGACCGCTGAGTTTTCTAACATTCATGTAGTTATACTATTCAATAATCGGAGAGAATATATGTTAATGTAAAGTATAAATGCTAAAGCAATATAAGAGTCATCGGACTGTCCATACTAATCCGATTCCAACATGACAATATCAACCAAGTGCACAACTAACCTAAACCCAGATATTATGTCTACAATGTTTTGATAACCTCGCAAAGGTGGACAAGTAGACCGCGAAATATCTATAGCGATAATAGGACTGCCATTTCCCTCTATAAAGCCAACAATTTCAACAAACAGATGCCCATATATTTTTTATGGTAATGATAGCAAGAAAAAACAAAACAAAAGAAGGATGGGAGAGGCGGAGAGCGACTCCACTCACCCTTCCTTAGGGTTTGATTCGGGATGTGGATCCATCCACACCCGACGCGGCCTCTTGCTGGCGTGGCAAGAAAATTTTTACCAAAAAGAGATGACCGACGCAGGGATCGAACCTGCAATCTCTTGATTCGTAGTCAAGCGCCTTGCCATTGGGCCAGCCGGCCTTGTTGAGTAACACTTTTTCTTACTATGTATATAGCCCACTTGTAGGCCTTTTGCCACACGCAGGCTAGACAGGCGGTAGATTCTGCTTACCGATTGAATAGTGATACTTTCTCATAATGCAATTTATTTCTTGAGGTTGTAGGGAAGTTAGATATTTTAACTCTATCTACATCCATTGTGAAAAGATGTGGAATTAGTAATTACTGTCTTGAGTTAAATGATTTGTTCAGCCGGGTTAGAAACTTGTTAGGGAGTCGGTGTGCGTTTATATATTCGCGGATCACATCAGTCACCTAAGATGATACAACTGCGCATTGCGGTTTTTTATACTAATCATACGCACTCTCTCTGTTTTCTATTGATTCAACAGGACTCTGCTCTGCCTTGCCTTTATTGCCTTAATAATGTTCCTTAAGTACAGAAATACCATTTGATTCAAGGACTGAGATCTTAGTTTGACGCTCTTTCAGTGGTCACATACAATTCAGTCAATCGTCACCTATCCCACCAGGCTGTTCTTCGCCCGCGATGAGCACACCTATTAGTATTCCGATGACGATATGATAGACAAATGAGCCGCAACGACATAAAAACGTGTAACTAAAGCAAATCACCCAACCAGCAGATGCACCACAATGGGTACTGTTCGCAAAGATTACCACTCCTCAACACTCACTGCAAGGCACTCAAAACAGTGGCTGATGACCATGCTTCTCCGCCAATAGCTGTGCTGAAGCAGCCACCGCTGCATTGCAACCGCTTGAAATTGCGCCCGCGATAACTTTATACGGAGTGATGCAGTCACCCGCCGCAAACACACCGCGCACGCTGGTCTGGTGCATCGGCGGCGCGGCATTAATGTCGCCCATTGGGGTAAGCTCCAGACCAAGTTGGCTGGCAAGCGAGCCCTTGACGGTTGTATTGGGGCTATGGACCAGGAAGGTTTCTTCCTTAGTTGTGCCATCCGCGAGCTCTAGGTAAACCAAGGAGCGGGTATGAACAAGCTTCTTGATTGGGGTATTGTTAACTGTGATACGAGACTTGTCCTTGTCGGTCAGGGTCGATGTAATCTGAGCCCCGAGTTCCTCCGCCCCATTCGTGTAGATGGTCACCTTTCGGGCGAGCTGAGCGGCCGATTCTGTCTGATGCATGGCCATGGGTACATTGCCAGCGGATTGGATGGCGAGCACGCCGGCACTGTCTGTATAGCGGTCTTCGTACCCTTTACAGAAGAGGCAGTGGTAACTGAATAGTGTTAGTTGGGCTCAACAGTCTTTCGATAATAAAAGATAAATACATTCTCTGACCCCACGCTTCTGCGTATCCGGGAATGTCAGGGAAGACATTTTCTGAACCGGTAGTAATAATCAGCTTTCTCCCTTTCCAGACCTTGTTGTTCGCATCGACGAGTTGGAAAAGTCCGTCGCTGGTCTTCTCTGCTGTCTTGAGGTCCACATCCTCAATCTTAATAGTGTCATAGTGGTAGAGAACTTCGTCGCGAGCTTCGGCACGGAATTCAGCTGGATTTCTGTGATCCCAGGTTGGAATCATATGCATATGAGAGACATTCGCGTTACGATAGCTTTTGTTGTCGAATACGACGGCTGTATGGAGTTGGCGGGCCAGTGTGAGGGCTGCAGTGAGACCGGCTGGACCACCGCCGGCAATCAGGACATCCACTACTGAGTCCATAGTGTTGAGAAATCAAGAGGTATTGGTTATGCTTTCTGGGATAATCGTTGGAGAGCACAGTTAAAAGCCAGAAGTGGGAGGAGGAGGAGCAGGAGGAGGAGCCGTCGGTGTATGTTATGTATGGCAAGTGAGGCAATTAGGCAACGATACCTGCCACACGTAATTTGTAAAGGAGGGGAAGGTGGATAGTGAATGTGTCTTAGTACTCTACCTCCTGCACAATGGTGATCTTCTGACTGGCTGCCGAGTCATACTTACAAGACAACAGGGATTCGATACAGACAAGGCCCCAAATACGAACAAAGAAAACGGAGCGGATGACGGGACGTTGCCCTACTTCGGGTGGCACGTCCTGCAACAACCCTGGAATGGAGACCCAATAAAAACAGCAATGCAGCCAACGAGGCGTTACTGAGGGAATAGAGGAAAGTCCAGTGAATAATCAGACAAAATATAAAAAGCAGAAAGTTAAAAAACGAGGAACATAACACCGGTAGCTCTTCATCCTTGCTGAAGGAATGGTCATCTGATGCTGGACCGAGTCATGAATGATAAAGTAACCAAACTATCAGAGAGCTGCATATATATAGTCTATCTTACAGCACAGAAATCATTCCCAGACCAAAAAGCTGCTATAGACACATCAATCTGGTATAATCATATCTATCTGGTTCGGTTATTCCTTTCAACGATGTTTCAAATTAAGGAACAGTGCACTGACTCAAATCAGCGATACAGATCTCAAAGAAGTTAAAAAACATGCATTTCTCCCACTACGTGCTCTACTTGATTGCAGCCACCGCAATGGCCAATCCAATTCCAAACCCCGAGCCTGAACCCAATGCAAACCCCGACATGGCCGTTATCGAACCCAAGAACTGTTGCCTGTGATGTGGAGGATCTCTGATGAGGAGGAAATATGACTGCGGGGAGAAACCTAATTTGATATTTGGATATGATTACGGATGCCGTCATGACAATATGGAGTATGAACTTTAAACAATGCTATGCTCAATTTTATCATATACACAACATCTTCTATGGAAATGGTAGCCAGTCATCCCCATACCCAAAGTACTCTCGAATCTTGGGTAGGTAAGACGAATTATTAGGACAGTATTTAAATCTTTCCAAATTAGACACTGTATCATCGCCCGGAAAAACATACCGATAGCATGGGTCATGCTTGTCCACGAAGGACTGCATTTGATGCCAGTCGCGGCACTTGCGCTTCTGTCCATCCCCAGGCTTGTATCCAGACACATTGTTCAAAGGAATATATCGTAGGGTATCATCGGCCGCGCACATGGTCTCCACCCGGATGCTGTCCAGACAGTGCAAGATATGGGGGTAAGTCACACTCTGAGGGCGGTTGTAACGGTATTCCTCAATGGAAATGTATAGATTGCGCTAAAGCTCTCAATATTTGAGATTGAATGAAGCATACTGAAAGTACTTACAATGCAATGGAGGATATGATGCGCATTCAGGATATAGATCCCTTTCGTCACGTCCCATGGGAAAGACTGCGACTCAGGCAATCCCAACACATTGGCCTGTTGTTTGTCGATTGCGATGATCCCACTTTCCCATGGGATCTCATTATGCCAAAGATCACCGACTTCGCTCTCGTTTGGCCCGCTGTAGTTGGTATTCCACCACATTGCGTTTTCTACTGTGAATCCAAGTTTCACTTCTTCCCGTTGGTATCTGGAGTTGGCCCAGACAGGTTGCTTAGACGCAAACAATTCATCTCGACTTGACGTCCAACCAAGCACTAGGACCACGTTGATCAATACAGAAATAAGGAGCATCCCAACTAGGCAGTGGGTTTCCAACCGTGCCGGAAACACCGCTCGTTCTTGTGACTCCCATGGCTTTTGAGCGTCGTGTTCCGAAGGAAGCAGTTCATATTCTACTTCCTCTGCCTGTGTCATTTTCAGTTGTTTCCGCATACCACTGCGATCCCTAGGTGTCAGGCGTGTCTGGATGTCAGTAGTCACCCGTCGTCAAGTTCAAGGTAATGAGACAGAGATGATGACCAGGTCCAACAGGACAACCACAACAGTTGGAAAACCTAGGCCTCTTTTCTCATAGTCCAGTCCCCTCTGTACCCCGTCTTATCGTTCGGCCTTAATTTATGCATGTGTTCTACAATCATACGAGGCTGACTGGACATTCTGGACACTAAACCCAAAGGACAATCCAATTGTGACATACGCTCCGTAGTCATGCACCATGTCTGCCTCATCCTTGCTTATGGAAAATATTTGTGACCTCCACACCAGAGGGGAAAGGAACATATAAGCGGCTCAACGAAGGCAGCATATGTCCTCATGGAAAGTTTTACAACTCACAATCCCGCAGATTCCTTACGGTCCACCTTGATCCAGCCACCCAAAGAAGCCCACCATGGCATCGAGTCCACAATGGACGCACCTCCAGTTTCCGTTCGCTTCAGCCGGCGAGGTGTTAGCAGCGGGCGTCGTTCTCCCCATCGTCTGCCTCGCATGTGTAATGCTTCGTTTCGTCGCTCGAGGAAGTCAAAAGGTTCGCCCTGGTCTGGACGACTGGTTGCTCGTTCCTGCAGCGGTATCTCTCTCCCCCCACCCCCAACGATGCAGATAAGGCATACCGAAGGACGTCTGCTGACATGTTTCCTCCCATGACTCAGGTTATGGTAACTGGAATGGGCATATGCTTCATCTACGGTTAGTACCGGTGCCTCATACCTACTATGGAAATTGCCCTACTAACATCTGCAAGGCTACTCGGTCCACGTAATGGGATACCCGACACCCTACCCCATGAGCGACGATCCCAAAAAGGCATTAGCGAAGTACAACCATGCCTACGAAACCGAAGCCAAGATCGAATTTTACTTCCAGCTCTTCATGATCGCAGCGTACGGCTTCATCAAAGCCAGCATCGTTATCTTCTATCGTCGTATTTTCGTCTCGAACAAGAAATCCCGCTTCGCCATCATCTCCAACATCTGCCTCACTGTAACGGTGGTGTGGGCAGTGGCATTCTTCCTCCTGTTTTTATTCGGCTGTAAGACAAAAGTCTACCTCCATTGGGCGCCTCTCCAGGAAGTAAGGGATCAATGTGGAGACCCCCTTGCTGCCGAAACGGCCCTGGTCGTCTCGGACCTCATCACTGATCTGGCAATCCTGCTCCTGCCCTTTCCAAAGGTGAGAGTCGATCATCTGGGATAATGCTACATACTCGTTTGGGCTCACGATGACATGCAGATATGGGCACTCCAAATGTCTGTGCGACGGAAGATTGCCCTCAGTTGTATATTCGGGGTGGGGTTGATGTAAGGCTTCCTTGAAAATTCCAGAGTATACGACCCATCGCTGATTACCGTTTCCCACTAGGGCACTGTCAGCCTCCATCGTGAGACTGGCCATTTACCTGATTGTCTTTCTGGTTGGATATGAGGCTGGATATGACCCCGATCGTGAGTTTCCCCCTTACCTTATAGAGAACATCATCTAATATGCCAGAAACCGTGACCACAATGCTCTGGTGGAGCATGATTGAAGCCAGTCTGGGTTTAATCGCCGCGTGCTTACCCACCCTCCGTCCGGTGGTTTACTCCGCACGAGGTTGGCTCCTGCGTGAAGGCCGAATGGGCTTTTCTGGTCGGTGGAGTCGAAAGCTTGCATCCACCGGCGATCGAACATCCGTGGGTGGGACGGGGACCTCGTCGATGGATGCGAATAAGTCTAGCTCGGTCGTTATCCAGGAGCCCAGAACGATGGTGTAGTGACATTTTTGGGGAATAGCTTCTTTCCTTTTTTTCGTTTGTGCATTTGCCATACAGGCGTCACGTCTTTGTTTTCTTTTCAGATACCTCGTATATCTTTTGCTCTCATCCCAGATTAGTTGCTAGTAATATGCCAGGCACCTTTTCTTTGACCATGACCATGGCTGTCGTTTCATCCAAAGGATAAAATACCATCATTGACAGATTATCGTACACAGGATACATACCCAAACCAAAATGTCCCTCATTGTCTCACGCGCAAATTTAACCCAAGACTGGGACGAACTAATAACTACCTACTGGACTGCATGGAGCTCTCCTCTCCAAGCTGTCGGCGAACTCACCCTCGCCCATCTGGGGGAAGGCAATGAGGCAGAAAAGACAGCCCTTGCCGACGTGAAAGAATCCTTACGTCAAGCGGCGGAGTCGGACCGGAACATCATCTGGTTGAAATGCTACGATACTGAATCCGGGCGGATTGTCGCCGGAGGAATGTATCACATTCATCACCGTAATCCGTACCGAGCAGGAGCACCGAAGGTTGAAGCGAAGTGGTTTCCAGAGGGGAGTGAGATGAGGTTGTTGGCTGAGGAGTTTTATACACAGTTGTGGTCCTGGAGGGGCAGGATGATGGGGGATAGACATGTTTGTAGGTTTTCCCCTTTCTTTCCCGAGTGCTTATTTTTATTTTTATCTTTATGTTTGTCTTTTTGCCCCTTGGCATTGTTTGTTGATGGATGTGGGCACAGGTGGGAATGCGCTCTGGGCACTGCCCGAGTATCGCTCGCAGGGCGCGACGGAGCGTATGATGGACGAGTTTGTCCGCCACATGGATGCGCTGGACATGGAGGGTTATCTCGAGGCTACGGACATGGGGTTCGAACTGTATCAACGGTATGGGTTTGTGGCTATCGCGCGACCACACATGAGTTTCTCCGAGGCCAACGGGCGGAGCGCGCAAGGGAGGAGATTAATCCACGACATCCAGGCGCATCCGGTCTGGATTATGTGGAGGCCGGCAGGGGGCGAATACAGGGATGGGGAGACGGTGCTCCCATGGGAAGGAAAGCCAAGACACACCAAGATGTGAGAATAAAGAACAGAAATTGAATCTAATGCTAGAACAAAGAAATGATTGACATAGAGAGAGAGTGAATCTAGGCCTCGCTAACCCCTGTTGAGCAATGGTCTTTTTCCTTTGTCCCATCACTCGTCGGCTCTTGGTCTGTTGGTTCTCGCTTGGCTTTTTTCATGGAGATCCATGGTGTGAGACAGGCCCCGAGCACGGATGCACAGCTGAGGGCCATTGGGATGTAGAGCGTCCTCGCAATTGCGGTACTGTATGCGTCTAAGACGTGTGGCATGTCGTGAGCGTCTACAAACTGACTCAGCTGTGTTGCGCCCAACTTCGTTAGCTTTGAAGGGTCAACACCTGGCGCCAGTGACCGCACGGTGTGCGCAAGGGTGTTTTGAAAGACCCCCTGAGCTACAGCGACGAAGATAGCGGAGCTCAGGTGCTGAACGAGGGTCACTAAAGTCACCCCGATCGGGATGTCTGTCTCGGACAAGACGGTTTGCACAACGTAACTGGGTTGACCAAACCCTAGCCCGACACCAATGCCATACAACGCCTGGTACCCAATCAGGCGCCCGGTGGAGGCGCTAGTCGAGAGGGTCGATAATAGACCGGCACCAACGCTCGCCAGGATGGTCCCGAGAATCATTGGTGGGTTGTAATAGCCAACCCCGGAGGTCAGGACTCCCGCGATCACCGAGAATACGACATAACCCACGATCAATGGAGTCAGCATGATCCCGGCGTCCAGGGCTGATTTGTGTTGGATCGCCTGCACCCACACTGGAATGTAGACTATGGCAACGTAGATTCCGCCCGTGATACACATGGCGTATCCGACGGCATGCCATACCGATGCATGTCTCGAAACACTGCGGGGGATGGTTTTGGACCCGGGGACAAATATCTGAAGGAGAACAAAACAGACAATGAGTAGTACAGCCACCACCAACAATGCAATAATCCGTCCACTATTCCAGGGATATTGGGTGCCGCCCCATTGGAGTGCGAGAAGCAAGCAAACGATCCCACCCATCATGCTGACCATCCCAAAGAAATCAAACTGGCGAACTCGCGCCCACAATGACAGTGATGCAATTGAGGCGTCCACCGGCGTATTAACAAGCAAAAAGCAAACCAAGATGCTCAAACCACCCAGTGGTAGGTTGATGTAGAAGCACCATCGCCACGTAGATCTGTCTGTAAAGACTCCCCCGATAAATGGTCCTACAATGGCAGCAACGCCAAACGCGGCGGACATGATACCCAGGTAGGAGGCACGGCGGTCAAGCGGGATAATCTTCGTGGTGATCATGATCCCACCGGTGAATATGCCAGCTGCCCCGGCGCCGGCAATCGCGCGACCGAAAATCATGGCGATGGAGTTTGGGGCCGTCGCACAGACGAGAGAGCCCAGTTCAAAAATGCCGATCGCCGAAAGATAGACGATCTTAATTGAAAACAGACTGTAGAGCTTGCCATATGGAATCTGGAACACGCTGAGCATAGTCAGGTAAGCGGCGGTCCACCACCCCAGATCGTCAATACTGTGGAACTCGGTCGTTAGTGATGGGGTCACTGTCGCCAGGATCGTTTGATCCTTCAAGGAACCATGTTAACTTTAGCAATGTCAGCCGATATGAGAGAGTTGGGCTGCTTACCATCCCGGTCAAGAATACAGCGAGGCATAGCGAAACCATGACCAGGCTGAGGCGAATCGAGGAAAGAAAGGAGCCATCTGGCGAGCCCATGTCGGTACCGGTAGTCGTCCTCCTTGACTCAAGTCGAAATTGTGAGAAATTGAATGGAGAATAGCGTGGGTGGTAGCTCTATTTATCCTCTGGCAAGGCTGCCTTTGTCATCCCTTGACAGTAAAATATTTATTCGAGTGCCGTAGCCGATCCGAGTAACATCATCGTCCTATTCGATATTGTTATTTTCATCACGATGTTCTGTTCTGGCCAAGTCACGTTAGACTTCGATATTGTTCCCGGCGGCCTCAAAAATATACCTTCCCAAAGCACACAATTCTGCAAGGTATAGATGGACTAATAGTATAGAGAATTTCAAAAAATGAAACAGAAAATGATGCAACAGAAACGAATCGCCCGCTATGCGCGACAATGGAATTCAATTTTTGCTAACTAGTACCGACGCCGAACTGATCGGCTGAAGCTACGAGATGTATCACGCGAGCCTGGGGTTGCTTTGCTGGACATGCGACTCGCGGCCCTTGAGGGGTGTTGGTTTTCCTGAAGGTTGGGTGCTCGACCTCGTGGCTGAGCCACCAGCTCCTCCACCAGCTCCTCCTTTAGCTCCTCCTCCTCCTCCTCATCGGAGTCGTCGGAGTCGTTATTATCCCACTGGTCCGGATCAACATCGGCGGCCCCACTCATGCCCAAAGCACGAGTTAGAGCAAACTGCATGTTCAATAATTTGATGGATGGCAAGGGATGCGTGTCGGCATTAATCGTCTCCATCGTGATAATGTCTCCCGAATGAATTTGTGCCGCTGTCTTACAATTGAACAGCTTGATTCGCTTTCCAACAAAACTTAAGTTGGATGGCAGAGAAGGTCTCGTCGTAACATCAATACTGTTAGAGTATTTGAAGATTGGAAGCCAGAAAAATCTGGCTTTTAGGACTTTGCGATCATCTGATAGTTCAAGAGGCTGCAAGACGAATCGCGCCTTCCCCCATAGGGCATGTGAATCACAAGATAGACATAGTTCATTCTGAATGACTTCAGTGCCTTCTGGACCTGTCAGTTCCTTTTCCCATTCCGCTACCTCTTCTTCTGTCCACCAGGTGGTCAGACCATCCCAGAAAGCTTGTTGTTCTGTCCGAGGTCTACCCGCCATACTGAATGGGTATATGTGGGCGATCTCTAGTGGCTCGTCTTTCTTCGTCAGTATGCAACACTGGTCGCGTTCAAGGCACTATCTATTGTTAGCCGTGCATCTAAGTAGACCGCGACGGTTGATCGATAAGTGCTGAGCTTACCATCTCTTTGACTGATTCAGAGCGGCGCTTTCTCTTTTTTGTGGGAGGAGTAGTTTTTTCGGGATCCTCTATTGCGCGCATACGGCTTGCCCCTTTGCATAGATGAGCATATGCGTGGTCCACGGACGGGATAGTATAATACTTACACTTTAACAAGGCTCCATAGTTGGGAGACTCTAGTACCTTTGTGAGGAAGCCTTTCTGAAGATTGGCCAAGTATTCGAGTCGCTCTATGTCCGCCAGCCATAACAGCGACCAGGTTGCAGTGTCGACGAAGGGTATAATCAAACCGATCTTCTCAATCAGTTCCGTACGCCGCGCTTCGGTGAACTCAGGTGCAAGGACCGAGGTGGGATCGATGGTAGTGCTTTCCGAAGTCATCTTACTGGACGATGACGAGGGTGATGAGAGTTGAATGAGCAACTGCGGCTGGGGCTCGTCAAGGGAACGCGGAGGGAGTCAACACCGAGACGGGTGAGTGATGACGGCTGCTCCTGCAGTGCGTCCAGACAGTAGAGGCGCTGTGACAATGTAAGTGATGCTCGGAATAATGAACGCAGACCACGATCTCGTACGAAGTGGGGTGGTTGGACTGGGAGGTTCAGAGCAAATATGCGCCGCGTCCTTTGACAGCGGCACTTCTAAGAGCAGCGTATCAAGACAATGGAGGAGCTGGGACGATGCAAGTGATCCTTGGAACAATGAACGCAGACCATGAGTTGAACTGGAAGGTTGGTAAGAAGCAGGTGGGAATGTGCTGCGTCCTTTTGACAGCAGCAGCACTGGTGTTTGGAGATGAGACACAGAGACAGAAGAGAAACAGATTCACTAGTAAAAGACAACCCGTTCGATGAGGATGTTGTCGATGAGAAGTAGGACCTGGAGTGGAGTCTTGAGGAAGGAGCAAGGAAGAGCGAGGATTGGAGGAATCATGTGTGTGGGTCAGGGAATAAGCGAATCAGGTTGAATCAGGGCAGGGGCTTGGTGGGTCAGGTGGGGGGGGAAGCATGACCGTATGTACTTTTTGCAGCGTTTGAGATCATTTCCCAGCCAGCATTTGGGTTGACGGTGTTCCGTCTCTTGAACACTAGCAAATCGTCAACATTCGATTCTGAGTCTCTGACCAGGAAGGTCTACACCACCATACATCAAGAAGCTGAATTGTTCTTGATATCGACAGTGGTGGACGGCGTCCACGCGATATGTGTTGTCAATGCCAATCAGGCAGCTCAGGTGGGCCATGTTAGAAAGATTGTTGAATTATGGGTTAAATTGGCAGAAAGCTTTGCTCTATCTGAATGGATAACGTGTCCACTCTCATCAACATAGGAATAGACGTCAGTCGATCTGCTAGGTCAATGTCCAAAATAGAAACCCACCTTGCAACAGCTGATCCGGACGTCAGATCAGTTATTCTTCAATGGGGCATAATATCAGTGTTACATTAGTAGGAAGGCCTTGTCTACCCATTGCATAATGTGCCTCACCTCCATTGCCCGTGCAGTGGATGACTTGGCATGTCAAACATACTATGCCTTTCAAGCGTCCCCTCCTCCAAAGCCGGCATTCCACTTGTTGTTATAGACAGGGAACGTCCTGAGTGGACCAGCTAAGAAGGTTAGTCTTCCACCAACTATGATGAAAGAGTGGCTTACAAAAGCAAATGAGCATCGGCAGGTAGATTCGGTATTCAACCTCCACATCCCGACAGCTTAAAATCTCCCCGCAGTCTTGGCTGCGCTAGCAGAGTGATTTCACCCTATCCCCGGAGACCCTGAATGTACCCCGCAATGAGTCTTCATCTATATCGGAGTTTGAATTTGGTGCAGCAGCCAATCTAGTTGACGATATTCGAATAACGCACTCGCCTTTTCAGTTGCCGACGTTTTTCAGTAGCCGTCGAGGGTGTTAAAGTGCTATTTAAACAGCCTCAGTATCTTGATCTGGTCTATTCAATTTATCATAGAGAATCGCAAGGATACTGGTTCATGTAGACTCTATCCATCATGCAGATCTCAAGGACTTTAGGATTCCTATCTCTTATTTCGCATGCCTTGTCTGTCCCTACAGACACACACACCCATCGTCGCCGCAATGACCAGGCTAGAGGAGACTATTCGAAGGTTATGCTCAAACCGCAGCAGACTACCACCCGAGACCTCGTCTCGCTTGATGGGCTATGGAAATTTGCCCTGGCGCCGGACGACAACAGCACACAACCATGGACAGGCCCGTTGGACACCCATCTCGAATGTCCAGTCCCAGCATCCTACAATGACATCTTTGTAGACAGGGAGATCCACGATCACGTCGGATGGGTTTACTACCAGCGTGACGTGATTGTGCCTAAGGGCTGGTCCGAAGAACGGTACCTGGTGCGCAGCGAAGCCGCCACACACCATGGCCGGATCTACGTCAATGACCAACTGGTCGCGGATCATGTTGGCGGCTACACCCCATTCGAGGCGGATATCACCGACCTTGTGGCTGCCGGAGAACAATTCCGCCTGACGGTTGCCGTCAATAACGAACTCACGTATCAGACGATCCCACCTGGGAGAGTGGAGGTGCTTGAAGCAACAGGGAAAAGGGTGCAGACTTATCAGCATGACTTTTATAATTATGCTGGACTTGCTCGGTCGGTATGGCTGTATTCGGTGCCACAGCAGCACGTTCAGGATATCACCGTTCGGACGAATGTTGAAGGGACCACGGGCTTGATTGACTACAATGTTGTGGCTAGTACGACAGAAGGAACGATTCAGATCACCGTGCTAGACGAGAATGGCACAACTGTAGCAACAGGCTCGGGAGCGAACGGAACTATTCAGATTCCATCTGTCCACCTCTGGCAACCCGGTGCCGCATATCTCTATCAATTCCATGCCCGCATCATCGACTCTTCCAACAAGACTATTGATACATACAAACTAGCAATAGGAATCCGTACGGTGAAAGTACAAGGCACGCAGTTCCTCATCAACGACAAACCATTCTACTTCACCGGATTCGGCAAACACGAGGACACTGCAGTCCGCGGCAAAGGTCACGACCAGGCTTACATGGTGCACGACTTCCAGCTCCTACATTGGATGGGAGCTAACTCCTTCCGAACCTCGCACTACCCATACGCCGAGGAGGTCATGGAATACGCAGATCGGCAAGGCATCGTGGTAATCGATGAAACACCCGCCGTCGGTCTAGCATTCTCCATCGGAGCAGGAGCCCAGACCTCCAACCCGCCGGCTACATTCAGCCCAGACCGCATAAACAACCAGACTCGCGAAGCACATGCGCAGGCTATCCGCGAGCTTATCCACCGTGACAAAAACCATCCAAGCGTGGTAATGTGGTCTATCGCCAACGAGCCCGCGTCCAACGAGGACGGCGCCCGCGAATACTTCGCTCCTCTGCCGAAGCTGGTCCGTCAGCTTGACTCGACGCGACCTGTCACCTTTGCCAACGTGGGTCTTGCTACCTATAAAGCAGACCGCATCTCAGACCTCTTTGACGTGCTGTGCTTGAACCGGTATTTTGGTTGGTACACTCAAACGGCTCAGCTCGACGAGGCCGAAGCCGCGCTGGAGGAGGAGCTCCGCGGTTGGACTGAGAAGTATGACAAACCCATTCTCATGACGGAATACGGAGCAGACACGGTGGCAGGATTGCACTCAGTCATGGTAACCCCCTGGAGTGAGGAGTTCCAGGTAGAGATGCTGGATATGTATCACCGCGTCTTTGATCAGTTTGAGGCTATGGCAGGTGAGCATGTCTGGAATTTCGCGGACTTTCAGACTGCCGTAGGCGTTAGCCGAGTCGATGGGAATAAAAAGGGTGTTTTTACTAGGGACCGGAAGCCAAAGGCTTCTGCTCATTTATTGAGGAAGAGATGGACAAACTTTCATAATGATACGGCTGAGGGAGGGAAGACCTTTTAGTGGGGACAGGGAAGAGTTGATACTGAAATATGCTCGTACATAATATCACGCTTTAGGCATGGCTATTCTTCATATGAGAATTATCAAATGCACATAGCACTCGGATTGCACGTCTGATGGTGCTTCTCCCTATTAATCCTCAAATCAAGGCCCATACATTCGGGTGCATTACCCGTTGGTCGAGGAAAGCAACACGTTTTGTCCGCTGCACTTGGACTAATGGCTTAATGTTGAATCTACCCGCGCCCAGAATAATTTGCGTTACCGGACTTGCGTGTCGAGATTGGCTCTACTCCTACCGACAGACAAAGGCATCTCGGCCAGACCTTGATTGCTTTGGATGACTTTACTCGTGTCGACCCTCGAGCTACCAGCTGGCTAGGTGACTTTCTTGTTCAAACATGATGCTCAGGGGAAGAAGTTGGACGAGCAGGTCTGGATCCCCAGCAGGATTCGCCGCCCAGAACTGGGAGTGAAACTCATCCAAGTTCAGAAATTGCCTTCCTATCTAGAAATAAGCTTAGTTAATTAGCAATCAATTCAAGCTCCTGATGCTTAAGATAACTAGTTAACTACAGCGTGCTCGAGATTATCTAAGCCCTAAACCTAATTAGGAAGAGTGCCCTTTGCCCGCCCTAAGAAAAGGGACATAAATAGGACAAGATATCTCTCCACCTTGTTGTCTATCATCCCCACCGTCCAAAAAAAAAAAGTCCCCGCCATGTCCAACCCTTTAATCGTGCTCCCGCGTCCCGGGACAGCGCCATCCAGCGACGCAGCACAGTCCATCCCAGCCCCATCGGAAGCCGCCTTTGTCGCAACCTTCGGCAACCGGCTTCCCCCAGCATCATATTTACAAACACCCCACGGCAAAGCAGCATACTACGAGCTACTACCATCATCTCCCACTTCCACAGATGGCTCACAGCCCGTGTCCCGTGTGTTATTCGTCCACGGTGTGCAGACGCCCGCAATCGGCCTCCAGCCATTAGCCGGCGCACTGTCATCGCGTTTCCCATCAGCTCACTGTGTCCTAGTCGACCTGTGGGGCCACGGACTCACAGAAACACCGTTTGTGGCACATGACCCGGCTCTCTTTCATGGATTATTGGAGGCCTTATTAGTGCATCTTGGATGGGATGATGCTCATCTCATCGGCTATTCTTTTGGCGGGTCGACAACTGCAAGCTTCGCAGCGGCGCACCCCGAGCGCGTCGCTTCGATGGTTTTGGTTGCTCCGGCGGGTCTACGCCGCACCGCCTTGCTCGATGAGGTGCAGAGGGGTTACTTGCGTGGCGGGGAGGGTTTGGAAGAGGCAGCGCGAGATTGGATTTTGGAAGTGTTGGAAGGTGGCCGGTTGGTTGTGCCTTCAGATTGGAAGGAGAGGGTTGGACGAGGTGAAGTTGTGGCAGAGGCTGTGAGGGACTGGGAGATGAAAGAGCATGCAGGGCATGTCGCTAGCGTAGTGGCTATTTTTAGAGATGGTGGGGTTTTCGATAAACACGCTGAGTTTGCGAAAGCGGCGACGACGGAGATTCAATGTCGA